ATTATCACTATTAATAAGTTATTTTAAATTTTCTTTAGTATCACAACAAATAGCACATAAAAATTACTGTATGATCAGATTATTTGAAATATATGTTGTCCGAAATACTATTCAATTAACCTAATTAGAATGTAAAGAGTATACTCTTAGTTCATATAAATTTATATTCAGATCTGAAAACATTTAGAAAATGCTAATTTCACATGAATAAATTGATTTAATTGAATAAAAGTCTTATAGCTGTAAATATTTTTGCGTGTTCCCTTCAGTTAAATCAAACTAACTATAGTTTAGGCCAAATAACCCATGAATAGTAATCACTGCGATGTTTGTTTTTGTCATTTCAGTGATCAAATTATATTGATCAAGTTGTGATACAACTAGAAGATATATGATTTAACTGCTTGACTCACTTTTTGTGATGTCAGATGTTTGATGATCTCTGGCCAGTTGTGACCATCGACAATACATCTGTAGTCTTAAGGAAATCAATGTAGGGACTGGTTCCTTCAAGTCAGAAATGTGACAACTAAGTTATTCGGCATGTGATTGCCTTTAAAGCTGAAATGTTCAAATATTAAAGGATCACTGAGTATAATAATGTGTTTTTTTGCCGGTTCTAAGCCCTAATCGAAAAGCACAGGCAACGTTTTATGCTATAGTCATTATTGCAAATAGAAGTACTAATGTGAATGAAACCATGTACATGAGCTGTGGTCGTTGGAAGCTTAAAAGGGTTAAATTTTATTACAATCTCAAACCCATTAGGCTCAAACTTGAGCCTTCTCACATCATGGAGCAAATATCAAACCGATATATTGACTACCGATCCCGTGATGGTGAATTTTAATAAAACAGCATCTTTAAGTACTTACAAGATTCTAGATTTCCGGGTAAAATATTCACCTTTGAGAGCAAGAGTGGAATTATCGTTAGTGATTTTTAGGAAATACAAGAATGTTTGTTGAGATTAGAAGGGAAGTTAAAATTAGGATTTAGGGTTGTTAACAGAGTTAGAAATAGGGTATAGGGTTAGGATTAGTGTAAACGTTATAATACGGGGTTAGGGTATCTATAAACTAACCCTAAACTTTAATTTTTACCTTATGCTTCAACGGTATAGAATTTATACCCAACTTTGTAACTTCATTAATCATATCGAATCGATATATCCTTCGAAGATTCTTTGACTTCATCACTCAATTTCTTCGTTAACATTTACAGCTTTCCGACTGGTTGATGCCTTCTCATGACAAGTCAAGAAGTCTCTGAAGTTCGTCTTTCTCATGAAACTTTATATTATTATTTTAACTTAGAAAAAAACATTTGACTCATCTACTTTATAAAATGATCAGCATTTTAAAGTGAAATGGCTTTGCGAAGAAGTCTGTATATTATATGAGGGTAATTTCATAAAAAACACACCATTGCCCTGGAAAAGCATTTAAAGTCAAGGCATAGCAGAGGGTCTTTCCGCATTAGTTGTTCAGTATCCCTCAGTGCTTTGCACTCACGACGCCATATAAAATTAGTGCCAAGATCTGTAGGCTTCGTGTGTTGTTATTTTAGAGCTTCAGTAGAATAATGAAACAGAAGCATTATTATTTTATCTCATTTCACATGAAACCCAACCAACTGTCTTCAGTTTTCATAGTGAAATACCTCTGTTGAGTAAGCATATGATTGTTTTCAAACGATGCATAGAACACCGTAGTAGACTATGGCTCACGAGTAAAGTGCAACTCAAAGTCAACTTTATTGAATCTGAACTGAACTACTTAGTGTCCTAATTACTTTTATATCTAATAAGTGATAATCAACTTCAATCGATTGGCAACTAAAAAATGCATACATTTATATACTGACCTAATTATAATTCATTACATACTTTGATTACCAATAATTATCCAGATGAAAGTATTGCATTCCTTCTTCCTTAAAGATAAATAGTCATAAAAAATAGAGAATATTAATTATTAAAGAAAACCTAATAAAAAAACTATTGACTGACATAAGAGTTTTGAATCTTACAATGTGAAAACACTGGGTTTCAGCTCAATGGTCAGATAATGTTCATTTTGAAGCATAGATATACCGCGTTTACCCCTGTTTAAATTAAAAAGCCAAGATCAAGAGGAAACACTTATCAAGCACTCTCTATGTTTCCATTGATTGTCTAGATTAGGTTGACCCATAATGTAAAACTATGAGAGGAAATGCATACAATAATAATAATAATAACGGTTTACAATTTCACAGACTATCTCTTATTATGTTCTGAATAGATTTATCCAACTAATTTTTTGTTATTAAACAAATGCCTAAACAATAAAGTAACTTTGACCATCGTGTATATATGTATATATCCAAGATTTTGTGACGTTTATGTGTTATAGTTTCAAGCTCATCGATAATTTTTTTTTAATTTATAAAGTTCAGGTTTCTCATGCTAAATTACACAACCTACACTTAAAAGTATGCTTTTGAAAGTAAACAAAAAATTGTCACAGTGTGTTTTCAATAACCTGTGTCCCTGACTGCCGATTCATACATGAATTAGTCAATAGGATGTTCTGCAAAGACGTATATACATTGTCTATTGTATTATAAATCGTAATGATATCCAAACTCCATTTGTATTGTTTTCCATGAATGAGTTTCTTCAGTCTCTCTGTGTTTGCGTTTGAATTCATTGACTGAATATTTTTATATTGTTTCAAGTCCGTTGATTAAAATCCGTAGTTTTTTACGTTACATCTGTACTTTTAGTTCTAAATCAGTGATACAATTAATTAAAAATATCTACTTCAATATGCCACACTTGACATCGTTAGTATAGCAAGAGAGAGACGTAATAAGATGAAATGAGAAGCAGTTGAAGTTGTAGAACATTAAACACAAAAATATATTTGTAATGTTAGTATTAAAGATTGAATCAACTGGTTTTCACGGATAGTAAAAATTCTTTAAATCAATACACAATGATTGTAAATTGGATATTAACCAATAATGTAAAAGACGAGTACTTGGTTTAAGTTTCATTTTGAATAATAACGACATTAGGATGTCTATTGCATCCCATCTATTTTTTATTTTTCACTATTTTTGAATTGAAAACGATCAGTACAAGTGATGGTTGAGTTTGAGAAATATTACGTAGGTATATTAGTAATTAGCAACCAGTATCATGTCCACCTCATCTTGTATTGGTTGTTTGAGTCTTCCTTTCGACGTTTAGGACCGACATTGACTAGTCTCTTATTGGCATATGTCCCGACCTAGACATCAACATTGGGGTGTAAGTACACCCGACTAACAACTCCCAAATAGGACGAAACACGCGCCCTGGATTAGACTGATAGCCACCATCCATTTCTAATTATAGAATCATATTCATCTAGTCCTTATTACTGATCGGATTCTGTTGACCAAGTTGCCATGTAGCCGCTAAGTCAAGTAATTTAACACACATCAATGGAATTTGATTAGCATTATAAACTAAGCAAACGTGCCACTACTAAGTATTTGGTAATCAACCACTATAAATATCTGTTTTATGTAAGCTAGTTACTGCACAGATAGTTTAATGATAACGTGTTAGACTAGGATTTCGAGTGTTACGAGTTCTTGTCTCACAGAGAATATAACTGTCCTCAGAAATGCAGGTACGCCTTGAGGTCAAGCGCCAACTGGTTAAGAGAATGGTTCCAAATTCTCATCCGAACTAACACCTAATATTTCAAAATAGTGTATATGATGTCGAGCCAATTAAACTAGTGATCACATTACAGTTTGATCAATAGAATTTGATCAAAATTTTAGGACTGGGTAATCATAACCTTAGATACCATTCGGTGGATCTTTTAATTTTATAAACGATCACTACCTGTACCTAAACCACTTAGTTAAACACGCACAACAACCAGACGATAGATCAATACTAGGAATTCGCCTAACACGTACACTAGTACGATCAATAATAAAGGCTATTGGTTTCACGTTTTCAATATTTAGCATACATAAAATCAAATAAGGCAAGGTCAAGAGTGAAAGAGGGATATTGTATGGTCATTTATGTAATTTAACTACTTGAAATTGATTGTAATAATATTTTCAAAGGATAATCGATTGAAAGTAGGTAATTCATTAGAAAAAGCAGGGCGCATTTATTTAAATCTTGTTGGGTGAATTACAACTGTCATTAGTCGAATCATTGATTTGGACGTAAAACTATTTCAAGTTGTGTTTTTCTGTACCTTTGTGTCTTATCCACTGTTTTCGTAAACATTTAAATTATCTTGCATATATATAGACTATTTTGCTATTTTGTCTTACCATAACAAGTGATATAATGGGCATGAATCTTTATTATCATATTACAAGTTATTTCAAGTAAGATCACCTGTAACTTGCTTACTACATGTATTTTTATGCTAATAAGATTAATATCTGATTTGCCGAATCCATATCCTTTTAGCTTGATTCGTAGCTGTCTAATTATCATTACACCTGAGATACTTGAAGATAGACCTTCTTTTCCAGTCTTTTTACAATTTTCTTACCGTTTGTGAACTGTTTTCTTTTCATCACTCATACGAAATGCAGATGTTGAATCAATTTAACTCACAGTATATCGTTCACTAAACGGTTGTGACAGAAACGCATAAGCTCGTTTGGTGAAAACGATAAGTGGCCGATAGTAGTCAGTTGGAAGTAATACCTAAACTGACTTATCTTAGTAGTCAAAACTTGGCAACACGTTGTATCAGATACGCAGAGGATTGTAATGAGTTTTTTCAGAGTTATGCCATTGGTTAACAATAGTTAGTTAATGAAATGTGCTACAACCTAGATTATATACTAGTAAAATTTTCGACTGTGATACTGGGAGGCTCAGTTTAGACCTCCCTCAAGATTACCGGTACACTGCGAATTATTATGATCATTTTAACCAAATTGACATATTTTTTATCCTTTGACTTCGATTACATATCGTTTAGGTAATGAAATAGAACAAGGCGGCGTAGGCGATAAAGTGGAAGCTGGTGGCGCTGGTGATGCTGGTGTAAGAGTTAGTGCGGGTAAAGGGACTGAAATGAATGAAAAAGATACACTTGATGATGAACTGGGTGCAGGTAAACGTAAAAAGAAACTAAGTGGTCTGGCAGTCCGTCCCCAATATTCAACCAAGAAACAAGATTTTCAAGTAAGCTTTTTACAAAGATATTTGTTCTTGAGGTGGATAAGAGTCAAATAAGCCACAATGTTTTAACTTTATATATATATATATATATATATATATATATATATATATATATATATAATTACTGAAAAATAGAAAACTGTTGCAGTCGCCTACTTTCAAGACTCAACATGCTTGTTTATCCCAATTTAATACCTGTAGAAAAAATTGTAGATTTAGTCCACAATCTACCCAACACAATAATATGACATACATACGATATTCTATACTTAAAAGACACCAACTTCTGAACTGTATCCCAGTAATGTGAAGTTTTTCTAATCTTCAAAACTGAACAAAAAGCCAGAAGACAGGAAGTATAGGAGAAGCTTCGACAGTGTAAAAAAAGGTATCTATAAGGTTATGAGTGACTTTAAGTTTCTAAAAGCCTCAGAATCGTGAAAGAATAACCAGATAATTTCTATATTTTTCTTGAAAAATCACAGAGTGATGACTGGTCGAAATTTTTCTACATTTTCCTCAGTTTCTGTAGTCTTTTTTGAGGAACTATAGGATACCTCCAAAATTACATATAAAATTATATCGATCGATATAAATTTTAAAATTTGCATTCTTGGAATAAAACACATAATATGTTTCGAATATGTAACCGTTTGTTTAGAAATCTGTCAGGTCGCGAATTTCAACTTCATATAAAATTTCATATTCAATAGTTCCAGTGATCTCATTGACACAAATCAATGTCAATCTACTTCCTTAACAGTTTTATATGAGGGCCAGCTGAATAAAAACTCGTGAATCATTTTATATTAATATACACCGCGAAATAGCTTTAAGATCTTAGACTATCTTAGTCAATCAAAAAACAGAAAAATATGAATGGATGAATTATAATACTAGAGTCAAAGAATTAAAAAAGAATATATCATTTATACGTGTCTGAAAGACGTCCCTGAGTTGCTCATACGTTATTAAGCACTAGTTTTTAAAGTTAGAATATGTGTTCGTGATAAGAATTAAAGTTAGCCTATCTATATAATAACTAAGCAATCCTAGATTGATATGCTTTGAATATTAAGGTCATTCTAAAGATCCTTTAGGTTCGAGTATACCGCAAAGCTCAGATGTGGATCGGTTAGACTAAAATTAGCAAATTATATTCTGAGTTCATTATCGTACTGTTAACTGCAATGGGATGTGAAAACTCTAAGGTGATTTCCTCGGGTAACCAGCACCTGAATCTCATTGGATCAAAGTTAGTTTCAAGGGAAGTACTGTTGTACTCTGATCATGAAGGATTAAATGCCTTGCCCACACAAGAATTGCAATTATGACATCAAAGAAGCACGAAAAAGGCTTAGGGGTTTGGAAACCCATAGATCCAGAATCATCAAGAAACTCTTCAAATTCTACATCCAATGCTATGTACCCACCAATGATAGCAGTGCAGACGATAAAGGTTAGATTTATAGGAGGATAAAGTTGACTGTACAGAAATGCCTAAAATGGGACCTGAATATCCTGATGAAGAACCTAAACTCCAAAGTTGGGATGATCTAAATCGGGTATGAAAATATCATGAGACGACGCGGACTGGGAGAGAAGGGATTTACACATTTATGTGCCTTCAGCAAAATTGCTATAGGTGGAACCATATTTTCCCACAAATACATTCACAAGTTACGTGGGTTTCACCGGATAACACTACAACGAACCAGATAGAACGCATTAGTATTAATAAAATGTTCTAAAGATCCATGAAAGACGTGAGGACAGAGAGGGGAATTGGTACCGCCTTAGATTCCTTCCCAGTGGTAAAAAATATGAAACTGAAGCCAAATAAGCGCTGTATAGCTGGAGAAATATCATTACAGAAGTTCAGTACAACATTTCTTTAAAAATCTGATAAACCCGACGAGTTTAAGATAGCTCTCATCAACGGGTTCCAATCCATACATTACATACTAAAAGAAAGGGACACTACTATGGAGAACAACTAGAAAGAGATTAACGAAGCACCAGCATAGTAAGTTAATCAGTTTTTGGTGGAATTTCGTTATCTGAGCTGTATGGTTCGGTCGTCAACTGTTCTTGAGAACAGCTATGAGAGCTTCACAAACGATCCATTCAGCTCAAGAAACCAAACCACTAAAATCCTCCACTTGAGCTAGAAATCGTCCCTAACATCTCAGAATGCACCTTTGTTGGTACTTTGGGCAGTATACAGCAATCAATCACAATCGAACAAGAACATATAAAGCTAAGTCACAGGTCAAATACGCAGAAGAATACAAGCAAGTGAAGAAGAGCATTAGAACAGTGGAACAGATTGGTATAACACTTTGAACAACTTATTAATAGGCTAGCTCGACTGAATCAACCGGACATCGAAAGAACACCTACAGACCTTCCTTTAGATGTCACCCTACCAACTTCGGAAGAAATCAAGATGGCCATCAGACAAATCAAGAGTGGGAAAGCAGCAGACACTACTATTATTACCAGGAAAGAGTTTCAACAGTGTTGCTGAACTGCATGAAAGATTCGGTAGACATCCACCTTCCAGATCAACAGGCCGCATTCCGTAAGGATCAGTTGTGTATAGACCAAAAGCGCGACAATGAGAATCATTGTTGAACAATGAATTAGATGGAATTGTCACTATACATCAAATTTCTTGATTATGAGAAACCGTTTGACAGAATGGAAATGAGAACTTCGTGAAAACTTCTTATGCATAATGATGTATCTGAGAAAATTGTCAACATCATGCTGAATTCATACGACTGACCACACTGAAAAGTCGTACATAGAGGCCAGGTGATAGATATATTCAAAGTGAAGACCTATGCCAGACAAAGCTGCTTACTCTCCCTCTTCCTCCTTCTGCCGGCGGTTGATTGAATTGTGGAGCCCTACATATCTGAGGTGAAGCACGGAAAACAATGCAGAACTTAGATGCAACTAGACTATTTGGATTTCGTAGATGACCTAACTTTTCATTCTCATGTAGAGCAACAAGTGCAGATGATGACACTCATTGTAGCAGAAGACTGTGCAGAAGCAGGCTTTAACACAAATGAAAAACCAAGATCATGAACTGCAACACAGCGAGCACCAACTCAATCAAACATGACGAAGAAGCTCTGGAAAAAGACGAAAGATTTACTCACCTGGATAGAATCATAACGGTTCTACCGTACTGAAGTGAAACTTGAAGAACTACCACAACCATCATCAAAAAGTACAAGTATTTATTAAAAAATGTCTACACGAGGTAATCAATGTCTGTTGGCCTTATAGCATCTGCGAAAACCTGCTGTGGCAGAGAACAAACCAGCTTCCAACTGAGGAGGATATTCGGAAAAGATGTCAAAGGCAGATAGGAAATATATTGTGGAAATCATTAACCTTCATCACAAGGTGAGTCCTAACTTTGAATCCTGAAGGCAAAATGGAAAGAGGAGGATCGAAGAAAACATTGCGTCGGGAAATGGCGGTAGACACCAAAATAATGAATAGGGGTTGAAACAACTGGGAAGGATTGACAACGACAGAGTTCGTTGGATAATCTTGATCGGTCACCTATGTTGGCCTTCTGTAGGACTGAGACGTATTTACAATTGATTGATCACTGAGTGGTGATGCGCCAGAGAGCCACAGTCCCCTCAAGATTACAGGTACACTTTGCCGATGAGTGCCGAATAGCACGAAACCTAGGTCTAGAGTTTCCTGTTGACTACCTCCAACCACCATCTTATCTCAACATAGTGCATGCAATGTGGAGTCACCTGAACCAGTGTCCACATTACAACATGGTCGATAGGATTCGATCTGCAGTAACAAGGACGTGACACACATGATATTGTTCACCATCCGGTGATCAATCAATTGTAAAAAGCTTACAAAGCTTACGAAAATACACTGTACGTTAATATTCTAATAAACATAGCCTAAACAAGTATCAAGTGCTTGGAAAGACTCGTCAGTGTGATTATGTAAACAGTGAGCCTCAAGAAATCAACACTAGAATCATATTTCCATAGTAGTTTTATTCATTGTTGTTATTCAAGTTATAACACGTTTGGAGTTTAAATTTAACATCGAACAAAATGAGACAATTATCAGTTCCAACAAAAAATAGATAAACATATGCTTGAGTTCTGAATGAATGATGAATTTTAAACAGCATTTATATACATGTTTAGGTGAAATATACATTTTAGAGGATATTATTATCGGTTTAAATAAAATGAAGTGAAAAGAAAGAAAACCTGGTAACCTATAATGCTATCACCTATTTATTTGTCTATTAACTGGTACTGTTTACATTGTTTGCTGCTCTGATTTAGAGTAAACAAACGTTATCTAACAACAGTAGTATGTAACATAGTTCGAAGGAATAGAAATTTTAACTGGAAACAAACAAACAAATATTATTGTCTGGCGTTTATGCCAAGTATTTTTTATGCATTATCTACCTATGTTTTAATAATAATACCATGTTATACGTGTGTAAACTTGTTCTGTTATATACAGAACAAGATCACAGTAAAACAGATTTATAGGGCGATAAAAAATAATAGAATGGTGTTAGTCTTACCATGGTTGAGTAATAATCATATTAAAGGTAATAATAGTAACAGTGATAGTAGTCACAGTAAATGGTAGCTTATATGTCCAAACATTGGACTCCGCGTTTGAACTCCGCACAACTTCGGTTTAAGCAGTTGAGTATCAATAATAGCATGTGTTTTGGAAATACATAACGCATCGAGAGCACACGATTCTACAACCATAGCAAGTGATGTCCGTTGTCCGATTTGACATCGCCTAATTACTTGGGCCTTTAAAGCTTCATAAAGCATGGGCTGCCGACTAGGATTCATCGACCAACCGTAAACATTAAAAAACTTCTACTTTTTGATGATGGTTGTGTTAGTTCTTCAAGTTTCACTTCAGTACGGTAGAACCGTTTTGATGTTTGTATTGAAATCTCTGGCTTTGATGTTGGCTGTCTGATTTTTGAGTTCCACATGTTCTTCAATTGTAAGAACGTTATCCTCCCTTTGCTACTTCGTGCCTTTACATCTGCGTCAGATCCTCCTTGTTCATTGATGGTTTTGTCCAGGTGAGTAAATGCTTCAACTTTTTTCAGAGCTTCTTCGTCATGTTTGATTGAGTTGGTGCTCGCTGTGTTGTATTTTATGGTCTTGCTTTTCTACCTGACGTGGTTCCTAACTCTTGACCACCCCTTCTTCTTTATACGGGTTTAGAACCGTCGGTAACCGTAAAATGATTTTGAACGGAGTTTATATTCATCGAAATAACATTATAATTAACGTTCTAGTGTATAAAGCTATTGATTTGTTCTTGTAAATTAGATCAGTCTGTAGATAATCATAGATTACAACTCTGGGTTCGCGCTCGAGAACGGAGGTCCTGGGTTTGAATCCCGCGAGTGGGATCGTGAACGCGCACTGTTTAGGAGTCCCATAATAGGAAGAAGTTGTCGTCCAGTGCTTCCAGGTTTTCAAAGGTCGTCTAACGTCAATCGATTCATGACTTCAATCAGTGTTAACTTAGAATAATGTAGATAATAATAATAGCACGACCGGATACATGTTTTCGAATAATGTCCTAGCTAATATAGCTCTGTTGGATTAATACAAATTAAAAACCTAATCTCTACATCAAAGTATCATCTACTATTGTTTTCCACTCCCTTAATTCAAATGAAATCGTAATACTATTTATGACAACTTTCTTTGAGCTTGTCTTAAGGTAATAGTATACTTTTTAACCTATATACTTATGGATGCTGTTTATCTGATAACATTGTTGATGTGCATAAAGTAGATTAAATGTGGCTAGCAGTTTAATCCACAGCGCGCATTTCGTCCTGTTTTAGGGCTTGTTAATCAGACGTACCTGCATTCTAGAGTTGATGTTCAGCCTAGGATTCGAACACGGTACTGTTCATTTAAACATCAACGCGTTATCCACTTAGCTACTGAAGCCGGCTAGTCACCCATATGTACAACGCGTAAGCCAACCAAGACTGATAAACTTCAGTCAAAACATTACCAAAGGAAGAATCTACGTTTACAATTTAATGGTATATGTTATAAAAACCAATGGGCGCGTATAACAGTTGAACATTTTTTCTCTTTTCTTAAATCAAATTAGATTCGTGTCAAAGTTATTGAAGCTCGTCAATTACAAGGTGCTAATATATCACCAATATGTAAAATTACGTGCTGGAAAGAAAGTAAAGATACACGTGTTCGAAATTCTACGAATTCACCATTTTGGGACCAGACATTTTTTTTCAATTTCTTCGATTCAGCTGCCGAAATGTTAGATCAACAATTAGTGTTCACAGTTTACGATTCACGTCGTCTTCGTCGTGATTCAATGATTGGTTCTTTCAAATTCGATTTATCAATAGTTTATGAATGCGATCGTCATGCAATGTTAAATAAATGGTTGCTACTATGTAATCCCGAAGATCCAATGTCTGGTGCTAAAGGTTATTTAAAAATATCAGTTGTTATTCTAGGGCCTGGAGACGAAGCTCCGGTAAGCGTTGTCTCTTGGTTTCTACAGTATGGTTTTTTCAAAGTGTAAATATGATGTTCAATAAGCAAGTCCACTGAGATCTTAAGAGCTTTATTTTGTAAATTTTTAAGTAAATTAATCTTATCCCCTTCAAGACACTCCATCATTTGCATCTTTTAAAATATTCTTGAACCTTTTTAAAACGTAAGCTGTATACCGTTTTTATAATATCAGACTTCATCACCAGTAATGAATGTCTCAGGAAGATTAGATGTTTGAGCCAGATTTTTCTGATCGGTTTAGCATTCAGTCAACTAATTCAGGAAGATATTTGTACACAATATTCTCGATCGCATTGGCGTTTTTAAAATCATATGCACTATCAAAATTCTAAACTTTTGTCCATTTAAAATCATCCATACATGTTTGCATCGACTTAGGGGTTTGATGGTTATCATAACTAAGAATCCCAGTAGCTCAGTTCGCGTTTTCATTGCACAAACCATGTACATATATTTTGAGTACATGATTCTTATTACTGTTGTGATTAATCTCTCCATAAAACATTTTAATTAGAAGACAGTAATTTTGATCAGACAAAATCAAAATGATGTTGAATTTCCTATTCATAATTCAGTTAAAGTCATTTTAACTTTGTCACTGAATGTTTTGTAAAGTAACTAGACAGCAAACACTTTTACATGTTCACGTTTCATCATGCTGAATAACTTTCTTGTGTGCTATTTTGTTGATGATAATAATAATAATAATAATTTTAGTAACAATAACCAGCATTGTTATTATTTTTCTCACCATAGATTATGAAAGTTGGTGAATCCGATGAGAAAGAAGATATTGAAGGGTTAGTGAAACTGATTTATTTCTTTGTGATAAAATAACACATAAGTACATAATTATTTATATTCACAATACATGTTCAAATGATTGCTTTGACAATCATATATATATATATATATATATATATATATATATATATATATATATATATATCAAGCAAATACAATAAACATAAAAGCTAAATAACGTGTTATTCATGAGAATTGAATGAACCTTTAACCTCTGAGACATCTGAATTTCTTCTTCTATGTACTTTTCTGGAAAAAGCTCGTCATATTCAGTTCAGATTGTTTTCAGTATAGAGGATTACGGTTGCTGCCTAATTTTAGAGTTTTATGCCATGGATTAGCTTTAAAAACTATTGAAAACTGGAAATTAATGGTCAGTTGTTTTGTCCTTATAAGTGAATCCACAGGAGTGCGTATTTATGCTCATAACAGGAATTGAACTTAAAAAAATTCAGTCCTCCGATTGCACTTAATCTTCATACCAATAAGTTTACATCTTTATCTTTAGTCAATTCACGTTATTGCGCTACCAATTTCTACTATTTCTTATGTCTGCGTATTTAATTTACAAAAAAGAATGTTTGGAAATGACTTATGATAATGAATCGAAGTTATTCGGATAAATTAACAAAAAGTCACTGAGTAAGACAGTGAAAAACCATTTGGTTCAAGATTTTACGAAAATATTTACTGTTGAACAGTCATGATTGTACTCAAACCTTTCAATCTGACGATGAACTTAGTATTATTATGTTGCTGACATAAAGTTCATTGTTTCACATTATGAAATTCAATCGTTTCACAACATAAATCACGATTTAAAACGGATTTCCTAAAGATCCACTCTAACATTTATGATACTTTGTGCAAATCGATTGTGCTATAAATAATAAAGATTTAAAATATTTCTAGTACAAATAGCTGATCTATTAAGACTGGATAGACCAGAACGATTAATCATGATTTTTCTTTCGACGATAAGAATCGAACACAATTATGAAAGCTGAAGATGAGACAACAACAGAACTTTAATTTTTCTAATCAAGACAACTAAATAAATATCATCACAACGGTATAAATTGTGTTATATTATTTTCATTCTACAGGTTTTCTTTCAACTGGTTTATAATCATTAACATTCTATTCATTAAGTTATCATGTCGTCCCAAGTTACACCATATACCTTTACTGAGTTGTAGCATTTTGTTAAATTATAATAATATAGATAAGTGATACAATAATTGAAGTGAATAAAATCACTAAAGTTGAGACTAATCATTAGATAAAACCATTAAGTCCATGTTCATCCCCAAACATCTATGTTGCAAAAGACAGTGCAGTGAACAAGAACACAAGTGAGGACAACCGAATGTATGTGAATACGAAATTAAAGAATATCTCACTAAAATCTAAAGACCATACATTAAATACTGGATTTACAAAATAACAATCCATCCTATCAAACTTGACTGTTCCTTATCGCATATCTGTCCATCGTCTCAAATTTCATTGTTCGTGCATTTTCATACCAATAGCTTTCTGTTCCCGTTCTTTCCTTCTCGATCTTCAACTGAAATACATTCTATTCCTGACCATTGTTATATACTACTTATGTGGATATAAGTAGCTCACAGCACACTCGTTCTACCCCTTAAAGTAGTCGTTCTTGCGGTAGTTCTGCTCGTCGTGCCACTTTCCTCTTTTCTACAGTCTGTGTCACACGCTCTGTGAAAATGTTGAGTCTGCGGCGCACTGACCCCTATAGCTCCATCAACCTGCCGAGGCTTCAACATGAGATACCCACCCGGCACCTGGAACTTTAACCGCCTTTTCTCCAGCGACCTTCTGGGCCATCGACATCTGATGTCTGTCCAGCAGCCGCACGTTATACCGCTCCTCTCCGGCGGCAGCACCCGCTTCAGCCAACGCCGCCCCGCCAGAACACTCCACTCGACATCAACTCTCCCGCTGCCAGAGCAGTACCAATGAACAGCTGAATGAATATTACAAGTAAACTGACCATGTCATAAAATTTACATTTATCAAGAGAAAATGATTTGTTCAACAGTGAATGATTGGTTGATGATGACAATCACGTTTACAAAGCAATAAGTGTTTCTTTTCACTTTTTTTGTCGGTTATTTCAACTTTATTAATATCATTCGAAGTCAAGAATATAACTTCTGTAAAATATCCAGTAATAAACAGACTATTTATTTTCAGCAATTTCTATAAAATTATGTTTATAACTTAATATTTCACTGAATAAAACTATGTTTTCCTTCCATAATCTATTCAATTTCTGTTCAATCTTACAAATTACTGATAAATTACATGAAACACATTATTACTTTTTATTTGTTTTATAGAAATCTTCTACGTCCTGCTGGTGTTCAATTGAGACCAGCAATTTTTAAAATTCTTTTATATATGGCTGAAGATTTGCCAAGAAGTAGGTTAAACTTACTTTGTTTGTGCTTTGTAGTTTGAACAAAGTATCCCTATATATACTTATAATGCTAAATATACTAGCTATTGAGAATTCGTTAGTAAAGGTTTAAATTTTCCTGTTGCTGATGAGTTTGGGAATATGTTTGCGGTCTAGAATACATCAAAAACCGTATAATACAAAGTCTTGAGATTGACTTCATGCTAAGTGAGGAAGTCGGTAGCTACCTAAATTCATTAACGTCGTAGAAGAAGGATTCGGATTCAAAGCCCTAGGTTCTGAGTTTATTCTTAACATGAAGATCAAAAGTGAGATTCAAATTCATCCAGTTGACGATTTCAAAACTGGATAAATTGATTCCATTACACGCTATAATCTAAAAATACACTAATTTGTTTTTTATTTACAAAATTCCCATTTTTATAGTAAGAAAAATTTATGAACTAAGTATACATATTCAATGAATTCTCACAACAGACTCTACACATATACGTTTAAATCAATGATAAAAATCATCAGCCTATTTTAAGGTGCATGCTTATTTCGACTAACGAAGTTGATGAATTTAGAATAATTGTAATAAGTAAACCTCAATGGTCATACAGTCATGGTAGCAGGATCTTGAGTGTACACTGCTGAGTAGTTCCATAAAAGTATGAAATATCTATGCAGTGCTCGTTTATGAAGACCAATTTGTGATGTATATCACTTACGAATTCCAGTAATCTTCCTTCAACCCCTTCTCTTAATTTGTAAAGGTTGTTATATCTACTATTTAGTGTATCATTGTATAAAGTATTCAAAATAAGTTATAAATACCAGTTGAGCGCTAAATAAATCATTTACATGTTTGGATGAAAATGGATTGATTAAAACAGACGAATTCTGTTTGTAGAAGTTTGGACAGTAAGTGGTTTACATCAAGCATACTAGGTTTTGCATAATATAAATAGCTGTTGTGTTATTGGGTTTCAGGTTTCTGAACGTAATAAATGTGACTGAAGTCGACTCCTTTTGGATGAAAGTCCCAGGTGTTTTTTATCCATATTAAAATTTTTCCACTGTTCAAAACAGTTCGAACCTAAATACTTTTACCAAATTACTCCAGACATGGCAAGCGATGGCCTAACAGATGTTTTATAGTTTGATTGGACCATATAGAAGCATTTATCCGTAATATAATGTGTTATATCGTTTTAAGAAAGAAAGTATAATTTGGCCGTCGTGACTGGTGTATCCAGTATTTGCTAAGCCAAAAATCGAATCAGTAAGTAGGCTTTAATAAATCTATATTGTTTGGATTCCCAACAAGGACATCAGTAAGACGGATCAACCATGTATACAAACGTCTATTAAAATTGGGTCTTTGAACATCCCTATAAAACTTGACAATTTTATGTTAAGTTAGTTAGCTACTTATATTAATAATAATAATAATAATAATAATAATAATAATAATAATAATATGATCAGATGTTTAACATATTTTAATGCTGTAATCTTAAGTTTTTGAAACTGTTGTTTGATTTCAGTGGATTCAGATGCTTTTAAAGGAATCAAGAATTTACTTTCTACATCCGATGAAGAAAAAGAGTTTGTGGATCCCTACGCACTTGTTTCATTTGCTGGGAAATCGGTTAGTTGTTAAGTCAATGATCTCTTTCGCATTTTATTAACCATCAATCATTTATCATTTGAAAAAAATAGTTGTCCAGTGAACCCTAATGATTTTGTAGCTCACTACGAGATGTCAGTATGTGATGGGAAGTGAGGTTAACAGTCATGAAGCAAAAGTTAATAAAATTGGAAACGTCAAATTCCTCAAAATGAATTTAAAACCAACAGACCTTATCCTGGTTTCCCTCTCTCTTTCTTTATATATATATATATATATATATATATATATATATTTTCACAGGTTGAAATCATGAGTCAGTTGAAGCTAGACCACCATTGAAAACCTGGAAGCACTGGAAGGCCGTTTCGTCCTGGTATGGGACTCCTCAGCAGTGCGCATCCACGATCCCGCACCACGCGGGGCTCGAACTCAGGACCTACTGGCTTCGGGCGCGAGCACTTAACCACTAGACCACTGAGCCGGCATCCAACGGTGTTAATGTCTAACTTCAACCAATCCACGAAGGTGCGCCACCGTACACCATTGTCTTCAGTGAGTTGTTATCTCACAACAGACCGGTTGAACTCCACTGGTAACGGCTTCTCACTAGAACTTTAGGAGTTTTTCCTAAAGTCAGTCACTAGTGAGCAGTTGATTATTATTATCAGAATGGGTTTTTGTGGAGAATTTTAGAAATTTTCACAGGTTGAATGTATATATATATATATATTCACCTTGTTTCACAATGATTAAAGTAGTTTTATTTGTTCTGAATACTTCAGAATGATATTTGATTTGAGAACGATTCAGTTATCTAGAAGTTAATATTTTGCCAAAGTTTTCAGAACATATCAATGTATAGTTAAAATTTTTATAATATAATTGATAAATTGAATGTTTCATGTCTAGAAATTGATTCAAATTCAAGATCACTGTCCAAATCTTATTGACTGTTAACACGAGAACTAAAATTTCATTAATTAACTCGGTGTATACATTATCTGCAACCAAATGGTATGAGCTGTAATGACAAAAAATATTGAAATTTCCATTTAAGGCAGATATATAACTAGATATTTCCTGGTTACTAATATTTCACTCTGTCAATGGAGTTGTCTACCACATTGAGTGTGAATTCGATTTTTATGGTCAACATTTAATTAACGATTAAATGAACCAACTATAAAGCCGTGATTTATAGGAGAATAGTGAAACAACCTAAGAAATTGGTTATGCTAAGAAATTTCACAGTAGAAATTATTTTAAGACCCCATCTTTCCATAAGAAATTCAGAATGCTTTCTAGTTCAATAAAAATTGAGTTATACTGATATTCGTCGCCAACTGTTATTCGTTAAGATTACACTAAAAGCTAGCGAGAACTAGATAAATGTCTTGACTTAGCATAAAGCTTCTATGGAGTTCTCAAAGACAATTGAAACAGAATAAACTTACGAAATTTAGGTATCGCAGAGAACACGTTACTTTCAAACAACGGAGTAAGTATACAATCGTCCAAATTTCCAACATCAATCAAGTGGCGACATAATACCAATAGTTCTACATTTTATTAACAATTTATTATCTGATATATATCTTCCGATCTTCTGTATTAGTTTGGATGATGTCGCAATGTTTAACGCTTCTTAAATAACATTTTTTTGAAGTACTTTCTTACATGTTGTATGGATCATAAAGTCGAAATTCATCATTACTTTATAAGTTATACGAAACTTCTAATAATAGTGAAATCTCGCATTCATAATTTAACACCTATTAGAAATGAGTTCATTACAATTTATCCCATTGATTCAGTAATCATCTATTTATAGTAACTTTTAAATCTTAATTTTCCATATGTCTGAACCAACTGATTATAAATATAAAAATAATAAAATTTCGACATCCGGTCAAAACTACCTAAACAGTAATGAATGATTTGAAGCCAACGAAAAAGATCCCATCCCATAGTTTTTGATTAATTTTATGGATTGTGGGATTGTGAAGAGTTTGAGCACATTATTGTTGCAGGATTTATCCAAAACTGTGTGTTTTGGACAATTTGAGTGTAGCCCAGCTAAGCATCTCAAATGCAAAATATGAATATACTAACAGTTGGTGGTTGAAGGAAAACCTTCAATGAAGAAAATATTCCAATATCCATAATGACTCACTAAACGAACAGAAAAGTGAAAGAAATCTTTGGCTACGGCACATACCAAATATTAAAATGTTCAGAATTACTTACTGCTTTATTTGTTCGTTTTCTAGATTAAATCTAGTACAAAATATGGAACAGATCATCCTGAATGGAACGAAGAGATTACAATGAACATTCAGGTCAGTTAGGAATATTTGAATTAACTCGCAGGAAAAATTAAAAGTTTGAACAATACGCATAATACTGAAGCAATCAGTTGCCAGTCAGTAAATTACTATCTGTATTATAGGTAGAGATAGATGGTGGCTATCAGTGCAATCTGGGACGCGTTTTTCGTCATTTTCGGGTCTCGTCAGATGGATGTGCCTGCCATCATTCATATCTGCTTATAATGTTTGTGACTTAAATCAATATGGAGGCAATCCTCACAATATGTACATATGCCAATAAGAGACTAATCAGTTGCAGTCATAAACGTCAATGGGAAGATTCAAACAAGCAACAAAAAATAATTAATTACTATCTGTACCTGTCTTATTAATTTCATGTTATCAGTTAACAAATAGCAATAAACATTTGTGTTAAATTGCTTAATTTCAAGCTTACTTAACTCTTATTGTTACGTAACGAATTTCTTTATTTCACCGGTTATACAATCTTCTCTTCAGATCTAGTTTTGCATCTGCTGAGCTGCTGATTGATTATTGTTTTAGAGAAAAAAATTGTTAAGTTTAGTAACCATTATTTATTTGTGACAAATCTTCTGGCTGAACGATTGAATAGGTTTCCTTAGCTCTTCTAATAACTTCAGGCTAAATCTACACAACAAATAGAACACATGAGAAAAGGCATAAAATATAAAAAGACCACTTTACTCCAAATATAGTTTATGTACAGTAAATAGAGAGTACTTATGGTATTTCAGATGATCTCGGCTTCTGAAAGTTTCTAGAACCCTACTAAACATAGTAGCAGGTTAGATAAAGACGAAAACCAGAAATGTGACACATGGTTCTTCCCTATCTAGATGTTTCAGCGATACTTCTCAATGACAATTGAATAAGATGTTTGCCAGTGTTCTCAGGGCCCATGTAGGCTTTTTTCGAGGAGTGCTCTTGGTCTCCCCAACAATTTAGTATTTATTTTGTTCTTAACTGTAAAATATATTAGTGTGTAGCTTTGATGAGGAACTGTTTGTTAAGAAATAATGTTTCCCTCACTCCCGTTCTTAATGTCTTAATAAGAATATTTAATTCTAATTAATTTTATGTTTTCATTAAACTTATATGCATGAACATAATTTATGAACCAGCTGAACAGTTATTGGAAACCAGAGAGCACTGGATAACCGTTTTATCCTAGCATATGGCTCTACATCAATGATCATCCACGACTATACATAAGATGATGTCCTTAAGTTACTTTTTGTATTGTATCCACGTATCATACTTTTGTTTAGAAATGTACAAATGTTCTGTGATTTTTGTTCATATTTAATAAATCACAGAAGAGAGGACTATTTTCACCACGAGACTGATACTTTCTTCAAATTTACGCTAGACATTGCAGACTACCGTATTCTCAGTGAAACAATATTTCTGGAATTGTTTCAAATTAATCCACACCAAAGTTTATTTCATATTAATTATGTTTACAAGCAATATTGTCTGCGCTGATCACTACGTCAATTAATTTTGGCCTAGTTTGATTATTCACATTACATGTATTATTTTATTGTTGTGTTAACTGTTGTACTATAACAGTAACACTTCGGTTGGATGCTATCCGTGAACTAACTGATCTGACTTTGAGGATTTTATGGTGGTTCTATACAAAATCATTATTGCCTACCTCATCTAGGGAGAAGGTTTTTATATGAAGTAAACTCTGGTGTTCCGCTGAACAACAATCAGGTCTTCACAAATAAATCAGCTAGCTAAGAGAATGTAATATCAATATATTTATTGTATGTCCGTCTGGTTGGAAAGTAAAAGTATTCGTCCTAATCGCGCGATCTGAAATCCATGGTTTCGATCCTGTACAAATCCATTACCATTCATCACTAGAGGGCCCCAAAATGGTGAGAATCAGACCTTCAACGTTTATTCAATGGCTCTCTATAGATTATATCAGGTTAATTTCATCTTTAAGTTATAAGAAATCTACACTAAACTACCATAAGTTATACTCGTAGTATTAAATTTCCTGTTACTTTATGCTTTCTCTTTTACAGTTCCCGTCAATGTGTGAGAAATTGAAATTTACGTTCTTTGATTGGTATGCTTATATTATATTGACTCTAAATAATTTATATGCTCAATAGTTCATGGATTAAACTATTTTCAGGATTTCTTTAAATTTTCCTACAGTTTTTTAAAAGCATCATTCTATAATATTGTCTAATGAGAGTCTAGTTGTAACCAACGGGTTAAAAGGAGACACATTTGGTCATTCATCGTTTTTCTGCTTCAAACATTAATTAGATGCGCTTCAATGGAATAGAAGGGGATATGAATAAACATACTTATACTTACTTACTTACGCCTGTTGCCCATCGTGGAGAAGCACAGGCCACCCACTAGCAATCTCCATCGAACTCTGTCCTGGTTAATCCTTTCTGTTTGTTTTTAGTTGCTATTCATCCTTTTGATGTATGCTTTCAATTTTCGACGCAGTGTTTACTTTGGTCTTCCTCTTTTCTGTTTCCCTTCAAAATGCTTCTGTCAGCTGTCCTGCATTCACGGCTGTGCAGTGTGGTCAGTCGTATGAATTCAGCATGATGTTGACAATTTTCTCAGATACATCATTATGCATAAGAAGTTTTCACGAAGTTCTCATTTCCATTCTGTCAAACGGTTTCTCATAATCAAGAAATTTGATGTATAGTGACAATTCCATCTAATTCATTGTTCAACAATGATTCTCATTGTCGCGCTTTTGGTCTATACACAACTGATCCTTACGGAATGCGGCCTGTTGATCTGGAAGGTGGATGTCTACCGAATCTTTCATGCAGTTCAGCAACACTGTTGAAACTCTTTCCTGGTAATAATAGTAGTGTCTGCTGCTTTCCCACTCTTGATTTGTCTGATGGCCATCTTGATTTCTTCCGAAGTTGGTAGGGTGACATCTAAAGGAAGGTCTGTAGGTGTTCTTTCGATGTCCGGTTGATTCAGTCGAGCTAGCCTATTAATAAGTTGTTCAAAGTGTTATACCAATCTGTTCCACTGTTCTTGGGTCTCAGTGATTGAATTGCCTTCTTTGTTCCTGACTGGTGACTCTGGTTTATTATATTTCTCTGCTAGTTTTTTTATTGTATCATATAGTTGTCTGATATTTCCTTTTCTTGCAGCTTTATCCGTTGTCCTCTCTAAGTCTTCCATGTATTTCCTTTTGTCGGATCTAATGTTCTTCTTCAACTGCGTGTTTTCTTCTATGTATTTGATCTGTGGCTTGAATCAAAATGTTCTTGGTTGGTTGTTGTTAATTGCTGTCTTCTGATCCTTCTTTTTTTGAAATCCATTCTTTATGATGGCGCTTCTTTTGGCTCACAACCTCCTGACACGTTGAGTTTTGTGCTTTTTTGATCTTTATCCATCAACTTGATGACTTCCGAAGAATATGGGCTTTCACCGTGAGGTCTCATAATTCTTCGTTCAACTCTTGATGTAGAGTTTAAGTCGTTTAATTTGTTTTTTTCGGTCTGGGTATACCGACTACATCCCAAACCCTTCTCTTTTAGCCGGCAGTAACCTTAGAAGAGCTGCAGGTGACGTTAATCATATTTTGAGGAAAATTACAATGTTGATCGATTTTTTGCTCGAGTAAAAACAATCTTCACCAACGTTAGACTGAGTACGATTAGTGGGCATTTAAAAATTTAAACGAGATCACTTAATTCATTTACACTGGGATATTTAATACAATCTTTCAATAAAGTTTTCATTTTCGCCAAATTATATGTAGCTGTAAATTGTAAAAGATACTGTGTGAATTTATTAAGTATAAGAATCCCACAGAAAACACCTGATTGAATATATCCTAGACTGATCAGCTAGACATATTTGTATTAAAGTATTTGTATTCACAACAAAAAGCAAGCCTATTATCAAGTACATAAAATAGCAAATGTACATCATCTGTTCACAGCTATTGAGCAGGTAGGTGTTTTTCAAAAATCCTAAACGAGAATAAAATATACATCAGTATGGGATTGTGGAGATTGTTAATTTTTTTCATTGAGATCATGAATTAATATTAAACCACTATTGGAAACCTGCAAGCACTAGATGGCCGTTTCGTCCTAATATAAGACTCCTCAGCTCAATGGTCTTAAGATTAGGCGTATGCGCACGAGACCGAGGGTCCTGGGTTCGAGCCCCGTATGCAGAATCGTATATGTACACTGCAAAGTAGTTCTATACTATATGTATATGAAAACTACCAGAATTTTACCAAATATTCTCATGAATACATTTTTCAAAGTAATTAAAATAAACTTGACATTTATCTAATTTAAAATAAATAAAATTAGATTGTTTATAAACACAACTAAAAATTGACTTATCAAATTAAGGCGGTTCAAGTAAATTTCGACTTTAAGCAATAAAATGTTACAGTAATGAATGTCAACAGTTCTAGTTATAAAGGGCCCTGAAACTGAACAAGCCAAAAATAAAATAAAACATCTTCTTTTTGTTTAATTATCAACTAATCAATAATGCTACACCTATGATGACTAAAAACCGATGTACATAAATAAACTCATGGAGCACAATAAAACCATAAGCAGGCGAAAGGTAAATCATACAGTAAATAATTCCCTATTCCTGTATCAGTAAGCAAGTGTTTACCAAGAGTCGTTTTTATTTTTATGTTTAATACACTGCGTACCTTCTTTTCAATTATTCAGGGATCGTATTGGTTATAATGATCCTATAGGAACTGGGGTTATTTCTATATCACAAATTTCTGCTTTTCGTGATGACACTGATGGTTAGTTGTATTGTTGTCTCATTGCCTCTACTATCATGGGATGTTATTAATAACTAACACATGTAGAGTAATACTTCGTGGTTTTTTTGATATCATACATATTTTTCGTCATGTAACATCTACTTTAATCATAGATCACGTGCTATGGAATATATTGATATATCTTTTTATGTATATAACTGACACAATATGCTTCAGTCATTTCTTTATCTGCATAATTTCACCATTGATATTTGTCTAACAGTGTTCTAGATCAGAAATTGTGTAAATTCTTTTGCAATCAAATCTCACTTCTTTCATTTCATACCGTAAAAATTTAACCATTATTATTTGTCTACTGTTAGCGACCTTTATTTTTTCGACAAGTCAAAAAATTAAAAAAGGTTATATCTATTACTTAACAATAGGGTAATATTGAACAAAATATGACAAGTGAACCTTTATCACTTCTCAATGTGGAATTATCCCAGTATCATCTTGAAAGTGTAAAAGAGTGATTTAATTCATTTTGCTTCCAGTGTTTATAATATCATAAATCACTGAAAATGAGAGATGGTCTTCACAATTATCCATCCTACTTATTATTTATATTAAGGGATCGAGGTTCTAAGGATGACGCAATCGGGACAGCTACAATAAGTTTAACTGAAACCTCTTCACAAGGAACCAATGGTATGTAAATACTACTAATACACGGTGGAGGTTTCACATATATTTAGTTTTTGTTTATACTAAGTTTATGTGCACAAAGCTATGGTTCTATAAAGAATGCATGTTAGTGAAATTTTAATTAATTTAAATAGTCAATAAATTTTCTGATAAAGATTATTTCATAAATACTACTAACATTCACAGTTAATTTTCTGCTAGAATTTATCCATGTTATAATTTACTAGGGTCTTATTGAATGTATCCCATTATGAATTCTTTTCTGTTCGCTAGAAAAAATGAAATACTCACTATGTTATAACTTCAAAATGATTTCTTTGAAAGTTTTTATGTAAAATTGCAAGTGGTATAATTCAAACAGAATTAAAGTGATGACACTTGATGACTGTCCTTCTATATTGATAATTGAATTAACTCAAACTATTTGATTACGACTCGGCGACCAAGGTATACCATTATTATTGTTAGATTCATAGTCTATGATCGAATTCAACTGTTACATTATCTGCGAATAATTGACCAACCTAGCTATGCAGTGAGAAAAGACTGTGTACGAACCTCTTTTTTCTCAAGCTATATTTTAATGCTCACAACTCATGAGGTAAAAAAAAATTGACTGGAATAAATAATCTTTAGTTACAATACCATAATCCACGTAATAACACAAGTTTATCATCCGAATAAAGAATAACAGTGAAGTCAGTAAAATACGATAAGTTACATCGTAAAAGGATTGACTATTTTAAATTCTTTAGTATCATATTATCCAGTCTTGAGTGAGGATTGAGTTCTATCTACAGTATCATAGTGTCGCTACTGATCCACAAGACTCACTTCTACTGTAGTCTTTAAGGCAGGTGAAGGAGACAATTGCATCTAGGTTTCAAGCTTAATGAACTTGTCAGCACTGAGTCTCTGTCATATTTAGGAAGACGTTGTTTCACGTGAGATTAGCAATCATGAGACCCAGTGTCACAAAAGGAAACATTAGTATTAGCTATTCAGGAGGTGATTGATTCTTTAGAAAACAATGATAACACTAACTGCTAAACAAACCAACTGTTATTACTGACAGTATTTTAGTGATAGTTTTCTTGCGAATTTGAGTTGGTTCAAAAATCGGCGAAAAGCAAAGTTCATTAGACAGTTATTTCAAACTATATTCGAACTTGAGCAGTTCACAGTTATAACGTAGAACCTTCAACTCTACCGATGTACATGATGTACTTAAACAAATTTATCAAATAGCCATAACTGGAACAGAATCACATCACCACCTCAGTTGTTGAATAAAAAATGTCCTTGACATAGTTTCTCTGTATATGTGACAAATATTTATATGCCAACCATTTTCTCACTCAATCATTTTTTAACAAATTAACTTGTTTCCTTATATATTTATATAATTTATCTTGTCAACTAACTTATCATCGATGTTTAGTTAGAGTTTTGCTTGGTGTGCACACTATTTTCTTATATGCATAAGCTGCTTGATTATGTGTGCGTGTGGTCATAACATCCAGTTAATTCCATCAGTTAATGTATGTCTATATTTTTGCATTAATATAGGTAGCGAAGGTATGCTGAGTTATACATTTTCGGTTTATGGATTCACATTGCGCTTGCGTCATTCTGTTTATTATTTAGTCAGCACTTGCTTTGTATACCGTTTACACTTGTGTTTGCATTGTTACTCAGTTATCATATATATTGCATGCATATAAATATACTTAATACCTGAATGATTAAAAGTTTCTCATGGGGTCGTCGTATTACAATGCTATTTATGAACAATCTGAATCAATCAAATAATATTTACTTGCTCATCCAATTGTTGTGTGTTCTATTGAATTCTCTTTTTTTATCCCATTTCATTTATTTTCAAGTTGTACAGTAACAAATATTGATATGTTATATCAACCAAGTTACTTCATTTTAAATAATTTCTTTTACTAAGGGATAGTAGTAACATTTTTATTAGGTCTATTCATCAGTGAAAAATGATAATATCGATCTCTTAGCCGTCTGTTTAACCTTCTACGACTCTGAGATGCTTAAATCGGAATCAAATAAAACTTAAAGTTCTGTGTCAATGATAATTTTTTTTTGATTGAAAATAAAAAGTTTTTGATATGATTACTGCTGGTTAAACTTGAAATCTCAATAACTTCTAGAGAATATTTAATTTCTCTTTTAGACAAAATGTCGTCAATCTCTATTTTTGTGAGCTTGGTAAATAATACAAAACAGGCATAAACCTGTCGACTTCTGCGATTAACTAGAAGCCGTCATTGTTCGAACACATCTGACCTATTTCTTTTTGTTCCTATGGCCTTTACAAGAATGATTACTGACAATGCAAAGTATACTAACATGTGTAAATATGTTTGTGAACTGTTTATATGCAGTCCAAACTGATAAACCAGTTCTTGTTTAGGCCAGCTAAACAACTAGGTCAAAAGTCCCTACATCTAAATTGAGGTAATCTAAAATATTGAATAATTTAGTTAGCTTTCAAGCTTCAATAAACGAAATTCGGTATGCAAAGTTCGCTTCGTTGCTGCGTCCCAGTATTAATAATATTATAAATCAACTTTAAAATCACTGATACCTAGTCAATATCTAAAAGTACCAGTTAAATATATTGTTTTACTGGATATCAATCTATGTATTAATTCAACTGAAGCTTTGATGTTATTTAACATGCTTCTATTCAGAACCATATTTTATAAATTCCTAAGCGATTGAGTTACGGTACCTCTAAGATCCGTGATGGAACGACATATACCAGTCGCATGAATTTTTCTATCATATTACGGCTCCATGTCATAAACAGGCTACCTGTGTTTTTTCCATTGGATCCCCAAACTAAATAGATATCTAGTCCTATCATTAGACTAGTCAGGAGTAGTATTCTACAACTTCACAAGGGTTTGCGTCTTGGTTTTCGATGGTTATCAAAGTCAGTCCGAGAGATAAAACGTGAAATACGCATTCAAAAATATGTACTTATTCATTGACGAATAGTCCCCAAAGTCCCCATTAACCTTCATTATTTCGTTCTTGACAATAATACCTCGTGCTCTCTCGCATGCTTCTTGCCTTTTATGTACACATATGTATACGTTCATAATCTCTATATACAGGCTTCTTACCAACATTTGGTCCAAGTTTTATCAATCTCTATGGTTCTCCAAGAGAGTACAGTGATCTTCCGGACAAATACGAAGCATTAAACTTAGGCAAAGGACAAGGTGTAGCATATCGTGGTCGTGTTTTGTTAGAGTTATCAACTGAATTATTAGATGAACCAACAGCTGATTTGGTTAAACCATTGGAACAAGATAAAGTCGCAAGAATCCAGGTAAGTTTATATATATATATATATATATATATATATATATATATATATATATATATATATATATATATATATATATATATATAATGTTTTTGGTTCATTTGCTATTGGTATCATGGACGAAAATTGTTGAGGGTTTCTATATTATAGCAAACAGCTTTCCTAATCTCCATGGTCTTTATTATTTGGTTGTCAGACATCTTATCATAGTTTCATTCTTTCAGTTTTCACAACCCATATTAAATAGGATTAGAGAATCCACACCGATTTACAAGGTATAGTCAGGTTGGTACATAAAGGAAGAGAACATATAAATTAGTAAAGGTACATAACTCGAACAAACATAATTCAGAGATTAATTTTAATGAACATTTGTAGTACAGTTCTTAGTGAAGTGAGGCTTATGTTGTTTTTCAAAACTTGTTATGAAAGATAATATTTTAAAGTATAACATTATTGATGGAATACATACTGTATTAATCATAGAAGTATTACTATTAAGTCGCATACGCCAAAGCGACGTATTATGCATTTTAAAATGGTAGATGTTGCATGTTTCCTATGGAAAGTACTTTAAACAATCTAACCTCAGGGTTCACTATGGTTTCTCACATTGATGTTATGTTTAATATTAATAAAATGGCTGTCATTGTTACTGTTTAAGGCTTCTGTTTGTTGAAAGATTGCATAATACACTTACTTCCTGGATAATAACGACGTCCATTGAAGTGGCAATAATATTTCTACTGAAATCGACCTGAGTATTGGAATATATTCAAATAAGTAATCAATTTTTCGATTCTAGCTGTCCTAATTTTTGGCAATGAGACTAGACGATAAATCACCTCTAGTATTTTTCTAAAAATAGGAAGACAAATGTTGAATTTACAATCGTGTAATATTATGTAGATGGATAGATCATGAGTAATTACAAAACGTATGAAGATATACAAATAAAACAAACTAACTGGTTTTTAATAGCCCGACTTTTGTCTACTTCATATTCATTTGTATAGAAATCCTTAAGAAGAAGAAAATACCAGTTGTATGTTGCATTTTTATCAGCAACAATGATTGAAGAAAAATCTGACGGACCAATTGAATTTGAAATCAGTATCGGTAATCATGGGAATAAGTTGGATGAATCGGTCACACCATGTGCATCAACGACACCACCAACAAATCCTGTATCAGATGGATTACATTACTACTATTTACCATGGGCTGATGATAAACCATGCACTATGGTTGATTCTCAATGGGAAGATATATCATTTCGTTTAGGTGCAGTTAATTTATTATTGAGAATTGCTGACCATTTGGTAAGACAACATTTACAGATGTATTTATAATAGTATATTTGTTTGTATATCGTTTGGTAAGGTTCCATGGTTACAGACGAACAAGAGATGTCAGTAATATGAAGGTGTATCGTTACACCTTGGTAAATTGATAATCAATTCACAATTACATTATAATGATAACAACTTAACACAAGTCAGAAGTGAGAAGACAAAATTTCACAATGCAGCTTTATTGTTTTTTAACATGGTTTATTACGTAATAATATATGTGAATTATGTAGCTAAACAACATCACAATAATATAAGTCAACTTTAGGAAGTAGTAAAATTATCTCTACCAAATCTGTCAGTAGATTAGTGATTTACATGAAGATTATCAGAATGAACATATATTTATCTGATGTTATGACTTTCTCTGAAACTATTACAGACAAGTGACTTTTCCCAATTACTGACAGTAGTCAAATAGCTTTGAACAATATTCTTGTTCTAACATGGAACTCAACAATAGTATACTATCATTGATATTTTAAAACAAAATATTTACAATGCCCAAAGTGTTAATCAGAATAGGGCACATAATTAAACAATACTGTTTTTAGTATTTAAAGCTAAAAGCTGAATATTCTCGACCGACTTGTAATTTAGTTCATCTATGTATGATACTTAATTATGGTGAGGCTGTTGAACGAACGTCAAACGAAATGCAAGCATTTTAAAACTCTTTAGAAATGATTTTTTTCTATTGCTAACTAACTTGGAACGGACAACCGTCGGGAACCCAGAACCACCTCTCGTAAAGTAATAAGGTCACCTGCGCCCAACCATTGGTTTTGGCCATATGTGGGTATTTTTTGAATAGTCCTATACACAGACAAAACCGATTTCCAGTTCGGCGATTCGGCACTACAATACATCCTACAATAAATTTCTCAGCTGTGTTTCTATCAATTTCCATTTGTTTTATTATTATTTCTTAAATAAATAAAACAATAGGAGAGAGGAATCAGTCATTTAATGGTTGCCATTAAAGCGAATCTCCCAATAGAAACTCAAGCACAATTGGCAATCTCTTCATTAGATGAATTTATTATGGATTGCAAGTAAGTGTTGTTGGAGTTTATTGTTATTTCTCATAAAATAGGAATAAAATAAAGGATTCCCTTTTTATCCCACTGTGGTTTGCACCTATTTTGTAAGCTATTTTTATCCCACTACAAATGATGTATATACTAGAAAATATGCAAATACAGCTAGTTGATAAGCACTAATGTGATCATGGAATTTTTATAAACTGAATAGACAATATTAGACCATTTTCTGACAATGTACAGTTGCAAGAATGATATTTTTTAAAGTCTGCTAAAGGTTTCTGTTTGTGTTATGTTAAACGGTCACTGGAATATATCTGACGGTAAATTACTAATCAAAATTTGTGTCACCCCATTTAAACCACTTGACTATTTCCCTAGTTTACATAAAAGAATGATATAAGCTACACAACCACTGACAACCGGGAGGCACTTGACAGCTGTTACGACTGCGTATGAGACCCCTCAGCAGTGAGAGGCCATAACTAGCTGAGTTCAACCAGGTCAAGAGTGTGACAGTTATTCAGTCCAGGCGATGGGAGGTGGTCGCGGATAACCGCGAATCGATTAGAATTAGATATTTACAAAGTTAGTTTTTCGCTCATCGGCTTATAGATTAAGCGTTTACAGCGAGACCGAAAATCTTGGGTTCGTTCCCCATGAATGCTCACTGCCGAGGAGTTCATTACTAAGTTGAAACAGCTATTGAGTCTTGTCTGATTATTGCCTAGCTAAAACTAGAACACTATGTGAATTATGAAAATTCTGCCATCTCTACGAACTCATAATTAACTATTTGTTGTAAATATTGAAAAAAAATGATTTCACAGATCACTCTCAACAATGAAAATTTGTTAGTGACTCAAAACGCTGATAACTGTTTGCATTCAGAAAATATTTATACGGCAAACCTCACCGACGTAACCACCACTATAGCGCAAATGTTTATTTCACATTTGAGATGACAGATCAAAAGAATATATAGATAACCACTTTACAACTTTTTTATATTACATTACATATGTCGATTGATTCATACTTACTTTGCATTCTGTTCTTCGCAGATAACTGGAAATGTACGATATTTGAATAATAACCTTGGGGTTCAAGCACACTTAACTGATTGATCCCATGTATAGTGGAATTTATATTATGGATTTCTCCAGTCTAGCTACTATCTGAAAAATTAATTCTTTAATGTTTATATTCTAAACAACAAATTTTCAACATTTATTATAACTTTTTTTTCATTTCAGTCATGCCTTACCACAATGGGAACCTGAGAATATTCCTCAAAATGAAATGGATATGCATTTGCGTAAATTACGTGAAGATCAATTAAATACATTACGTGAGCAAGCAATAAATACAAGAGAAACTGTTTCTGAAATTGATGATGCATTAAAAGAATTGAAATCTTATCGAGAAACTATTCTTAATTTGGCAATCGAAGTAAGTGGTATCCTTGTATAATACAAAGAGCATGTGAATGTTACTCATTTTGAAGTTGCTTTATGTCTTTATTTAACATCCATTAGGGTAAACATTGATAATCACAGATTATTCGGCAGGTGGTCTTTTATAATTTGAAACTATTGAACGACGCGTGGCCACACTCCTACAAGGGATTGAATCGTTAATCTTTATACCTTCCAGAAAGCATAATATATGTAGATTACCTAGTTTGATCTCAGTGGTTTAGATTTCTAGCTTCAGTTAATTCGATAGGAATGCGACCGATTGAACAATAAAGACAGAATCCATCATCGAATGACCGTTGTATTATATCTTGAATTGACTGAGCCTCAAGCAACTGAACTTGGATTCTATTTTACTTACGAAATGTTACTATTTTGGTGGCGTTTTGTTCTCTGAGCTGGATGGTTTGGTCGTGGAGCTTTCATCGTTCTTCTGAACGACATCATCAGCACAAACTTCAGAAGAACGATGAAAGCTCCACGACCAAACCATCCAGCTCAGAGAACAAAACTCCACCAAAATCATCCACCTGAGCTACAAATCTTCTCCACTATCTCGAAATGATACTATACTCTCTATAAAACTTAAACACACTAGATTTAATTGTGCATTATGTGTACACAGTTCATAACTGTAATAAGTATGGAATAAGATTTAAATAGTGACACAGTAGTTACAGATACACAATGATTCTTCGGTTGGTGTTGCTCCATCACGTTTACGGTAGTTGGTGTTAAACAGGTTTTATGAGTCAAAACCCATTTTTTTAAGAATGCACTTGTAGCTTGGACCGTTCTTTACTGATATTATTGATTAAAGTACCAAGTTGTTAATATTACACTTTCACAAGGATCGCTATTAGTGTACTGTAAATGTGTGGTTTATTAGAACTTTCTAAAACGTCTGTCAACTTAGCTAAGAGTATGAACATTAAACTTAGTTATTATAGTTTATGTTTTTTGATGTTACGAAATATTCTCTGTCGCTCGTATTCGAACTGGGAACACAGGTTGAAACCCTATTTGTTAGACATTATGATTTACTACTTCAGTGAATTTGAAGTTAAAGTAGAAGGTCTCCAGGTTGTATTTTCTTCGGTCACTTGGTTCGAACATTATTTATAACAGACCTTACACTAAAATGTCTGTTTGTCATTCATCTTCTCAGCAGTAAAAATTGATTCATAGATAAAAAGAAATGTTTTGTCACTGTCTAAACTAATGTCTTTTTATAACGTCTATACATGTATATTAATATTGAGTATTAATACAGATAAGTATTTAAAAATACTTAAATAGTACAGATGTATTTATATGTCTATCTTTTTGACTTTATACACAGCCACAAATGAGTATACCAGATATTATAATATGGATGTTAAGCGGTGGTAAGCGTACCGCTTATCACAGAATACCAGCTCATGAAGTGTTATACCATGACAATGAAGATTACCGGGGATTAAAATGTGGTACAGCACAAACAATCAATTTAAAAGTATGTTCTCTTTAAATTATGTTTTTTATTCAGTTGAGGAGATCATGAGAGACTAGTTCAATGTGACAGATGTTTTTCATCAAAAGCTAACTTTAATAGACAAACTATTGAGAAACAAAGTACTGGACAGCTCGGTCATTCTATTTTAAAACACCTTCGTTTAGTTCACCTACTGTACTTCCAGGTACTGAATCCAGTACACTCTGGTTTGAAACAAACTATGTTACCTTCATATCATGGTCATCATTCAGGGCCTTTTGTGATGACTATTTCATTCGCCATATGAGTGAACTCTTATCTACAAATTCTACCTTGAACATCGGTAATTTTGCTTCAGGTTTAGTCACTAATGAGGACATTATTATTATTTCACTGATTTAATTAACAATAAAGTTTTGTGTTTTCACAACATACACTACTTTAACGTACAACAAAACTACGTTTTTACAAAGAGAATTATTTAATACTGTTATAACGGACGAAAAAGTGCGTTTTACTTATGATTACTGCGGTCGTCTGTTGACTTGATTAAGTGATAACTCTCAAAACTGAATTGACTGACACAGTGCTTTTTAGTAATTAAAAGTTAAGAGAAGAATATCCACGGAACAATTCCCTGATTTTTCATCAAAAGGTTAGTGTATTAGGACTGTGAAAACTTTTTTGCCCCACCATGATTATAAATAACTTACCTATGGAGATCAGCTTCAAAAATAAACTTCCTCATATCAAACAGTTTTGTATATGTTTACTTTCATATATTGCTGCATATAATTGTCTACAGAAACCCACCTTATTGAAAGATGAAAACAAGCCAGAATGGAAAATTCCGGCTCAGTTACGTGTTGTTGTATGGTTTGGTTTAGAAAAGGACCGTACTGCATGGACAGAATCGCATACTGAGGCAAAACTCCAAGTTGTTGCAGAAACGGTATGTTAATTATATTCGCCTGTTCAACTTTATTACCAATGGTTCACTTATTTGTTTGAGAATCACCATAAATTAGCTATAATATGAGTCTGTGTCACATGATAACAATATACTTGTCAAATCAAGTCAGTAAAAATGGGAAAAACTGAGATGACACAAATTTAGACACAGAGCATCATGATTCCATAAATTATGCCGTCAGACATTAATATATAATTTACAGATATGTGTTTGTCCATTTAATTATTTAATTCAAGGTCATCGATAGGGTACCAATAGGTCATCAGTCACCAACTAATTACTATACAGTCTGTTTCTCTAACATCGTTATTCGAAATGCTATTTCCTTAATAATTTTGGTAAAATCAGTACATGACAATCTTTAACATACTTGATCAAACAAGAAAACACACCACATTACCTTCAGAATCACATCCCTTTTTGTGAATAGATTGAATGTCATTAAAACGGAAATCAGACCGTTTACAAAGAAACAAATTTAGCTTATTATTAGCAAATATTACCATGTTAAAAACTCTCGGAAAACTGTTTGATTATAAGATAAAAATGGACAGCAAAATTTGAGAATATCGATCAATCAACTACTATCCTTAACTTTAACGATTAGTATGAAAACAAGTTAACAATATAAGTTGTTATGTTGTCCTTGTACAAATAGCATTCGGTTATCTTGAACATATGGATATGATGTGAAGATTAGCTCAATTTGAAAGCAGTTTTTATCCTCGACGTGCATCATCTGCTGAGAAACACATGAGGGCTAAATGAATATCTTGTCCCATATTGTAACCCCTGGTTCGAAAGGATCCAATATTTTTTCAACCATTAGGTTGGAATTTAATGGTCCCCATTTCGACTGTCAGTTAATTTGAGATATTACATTATGATTATTCAACGTAATTGGTGATACTTGTATCACTTTGTATACGGTTGACCTCCATTATTATGTCGTTAAACCTACAAATGATACAAAATGCTAGAGAGGATGAACAAGCGGTTATTGGGTTATTCAAAATAAATAATTAATTAATTTTTGTGTACACTTTTCCTGCAGGATTTATCACTAATCTGAATTACGCGACATCCTGGTTGACCTAACTTATATTAGTATTAAGGATTAGACAATATTTTATTGGTCACTCGCCATTGAATGGTTGTTAGTTGCAGACGATTAGCTAAGTAATAATAGCTTGATTGCAACACCACATGCATTGATTTCAAATTCGTCTAAAGTAGTGTATCTCTTAGAATTCGAGGTACTCTACGATAACAAAGACTAGCTAGTATTCAGCAGAGATATAGGACTTTCTGCTCATCACCTCTAATCATAATGTTTTGTACATAAAATGTTAAGCATCAAACAGTAATACGGTTTAGTCATTATCAAGATCATTAGCGTAAATCATTAACATTTATTAAACTGTCTGTTGATAAACGCAACTAATGATAGCTAACATCAATTATCAGTACTTACTCACTAGATAGAAACGATTTAGCCATTGAACATCCTGGTCATATTTGTTCAAGGTCAAACTCTCCATTAGCAATGAATCGAGATGAATTCAGACCAAATTCCATCAGTCTCTTTAGATAACCACAGTTATGATCTTAAGCGAGCTTAGTGATCTGGTACACTTATAGAACTGAAGTAACTGTTTGTGATAATAGAAATTATTGTGTTTTAAAGTCAATCGATCTAATGTATACTGTTGGTGACTAAAGAATATTTGTTTTCACCAGAAGTGTTGAACAAAATATCTATGAAATGTTTCTGCGTTTACTCAATATTCTTTAATATTTAGTATGAAAATCAAGCATCAATTGTTGGTAATTGGGTGACTAAACGACCACCGTTAACACGTCCATCATGGTCTGATAATACTGGCAGAATTGAATTACCCAAGGATTCTATTCAATTACCAACAGGTTGGGAATGGGTTGGTGATTGGTATGTTAGTCCAGAGTTATCGTTGCTTTATAAAAAGGTGAGCATCAAATTTCTTTTTTACAACACAAAATTTTAGAAGTCATTTCGAATCATTCACTTATTCTAACTAAAAGATCTCTGTTCATGATAAGCCACTAAATACGAGATGGATCTTATGCTTTTTCAATTTCTCATTGTGATTAAAATATACTAGTGTATATGAACTATTGTATGTGTATGAGCGGTTTACTCCTCTGATCAATCTCGTCATCTACATCTGTGTGTTTGGGTCAATTTAGGAATATATATGTACGATAGAGATGTGTACATTTGTATCTTCTTCTTCCCGGTATGGATACCTAGGGAGTCCAAGATTTCTTTATCCACACAGTGATCTGGTCAGGCGTTTTGTAATCAAACATTTAAACTAAATCGGACAATAGAATATAACAGTTTAAAAACTTATGAGTGACGTAAGAGTTATTTCGTAGTGTTTTATTTTGAGACTACTTAGATATATATTTTTTTAAGATTTACTATGAACAAATTGAAAAGTGATTTTACAGATTATTGAAGCTTACGCTTGTACTGTTCTTGATTCTAACCTGAACGGTTTTCTCACGCTAAGTATCAATATTTAGTATTAAACAATTTCTTGCAAGTGGGAGAAGTGTCAAGTTGAAGAACTATGTTTTGTAGACAGTCGTATTTCGCGTGTGTATGTATGTATGTATGTAAAAAAACGAAGTTGGTTTACAAGTCATGGTACTATTGTGAGTAATGAAGTATTGTGTTATTCTTTCGTCAGGTCAAAGAACATATTGACAACCTGTAAACTTTTTTAATCGCGTACGAATTTGAAGACGGAATTTCTGTAAATGAATTTGTAAATGAAATTAAACAGAACTCATTCCAGTAACCTCATTCAACTGTCAATACATTTAATTATTAACTCCATTTTAAAGAGATTAAAATGTATTTTGAGGAAATGAACCATCCTTAATATCATTTTATTACTTGAATATCTAACTCGTGATGTGAATGAATAAACTTTTCTGTTAAATAAATAAGCTTTCAAATATTATTGCATATTGATTAAACCGGGAGTTGTATGGTACCGTGTTATTTAATACGAATGTTGCATAATTAACTTAATATTGTAATCGGTTTAGTTCAGAAGTGAAATTCATACAAATCATGCAAACTGGTCACATTTTTAGTTGTATTGATGATATCTTTTGCATTATTGTTAATATGTATGAAAGGTAGAAGGTACATTTGTCATTTTATGAGGTTCTTTACAGCCTTTTTGTGAATATATTAGAACCAGATATCTTCATATCATAAAAAACTGGTGATAATTTTTAAATATAAAGAAATTTATTCAATTCAACAACACTTAAACCTGATCTCCTTACTAATTAACAATAAATAAACGAGTCAGTTGATGAAGGATTCGTTTCAAGCTCCATAGTATATGCAAACAAATTAAAGGTTTACATTAGATTGCTCAACAAACCAACTTACTAATCGAAAGAGCTAATCCGTGTCAGGTAGAGACAGGTATCTACCTCAGTACAATGGAAGATAGTCACTCAGTTTCGTCACCACGTTTAGGTACCGGCTGGTTCAGTGGTCTAGAGGTTAGGCGTTTGCGCGAGAGACTGGAGGTCCTGGGTTCGAATATCGCGGGGGGCGGGACCGTGGGTGCGCATTGCTGAGGGATCCCATAATAGGACGCAACGACCGTCCAGTGCTCCCAGGTTCTCAGTGATCGTCTAACATCAGTCGGTTCATAATCTCAATCAAAAAAACCATTAATTCAATCAAGGAATTATGCTTTGGACAACTAATCAATTTTCTTATAATTTCTGTAACTAAACATGCTTCGATAAGTAGCATTTACACATTATCAACCACTGGATAACAACTAACTTAATATTAACAACATTGAACATTTCATTAGTAAAACTTTGTTTAAATTTCTGCCAATATAAGTCGTTTCATTCTATAGAACACCAATCATATGAGTTCATTTTATAAATTGACTAACTAATGGAAATTACAAAATAATAAACAACGAAATTATTTGAATTTTTAACCATACCACATTCCATACATTGAGCATTTAATGTAATGAGAATATTGATGGTTTTCGCTAACGGTATTATTAGTCATTTATTATGTACGAATTTAATTCGCGTTAATCATTCCCCATTGACAGTAACTATTATTTTATCTATTTCCTATATTTGATTAAGGATGCAGGAAAAACAAGTTTTGTTGAAGAATTATTCTATAATGAATTTCGTACCCCAACAAGTCCATGGAAAGTTGCTGAACCTGCATATACTGATGCACAAGGAGAAGTGAAAGGTGAACCAAAAACAGTTGAACTACCAAGTGGCTGGACATGGGCTGATGATTGGAAAATTGATTACAATCGTCCATGTGATGAAGACGGTTTTGAGTATACCGTAGAAGCATCTACAGGTGGTTATGTTGCAGCTGAAAAACTTTATCATATGTTTCGTAGGCGACGACTAATACGGTCACGGATACTTGGTGATGTTGGTGTACCTGTTAAACAAGAAGTGAGTACATTACTAATGTTTTGTTTGATAATAGCGTCGTTTCTGTGCATTCATGTTAAAAAGCCGTAAAAAGATGATAAGCATGTTTTGACACGAAAGATTATGTTTCTTCAGAATTCATCTCTAAATATCATCAACCGTTCACTGATCAGAGACGCTGTCTTCTTAGTATTAACCAATTTTATTTTATTCAATATTTTGGACGCTTCTAATCCCAATCCAACGTACTTAGTGTGAAATCTTTAAGTATCATCTTCAAAGATTCTTAATTTCAATGATATTTTTAAACGAAAGCCTCTAATTAGCAATAATAGTAATAATAATAATGATGATGTTCGATAGATCTGGGAATTTTATGATGATCTCCATTTTACATATTGATCAACAACTTTAAAAAAACAAGCATATATGACCCTTAAACATGCGAGATCAATATATAATATCTAAACTATATAATTTCTACTACTCTTTTCACTTCAATAGTTTGTATCATTTTTCGAAAGTTTGTATCAATTCCACTTCATTTCTGAAAAGAACTTGACATTTTAGTTGACCCCTCTGTATTAAGTGAACAAACCTGATATTCAAACTGATAAGTCATAGATTTTGTAATGTCGACAGAAAACTGGTTAGAGTTAAAAGAAAAAGTTGAAACTTTATTTTCCCCGTTATATCTTGTAGTCAAACTCTTAAGTATTGATTTCCTAAACTCTTCTTTTGCTCTTCAACTTTGGACGTAAAACAGAGGACTTGTGCTTTGAGAGGAATTTCACATACAAGATCATGAGCGAAAAAACCGGAACTTTATAAGACCACATGACCTTCAGATTTGAGAATCCTCTTAAAAGAATCTTTAAAAAATCTCGGCTATAGCTTAACTGAGAAACACACAAAGTTTATGGAACCCAGATTGATCGGAATGTTTTGAGCACTTTCTTAACCTCTGAAGACTTTACGTAGGAATTAGTCAGGTCTCCTAGCATTAACTACAATGCATTTAGCGAGGACAGTACAGATTGAAATTATATCTTACGAACAATTAAAAGAGTGAAACAATCAATAGAGTAAACGTGTGATAACTCAAAAAAAACGAATTAACGACCTTGAAAACCGAATAGTATCAAAATGGAAAATGATAATCATGATGCTAAATAACAACAGATTTAATAAGATCAATACACAGTTGAATAAGAGGGAAATCCAAATGATATAGAATGTATTCTATCATCCAAAATTTCTTGACGGATGATTATACATATACATATATATATGTAATAGTTGACTGAGATGGACGGCTATTTTCCTCCCAGAAAATGCCACAATATTGGTAAATACATTGAGTATTCCATAGATACGTATTTAAATACTTCAGGATCTCGTATCCTTAATTCTCTGTGGTAGTTTTAAGCAATAAAAAGTAAGATTTTCAGTACTTAAAAATGAATTCTTCCCATTTCAATACCTTATGGTAGACAGTTTCAAGTGACAACCGATAAACTGGATTAGAAACAATGATTAAATGCTTACACTATTTCTGAATTTAGACTTGTAATTCTAAAAGAAAATGTGAAGGCCAAAGTCAGACAATGTGGCTAGGGTTGATGCCTTTTTATATACGTAAAATCTAATCAAATGAAGTAATTGACGAGGAAGTTAGGTTATGAAATTGGTATTAAATGACTAAAAATTAATTTTTTTCTAAATTATAATGTATGATGATGCAATCACTTATTTTACTGTTTATGACATTATCTTGTTTACCTAATATTGTTCAGTCTTATGTTTCGGAATTCATTAATAAACATTGCTTTTTCCCGTTTCGATGCTTTTGTTATAAACGGATGTTCGACTATGAAAAATAAATTCCATGAATACAACTCTTTAATCAAGAATCATGTGTTACCGCATTCCGTTTCTAGTTAGTTTGTATATAAGATTTAATGATACAAATGGAACTAATGATGTGATAACCATACCTGAGAATCTAAGAAATGGGTAATTAGCGAAGTTTCTGAAGTTATAAATGTACACCACTGGATGCTAAACAATTGTTTAATAGTGAGACCTGAAGTGTTAGGTTCAAACCCTGGCAGTTTTGTGGATGAACACTGTTGACGAATCTCTTGCTAGAACGGAACAGACATCCATTGTTCACTCAATCTTATTAATACTCCCAATCCATAAAATGTTCGTCCATGAAACTATTAAATCATAAAGATCATTAATTTAAAGGTGGTCTACATTTAAGTCATGAATTATCTACATAACTGGTGAAAATCAAAGACAACAGTTTTATCCGTACCTGAGACTCATAAAAACTGCTCACCAGCGACCTCTTACTGGATTCAATCTGTCTCTTTAAAGTTTCACCGTCACTTATATTACTAACCCATTTAATTATAATTCAATGAATGGCTCAGATTATTACCGTGAAATAATTTATGGAACAGCATGATTTTCATCTGATGATTTTTTTCGATTAGTTACTGTCTCAGCTTACTGTGAAGGATGTTTAATCGATGGATCCGTTGGTCAATCTCTAATGAAATATTATGAAAATCAATTCTGATCTTTGTCCTAACAGTAAAAAATCTCTCTAAGAAGCAGCTAATTACTTATGAATTGATCTTCACCGTGAAGTTTTTCCATGAATCATCAATATGATTTGTATTTACTTACTAAATCTCTTGAATATAGGTACTAAGACAAGTGATAGCACATGATCAAGTAAGGTTTTGTGTCTGTATGTGTATGTGGCATATGCGTATGCATGACTGTGTAATATCTCATATAGGGGTGAATCGTTATTTATACATGTATATGCCCTTGTACATGCTTATATCAGTGTAGTGGAATATATATATGTAACGTCTAACATATTTCAGTGTACAACATGCTTTAAAATGTTTATTTCGTTATACTCTTTATATTTCCCCTAAACTATTTCTTGATGTGCGTTATATGATGAGAATGTATTGAATTCATGTTTGCAAAATTTAGATGTTAGATGTTAGTAAACTACAAAACTTCAAATTATTCAGTTTCAAGTTTTTATCTAACAGGTTTTGGACTGCTGGCCTCTTCTTTGTTTTTTCTAAATATTTACTCTAGGATACTCTATCATTTCAAGTTGATCATCGGTATAACGATTTTAACCAGATTTCTTTTTGTTTTATCATTTTCACCATTGTTTTCAACTTGTTTAAAAAATTTTTTAAAAAATTCCACAAATGATTGTCAGTAGTTAAGGTAATAAATTTCATAATACAGTTAGCATTTAATTAATCAACATATTTCAACTTTAAAGAAGATTTAACAATTATGCTAGTGAGCATTGAATATTCATTTTATAATATAATAGACTATTTTGTATAGATATAATTATTTCTAAATTAAAATACATGGATCACTATCCATCATTGTTCACTATGGAGTATAAAGTGTAAAGCTTATTGAAAGTAGATCCAGTCGATGACAAATTCAATACAGTTTTTTACTTCTAAACATTAAACAAGAATATATAATAGGTATTCGGTGTGAACATAGTATCTCAATTATTTACTATTATTGATAATGATGATGAGGAAGAGGAGGATGAAACTAAACACCGACATCCATAAACATATAAATGATCTATAGGTTATCAGTTGATACTGTTTTCTTTGATTCTTGGTCATTAACTGAAGTCAACAGCGAATAGTTTACAAACTGTTAAAGAGGGATGGCGGTCAGAAAACGAGTATAAGCTAAGACCTAATAATATCGTTTAGAATTACTTACATGAAATTCAATTTGTATAGTTGAATAAATCCTAAAAATACCAACTAATTTGAGTCAACTATATGTTCTAAGCACAAGGAAAATGCATCTGCAAAGTAGTTAGCCTAATTTATATTTTTAGGAAAATTAATTTGTTTATCGAAAGTTATTATTTCCACATAATCAGTCTGAAGAGGGAAATTCTTTAAATCTATTAGAGAATATCAGATGATATTCCTTGGTTCAATCACTTTATTTACTTGTTGACTAACTCTTAAACGCTTTCATGTAACCTGGTGTGATCGGTCTTTTAGATGAACTTTAACTATTTTCTCGTGTAATAAATAGCTTATTATCTGGAAAAAATTCGATGACGATTTATCACAGCCTCTAATCATTGTACTTATCAAAATTCAATCTCAGCTTATCTCAATATCATATTTATAAAACTAGAAACTATCTTATCTGTATTATCATCTGTATGTCATATTATCACCTAACATGGAATTATTATTGCTGTTCGTGTTTACATTAATTCATAACATTTACGCAATTGCATCACTCAATCATCATATTCTAATTTTAAGAACATTCCACTCACGTTATGACATTCGAAACTCACTGGACTGTATTTTTACTATTCAATAACGTAAAATTTTCCTGCCTTTAAGTGAGTTCGTCCCATTTTATTTCCATGTCATTTTTGCCCTATTATTACACTCATTCGCTTATTCGAGGTCATTTTTTTATGTTATTATACCATACACCTTTTGTTTCAATATTACCTCCTACTATGTCTGTGGATTTCTCTTACTCTACTAGCTGATTAGTAAAGATTACATTCATCTTATCTATTTGTCCACATGCTGCATCATTCATTACCCATAAACATTATTCAATTACTGCAATTAATATTCTATTCCAGCCATACTGCATATCACAACAAAAAGGATACACTCTTGTTCATCGCAAACAAGTCAGTCTCACTCGTCGACATCGATAATATGTATTGGTATTTTTTTATCATGCCTTAGTACGGTTTGGTAACAAACGAATATCCCTTAAACGACATAATCCACGCTAGACTTCACGATCGAAAAGGAATACGGCTCCGCTTATCACATCTCCTAGTCGCTATCCTGTTCCTCTACTAATACACATTTAACAATAACTCGATGCATCTGTCATAACGCAAACGACAACGTACACTGACTTTGCATTTTATTATTATTGTCAATCGCAGTACAGCAGTGAATATCACCTATCGATAAAGTTATCATTTCACGACTTGATTGGCTTTATCCTACAAACAGAAACTCCTTGTATGTAAATGCAAAACCACTTATCGCTAATCGATGCTATTTACTGAAGTCCGGCTTATTAGAACATGTTCGCATTTCAGTATTCTTTATCCTTATATTCAGTCGTCACCACAGATCAATTCTTGTTATATTCTACCCTACTTATTATCACAAGTTGTTCCTCTGTCATACTCATAAACTATTTATTACTGTTTTCACCGTATTTCGAATCGCTTTTATGAATATGTTATGACATAAATACATGTTAATTTTTATACGCTTATTAACTTTCCCATAATTGCATGCTAACATTTCTATTTTTATCCGCATGTTTACGGTATTCATATACATTTTTACATAAGTAAACACGTTCGTACAATACACTCACTCCTCACGTGATACTGTAATTTATCAGGTATAGTACGATTTATTTCCCTAATCTTTAACGTTAACCATATAGTACTTCAGTGTTATTTTCGAAAACAGACATTTTAAAAATAATAAATGTGCTATTTCTACAAAGGGGCTATGTAGTGCCGGTTACTGTGTTAAGCCTACACAGCTTATTCTAGCTTCTAGACAGGCCAATTTATCCATTCTTCTTGAGTCGCCTTTTGACCTTGTTAATTATTCACTAATCAATCCTGACTGTTTTTTATATGAACGTATGTGTGTGTACATCGCTTATTCTACTCATCATATTTCTGTAGCTCGTTTTTGTGTGACTGTAAATATTGATTACTGTTTGGTTAAATCGAGTTGGTTCACACGTTTATTTAAATTTCTGTTCAGCAATCTCGTTTATCATTATTAGTAAGTTCCACAACCAAGTAGATTACAAAATAATAACTAATACGAATTCATGTTCAAATTAGTTTCCTTATATATATAATAGTTTATTCTAACTTCATGTATGATTACATATACAGTATTTATAATCTACCCTAACCCATATATACATATATATCTTATAACATCACTGTTATGCATATTTTTACTAGTCCAAATAAACATGGCTGTAACGTCCGTCCAAATTCGTTTTGCTTTTACTAAACGTGGTGAATTTATTTGAACGAATTGTGCATACACGGTATAATCATTGCTTACTTTTGTATATATCTAATGGGTTGTATTCTCTTAACGATACATAATTATGTAGAATAATGTTATGTTAATCATTGTTTGAGTTACTGATTCGTTTTAAGCGCTGTCAATAAGACTTTAATCTTTTTACATATGTATATGTTGATGTACAACAATGTTTCAATGAATTCTGTGTATGAGTTATGAGAAGTACTGAAATATAGTGAGATGAATTATATGTGGCTTGTAGCTAAGTGAAACATTTAAGTAAGCAGGATGAACAGCATACATATATATATGTTGATAAAATAAATTATTTATACTATAACTGGTCAGTAGCTAAGAATCAATCTCTATTTGTCCATTGATTAATAGTTACAACAATTTTCTCTACCTTACTGATTTATTACGTAAAGTATGAAACCTGTCGTGTACAGTAACGTTTCTATCTAATTCAAATATCTTACGTTCGAATTCCATAGAGAATATCCCAATTACTAGACAACATTCACAATAAGTTGAAAGGAAATCATTAAAAAATGGACAGAAGTTTGTCTGTTGTATACACTTGACTGAATGATGATCTTCCATTTATTCTTGAAAAACTCTCACAACAGACTGTTTCAATTGTGAGTAAATTAGGATGTTAAAAGAAAACTTTACAAATCAAAGTTCCTTCAGCATTGTGAATGTATTAGACTAAAAAAAAGTGAAGTTGGATTTAGCTAATAGACAAATTCAGTAGAACACAGTCAGCTTGGCAATAATCTAATGTTTCATAGTCATAATAGATTCTCACAGATCATATGACATTAGGGTCATTAATCTAAGTACATTAACATTGTGTTACAACTTTCAGGATGTTACATATTTGGTGGCAGTTGAATAGTTACCTTGGAAATAGGTTTCAATCTGGTTACCAGTCAGGAATAATAAATATCTACACTCTTCAGCCAGTTGATGTAAAACCGCACTACCCCACTATACGAATGAGATGTTTGAACTAAACAAAATCATTTATGGCTATGGTATAACAAGGTACAAATTCTGATCTCGAGTAGAACGCTTCTAAAAAGTATTGTTTACAAATGAATTTCAATCACCATTTAATCTAGGTTTAAGAGCATTCTGTGCCTTTGACTGTTTAATGTTGCTAATAACTCATTATTAAATTGAAAAATTTGACTTGCAGCGACAATAAACTTAGTGTTTCCAATGAATTCAGTTCCTAACCTATGACTAAATGTATGTACGTTTGTGATGTTAAAGAGATAACCAACCTATTATATCCAAACAACCATTGAATACCTGAAAGCACTAGATAACCGTTTCTATTTAGTATGGAACTCCACAACAAAGTCCACCAAATACCCGGTCACCGGGAATCGAACTCCGGACTATTGGTCTCGCTTGGGAATGTTTGACTTCTAGGTCGATAAACCGAGATCCAGTAATATGCAAGCCTAACTTCAATCAGTTCGCGAAATCGCGTAACTATATCTATCTATTTTCAATGAGTACATTCCTCACACTTGATACTATTGTACTCTATTAGTTATGGATCCTCACAAAAATTTTTAAAGTCACCTCTCAAAGCCAGTCAGTCATAACTTCTCACAAGGCTGTATGTTTTCGGTCATCATATCATAAATAGTGGTCAGTTTATCGAGTTCAAACGTTAACAATCCTAAAAATTTATATGTTTACATGTATATATCATTTTAGTAATAATTTTAAAAAAATAGACGAATAATTAATTCTTACTCTTTACAACTAACCAACAACATTAAAACCTTATTGGTGTAAACATATCACCATGGTATCAAGTAAATTGAAAAGTGTTTTTTTTTGTTTTTACTAACTTTTTTTTCCTAGCAAAGTTTAAGTACGGAACCAGCAGAAGCATGGGAGTATGCATTCAATTTCGATTCAAAATTCCATACAAAAGAACGTAAAGTTGATATGGTTCGACGCAGACGCTGGCATCGTGCTTTAGCGCCAAAAGATCTAAGTTCAGAGACTAGTTCATGTGTTTTACAAATACGAGGTAGTTCAAAACAAGTGGTGAGTATTACTTTAAGAAAGGTATTGCAAACGTCTATTTATGGTTAAGTTAGTAGTATTTAAATGTTAGGCTATTTTTAAAGATAAACAGAAAACTTGATTGTTAACCGCACATTTTAATAAACTTAGTCGAACACTTTAATTACATTCACAGCTTTATGACAGCGTATCAAGGAGATAAACTAACATGAAACACCAGTGTTAGTAGCTTTTATTATGTTTTAAATGTGTTTTAGTCTCCTGAGACCACATGATGCTTTTTTCTGTCAGGAAAGATACCAACTATACTCATAATGCTATTGGTTATACATATGATCTAGTGTATGTCAATTTGATATTCAGTTGTTAAATTAAAAGTCAACATTAAAGGTTGCTGGTTGATGTCGATACGATTGTTTCATATTTTGATGTTCTTTGCTGGTTAAACTGAAGAATCGTACTGGGCATTTCATCCTAGTGTTAAACGAATAAGAATATAATATTCAGACATTTTGAGTGTTGCTTTGTCAAATTACGATAACTATTCACAACCACATAGCAGTCAATGTCTTCTAAAAGATCGTTTGGTTTAGTGAGACATATTGTGCTAAATGGAGAATCAACTGTATTTTTTCCTATTCGTGTATTGTTATTTTTGAATATACAACTCAAGATGACTTCATTCAGTACCAACGAATTCACTTATAATGTGTTTGTGTAGTACGTTTCAAGCTAGTTCGCAAAGATTTCTTTAATCACTATAAATACTAAAAAGCAAAAGCTTTTGATTTTCACTAAAAAATCAAACGATTGCTATTTTGGATATCTCTCAAGTATTGTCTTGTTCATTGTTCGTCAGTTGAGATGAAAAAGTGGAAGTTTATGGACAAAATTCTGACATCCTTGAGAATCCATTTCTGCCGTTATAGTTCTGAAGTGACTGAAGTCAACTCAAAAGTGACAACATTTATTTATCAGATTGACCACCCAACATCAACGGACTCGATTCCAAAAAAGGATTACTGTTAAATTGACTAAATTACTGAAATTTGTACAAGACAACACACTTTATCGGCTTATACACCGAAAACTTCAGTCGAGCTTATTTAGATTGTCAGGAAAAAATATCAATTATTGATTAAAAGACATAAAATTTGTCAAGTTTATTCAAAAGGGTACAATCAGTTCATCTCTTTTTTCAAGAATAAACGTCTTCATATTTAATCAATTGTTACCCTAAACGTTTATATCATTCACTCTCTCTCACTCTCTCACTCTCTCTCTTTCTCTCTCTCTCTCTCTGATACATCGAAACTGTCAAACTCTGTTATTAGGAAAATCAAAAGTGCCCGATCGCTTATGCTTTCAGATAGCGGGTTTACAATCTACATGAGTTTTGATTCTGATAAAGCGTCTGTTTTTATGGTGTCGCTGTGTACTTTAGGTTCCTTAATCGCCAGTGGAAGATTACGCTAGATCCCTCTCACTGTTCTTCAGACTTACCCAACTCTGAGTTTATTCTATGCAGGAGACGAAAAATGATTATGACGGTATAGCGCAGAGATGATATGAAGAAGATAAACATGGAATAATAACGTATTTTAAGTCTAACTTTCAAGAAGTTCGATGAAGGCTTTGAACGATGGAAATGAAGAAAATATAAGGAAATCCCCACAAATAAAGATTTGATATATTTTGAGATTCATAAAACAGTATTCTGGTATCTTCTGAACAGATTAGTACGCTTATAAATAGTTAGTTGTCTCTCCATACTTCAAGATTTTAATTTTATGTATTTCTCTAAGTTTCTTTTGTTTTCTTCTTCTACTCTCTCTCCTTCTCTTGTATTCTAGGAAAGTAGCATGAAGTTGAAAAAAGTATGCACAATTGTTGTTGAACAAAAGTGTTCTTGTGTTTTTACAATATACATACATATATTATTTTAAAACGGCTTGTCGAAGTGAATATTTGCATGTATAATATTCGGAATGTGTTTCTTATGAAAAAACAATTGTTTTAACGTAGTGCTTCTACACAACTCGATGTTCTTAGTTGTTTTTTCCCTCAAAACGTTTACATCATTGATGTTGCTTGCCTTTATTCTGTTCAGTGTGCTTTATTTATGCTGTTTAGTTTATGAGTTAAATTTAAATCAAAAGTTAATGTTTAGTAATAACTAACACCTTATTGTATTTATACAAAACTGTTCACCCTGACTAATCAATGTTATAGTATTAGTACTAGTGGTGGTAGTAGTAGTAATAATAACCAAGGTTGTATTTGTATACTCCTGTTAGTACTGATGGGATTCATTAGATCAAGTTACACTATGGATCCAACATTAATGTTTGCTATTTGGTTCTGTTACATGGTTGAAATCAATCTGCAAAAGTGAATTCAACTCAATATTAAATGAAAGCGTTTACATTATGAGCATTCATGCAAAATAAATAAGCACGCTCATCTCGCTGTCGGATCAACTTAGTTCAGTGTCGTCCAACTGTAAGTATTCGATACGTTTTGTAGTCAGTGATACGCACACCTTGTCAAACAACTTATCCTAACTTATAATTTGTTTTGGTATGATTTTCATATCGAGATCGATGAGGATACCATTGAAAACTGAAAAGAATTTCCCAACGTTAATGCACTTCTCAGCAGTATACGCCTAAAACATTATCAGGGATTCACCCTATGACCTTCAGATGTTTAGACTTGAGCTTAAGCTTCAAACCACTAAGCTGGGATCCGATTTCATATTTAAAATTTTAGTCTGAATAAAGTACTATGTCATTGTTTTCCACCTAAAAACTACCTCTACTGTTTCAAAATATTCATTTTTTGATTAACCCGATCACGTAGATGATAAGGACAAAAACTGCATAGAAAGTTGGTTTTTTTTAATGCTGTATCAAAGTACTCACATCTCATCATTGGTGTTTACAAAAAAGATAAACTGATTCAAATAACTCCACATATTCGGTAACCTTACTAAGTTGAATCCATTTATTCACCATTACAGCCTACTGACACTTGTGTTTTGTTTACCACAAGGCTTTGAGGGATTATTTGATTTGTCTAATTCTCCTAAAAACATTGAGTTAGAACAGCATCTACTAAACTGATTTGTTGATGGTTTACTATGTTCAGCTTATTTTACTTCATACAACTTGACTTCCTCTGAAGAATGTGTCCATCATTCAAGTGTTTTTATACGAAACAAGGGGAAAATGAGTCACCCAATTTGAGTTCGATGGGAAAATATATATATAGACATACACGAAGATACTCTAACTCAAGAGTTTGGTGAATGTGTAGAGACTTTTGTTCGGTCTGAACTTATTTTTCTTTACAAAATTGATGTCCAGAAAGCACTTGTCAGTTGTTTTCTTCTATTGTTGGACTTAATGCTGCGCACATCTACGACTCTTACAGGAAATTCAAACATAGGACAATTGAGCTTTGATTTTGTGTTATATTAACGTCACTGTAGTTGTTAAATGAAAAGCTAACTAGTTGTTTAAATGTAATATGGTGATTATGATTCATGTAATAAATTCGTTCCTTAAATGGTAAACTAAGTTGTAATGTCAACGAGTTTAAGTGACTTTGGATACATATACACTTATTCAAGATGAAGATATGATTATTGTAACATGATGGTTTAAGACAGTATTCTCCAGGTTTGAAAAATAAGTAAGTGTATTCAAAATACAGGAGGAGAACACACATAACTCTAGATGATGGTTATTACTATTTGATCAAATTTATTTGAATCAATCTAAGTTAGCTGGATGAAGAAGAGAAGCTACTGGTCATATACCACATATTAACCTCTTGGTGTAGTCAGTCATTTGTAGGGATGCTTATTTCTAGTGTCTGTTATATGGTAAACATTTACATATATATCTCCTTGTTTAATGTAATTAATTAATTTTTAATTATGAAGTTTTTACACATCTCCAAATGTAAGAAGGTTAGTTAATTGTAAAGAAAAAGAAAACGTCAAAGCCAAATTATAATTTAAAAAACCCCAAGCTGTTGTGCTGACAAACGGGATTGAGATGCATGAATCAACCATTAACTTATACACATATACCTATACACATATACGCTTTGGGTTGCACAAATGTGTTTTTGTTTTCTTTAAAATTTGTTCAGCAAGCGAGCTCAATACCTAATTATAAACGCACGCTGTATTTTGAAAACAACCCTAATTGACAATTTGTTATGCATTGTTTGGATCCGGGATGTTTCTTCATCCAATCAAATAATATCACATTATGGTCCTCGGACGTGTGCGTTTGTTATGCATGTGTCACATATCTTTGGAGTCATACATCAAATTTGATTAACTTGATAATCTGTTTCCTACATGTCATTTGCTTGTACAGTCTATACTTTGCTATTTCTCATCAAGAATATGTTGCATGATCTCAATCATTTTATATACCAACATTTTTTATGAAGGAGTTTGTATTGATTTCATTTCGGTCATAGATAAAATTACATAACTACTTAGTATTTAAAGCTGATTCCTAGTTGATTCATTTCAGTAGTCTTATATTTTGTATGATACGGATCTGCTTTCTACTCCTCCCTCTGTGTAGTGCAGTATCTTGCATAACCTATGAGAAATTATATTACTTTCAGAATTACACTAGGGTAACAAATATAACGTCAAACTGTTATCCTAGTGATTTAAGTACACACTGAAATTCGGAGATAATTTTCGTCCTCGAATCGTAAGATATCAGTTGTCTCGTCTTGTATTCGTAATTAACAACAATGGACACTCAATGCTGCACACATGATCAAAAATACGACTTTCATTTCTCGTAGTGAGAAAGACACATTTAAAACAATTGGTTGGAATCGAGTAAATTGTGATTTCAACTTCAACTAAATAACTGTAGAGCAACAATTATCCCATTTGATCAGTGTTGTTTATCTCGCTAATAACACCGATTATGATATTTTACTAGATGTACTGTAATCTATCTAACAGTTTATGTAAATGTATCATATCAGTCGTAAGGCTTAAAACAAATCGAGTTTAAAACCATATCTAACCATTAATTCGGTGCTTTTTGCGTTTTAATGTCTTTCAATTAATAACAGGGAAGTATTAGAAACTAACTTGAAAGCTAATTGATTTCTAGATGCCCATCAAGTAAATTCTAAGCCAATATACCATTTTTCATACCATTATTAACCTTAGCTATATATATATATATATCATATTAAAAAAAGGTATATCCTTGTTGTTGTTTTATATATCATCGTAAAATTTGGTGAAATTTTCATTTTACTTTCATCCTATTCACTTGTTATCATCCGAAGTAATTTGAGTGGAAATGTTACTCTTTTCTAAATGAACCTCTTAACCTATTTGTTGTTAGCCTAAACACCAGTATTTATTATCATTGATTCGAATAGATAATTCAAAAAGCGTTCTATATTGATATGTATTTATTTGATGCCTAACCCTCAAATATTTTTTTTATATTTTTGAATATAGTTTATGTTTATTTAGTTCAGATTCTCATCAATATATTCATTAACAACTGATAAAACTCCTATGGTATTGAGGGGTTTTCTAGTTTCAATCATTTTAATCTGCCTTGTTAGACATAATTACTGATCGATAAGCGACAGTGATAAACAGTTACTCATGTCTCAACATGAATAAAGCATAACTTATCGTTGGCTTAATTAGCTCACAGTTAAAATGTCACAGTAGCATTTTAGTTGAACATTAAATGGTGGACTATTAATCAAAAAGTGAATATTGGTGGCTGAACTACTTGATCATCAACTGGTTTCAGTAGATATAAGTTGTCAAAAACAACGCCGACAATTTCATTATCATTCATTTCAACAACATTATCCACATTTTTCATGGATGTATTCAACACTGTGGATATAATTCAAAACCATGTAATAATTATCAATGTCATTATGTTTACTAGACTTGCAAAGGAAACTTGTCAGCTCACAAATAGTGATGAGTTATGTATATCTATTGTAAATCCTGCTACATATTTTCATATACCGGTTTGAGCATTATATGTTTTTAATATTTATAGAAAGAGAATCTCACTGTTCCAAGGATGTTCATGCGCTTCAGAAGTAAGTAATAAACGTTTTCTTTTTTTTTTTTAAACAGAAATTAGTTGACACACTAATGCACACTTCAAATATTTAATCATTAATATTAACTTTAAAAAGGTCAAACTTACCTGATACGGATGGTATTGGGTTACTTAGACAGTTTTTAAAAGACTGCTGAATGTTTGGTAAATGTCAACGTAGTTTAAATGTCTAGTATTCATCGAAATGAATAATTGGGTTTTTTTTTATTTCAGTTGAAAAATGTTAGTGTACATTACTAAACAGGTGTAAAACACTAAAAAGATATTTATCATAATTCTATCGCGATAATGACAGGAATTTATGACTTTAGATTGATGATATTCAAACCTCTAATTCATCAGTTCCTGTTATACGTACATAGTCTCAACAATAAAAAATTACAAACTATTACCAATCACATCATACCTATCAAATAAACTAGTTACTCATTGCATACAGGACCTCAGTAAATAACTGACTGTTGTTTAGGTAGAAATGTAATGGGTTCAAGTTTCAATGTAAAGACCGACACTGATATTTAGATACATCTAGCTGACGAATACTAACTAACATAAAACAGATGTTCTGTATCCCGCTGTTTTTTGCAATCTACACTTTATTTAATCAACCATATGAATAACCGAACTACCTTCCATGTTTATAACTTCTATTTTTCGACTACTCTCTGCTCATTCACATTTCAGCTTCTCATATCTGGCATTTACGAGCATATATCTTCCAAGCACGCAGTGTTTTAGCAGCTGATCAATCTGGCCTATCTGATCCGTTTGTGCGATGTTCATTTCAAGGGCACAGCCAAGAAACACAAATTATCCAACAAACTTTATGCCCAACATGGGATGAAACATTAATATTTGAACATATTGAAATGTGTGGTGATCCAAAAACAATACTTTCAGATCCACCACCAGTTATGATTGAGCTATTTGATTATGATCAATTGAGTTCAGATCATTTCTTAGGCAGATTACAGGTAGGGTTACACATATCGGTTGATACGTATAATTATTTCTACTCTTTTCTTTTTCACTCATCGATTAACCACGGTAATTTTTGTACTATAATTAATACTGAATTGAGAATCCATTATGTATCGCGCGAACATCATAAATACGTAATTATGCTTAGTATATGTGCATAAAATTTACTTCGATTTCATTTTTACTGGTAATCTTACATCAGTCTAGGAAAATGAAAGCCCCATTAACACCACCCGATTACTTATAATACATGTGGAAATCGTTCAATATTTTTTGAAGTCGAAGTGTTTCAAAAAATAACTCATTTGAATGACTTTCAGAGTACTACCTTTTGCCTTTCTTGACCCCTAAAGTAACTGTTACTATATGGTTGGAACAAATGATTCCCCTACTCATTTTTACTTGAAGATAAATGATTTGACTACAATTTCATACAAACCATTTCTCTCAAATTTTTAGTGAGGCGTTTTGTGTTTGTTGGTCATATTAGAAGATAGTTTCGTTCACATGTCTTAAACTAGAGAAATATTGAGAAACAAAGAACACTGAGCAGATGTATTACCTATGTTTTTAAGTCATCAGAAGTATTTAGTTCATAATCTGTCATGCGGTCGAATACAATGCCATGACATTTGATCACAAGCACTAGACAGTTAGATCTTTCTATCGAAATGCAAAAAGAACTATTCTATGACTTATAGTTAAAATTGTTTTCTCTAGATTCAAGTAAATGACAAAAATTGTATACATGTATTTACTTGATAATATTTTTAAAACTTGGGTATATGCTGCTTTTTTTTAAATGTTTCAAGATCACTCCTGCTGTTCGTCTAGACACAGAAACCACATGGGCAAATGTACTTCAATGGTATACAATAGAGAAAAATCGCAAAAAGGGTGGTGAAATATTGGCTGCTTTCGAGTTGATTCTGGTATGTTGAATGATGGCTTACAATAATGAATAGAAATAACAAGATTTTTGCATTGATATTTCGCCGTAGTTTCTTACACTGACTGAAATCTGTCAAGAGCTGTCAACAGTCCTAAAGAAGGTCAGTCGCTGCACATATAGCTCTGTAGTAATATACCAAGCTGTAAAGTTCAATGATGCGGTTTCAAACTCAACGGGGAGTACCAATTCCTTCAAGACTGAAGATAGGACTTACCAATGAGTGCCGAATAGAATAAAACTTAGGTCCAGTGTTTCTTGTTCTCTAACTTTAAATAACTAAAAACAAATAAATAATGCAAACGTTATTACGATACTTAGACTGGTGGCCATACTGGTACTTGATCGATAGAATACAAACAGTTATAAAGATTGGACAAAATGATATTAATCAATACTCAGTAGTCCATCTATATTTCAACACATTTTATGTTCTATTTTTGGACAAAAAAGAGATATTCACTCATGATCCAACCAGGTCTTGAACCAAGGATATTAAGATCTTGCGGAGTACGCACTACTTTCAAACCACTGAGTTAAATTCCAAAGACTCACATTTTAGCTTTATTAAATTAAATTATGCCTCAACCAATTATCACGTAACAAAATCACCAAACACATTATCAACTTCTATGACCTTGTTCCTGTGCTAAACCAATGAAACGTCAACCAGCACCAGCAGCCTTAAGTTAGCTTCGACTGCATAATGGTTTTCTATATAGTAGCTTTTCACTTAGCCCTGCCCGTTGACCCCAGAACACAATATCAACATCCACTGTATGAAAATTATATTTCTTCTTACGTAGTCTATATACAAGCAGATCAGACAGCATCACGCCGTAAAATATAAAATAATAGTTATACATGATCAACTCAAAAGTGACTGTGAGTATGAGAGACCATAACAAATAGATTGAGAATAAATTAAGGATGGTAAATCGTATGATAGTAGACAGTACGTCAAATGTAAGCTTATGATAAATATAAAATATATATAATCCAGTTACTTGATAGTTGTACAATAAGGGTGCAATCACGCAAAACAATCAAATCTGACCATATCAATATCATTTCCTTCAAGTCAAGGTGACTTTCATGAGACTGTATCGTGTGTATCTGCGTATATTCTAGCGGGTGTAAAGGAATGTAATGCAGAAGATGGTTTGAATGAATTCGGGCTACCGAAGCGTGCAACAATATTTAACCACAGAAGTTAAAGAAAGAAGATGTCCAACCATTGGTCATCATAATTTTCTAACCAACTAATCTACATTTACCGATATGCCTCAAATCAGCAGTCGATAACTTCATGGATTATTAATAAGTCTAAGTTTGGCCACCCCTAGATTTCTCCCAACCCGGTTCATGCTTCACTCATCATTGTCTGTCTAGGTAGGGGTTGGCTGGGTATAAATTTAATATGTTTCAGCCACCTAAGTCAGTGAAAATTCATTGTCCTTCCAACTGATTTGCTATCTGTAGCTAGCACTTTAGATCTAACCTTGGCATCGGTTATTTGTTTGCTTCACCATACGCAACCAATAATTGAAAAATGTCTAGGGTCAAGCGCTAGTAACCTTTGAACTACAAACATGAGTTCGAAAGTCACCACTAATCAGGTATTAAACATATTACGTATTCATAATAAATGATTATTTAAAAAAGGACTGAAAAACAAATTCAAGAGAAATTTTTCAAAAGTGATAAGTAATAATTATTTCAACTAAACATTCATATTTATTTAATCCTTTTCATATAACACATCCTTACAGCTTGATGGCAAATCTCCACCACCACCACCTACACGTCGTGGTACTTTATTCAATGTACCCGAAGGTATACGTCCCGTACTCCAACGTACCGGCATTGAAATTCTTTGTTGGGGTGTTCGGGCAATGCGTAAATATAAACTAGCTAATGTTAATTCACCGTCAGTAGAATTTGAAATCGGTGGTAAAGTAGTTGAATCAACAATCATAAAAAGTGTGAAAAAAAATCCAAATTTTGCATCGCCACTATTATTCTTAGATGTTTTATTGCCAAAAGAAGAAATTTATTTGCCACCAATGAATATATGTGTACGTGATCATAGAGCATTTGGACAGAAACCAATGGTTGGTGTACATGTTTTAACAGATTTTCAAGAATTCAAAGTACCAGCGAGAACATCACAAACAGATGTTTTAATGGATATACAAGGTAAGGATTATACTGCGAATATTTGATCATTTCACAAAGAATATGTGGCTTTAAGGAGGTCGTGATTCTGAAGGAATTTAGTGATTTGACCGACATTATCAGCAAGACACAAATGGTCTCGCACTAGCATCACGCTAATCGGCTACAAATACATTAGCTTACCGAGCAAGTGCCGTAAACATCAGATGTTGCCTTCAGTGTACCTAGCTGAACAATAACACAACTCTTCATATACTTTTTAATCGAGCTGAAATTACAACAGATAAATGATTTCATGCAACAAGATTACCTGATAAATTTAAGTAGAACAATAAGTACAAGGTATGCAGGATAAAATGAACTCATTATATTTCACAGTTTCTCATCAGTTGCATATAGCCCTAAATGACGATTGTCAATAAAAATCTACAAATATTTGACTTACTTTCTTTTATGAAGTTTAGATAAAGGTTCTAAACGTAACCGAATTCGTAATATGAAGAAAAAGAATTGATCGTAAAATGCATGAATGAGCACGTCAAGGTTGTTGCACATTTATGTGTTGGAAAGTAGTAATACATAGTAGCATAGGTAACCTTTTAGCTACAAGTAATCATAATGATTATCTACATTATCAACTATATTAATGAAACGTCGATTTCTGAGTCAACTACTAACGAGGCACCATTACCAATGTTTGACTTGATCCTTTCGAATATACTGAGCATTGGGTAGATTGTTATAAATGAGAAATAATATATTTGCAATATCTGGTATTATTTAAACTTGGTTTAATTTTGATTTGGTTGTTTATTCTTTGAAGAAGTGGCTTATACTGAGTTACGAAACGTCAGAAAGTCTAATTATTCTACCCATTGGAATATTACAAATAGATTATCTTATTTATAACTACTAGCTACAGACTTGTAGATCAGCAGGAATATTTTCTTGTTGTATTATTTGAATTAGATGGCTTAGTCATAAATCTTTTATTGTCTTTGTAAATAAAAAAGTGGCAGCAGGAACACCAATAGAATGTCTGTCTAACTCATGCTTGTTTTTTTGCTGTTACGATTATATCGTTCACCTATGTTTACAGTATGTCTTGACCATGTTGTCTCGTAATGCCAATAATACTTTTTCATTATTAGACCACCTAGATCAGAAAACTAGACATCAGTGTTGTTATTTCTTGAGTGTTCGTACTTCATCTTTGTTGAATGAATTCTTGAAGTTTCAATGGCTTTGAATTGTACACCAGTGTTATTTCAAAAGGTAACTTTGTACTTCGAATACTGTATCTTTACTGTACAATCAGTAAACAAAATGCCTTCGGCTAACTCTTTTGTGATATTGTTATTTGCGCCACCGTTTTCCGTGGTGGTCTAGCTTCAACTGACTCATGATTTCAATCAGTAAACTTTCTAAAATCTCGACAAAACCCCTTTTGATAATATTTCTATTTATCTTCTGATATCTAACTCAAATGTCAAATTTATAAGTACACAATAAAAGTAGTAAAAAGTGAATTTTTGACATTATCAATAAACCAGTAACCAGACGTATAAACAAAATTTATCCGCATTTCCTTTTAAACATGTACAAACCAGTGGCATTGAAACTCATCTAACATTTGATATCTAGACAAATGAAATTCGATTCGGTTGTCTGAAAGGTAACAAGCTCATTAGATGATCTAAATGTCCTTTGTTTCCGATCCCACGTGTTTAAGTATAAGCCTATACTGCTATGGAGGACGAAACAATTAGTCGATGCTTCCTTATATAAAATAACTCTTTACATATAAATTTTCATACTGTTATATAAAGATGAACCTTATCAGAACTATGTGATTATCTCTACAGATAATATCATTTTTTATAATGAAAACAGTTGTTAAGTTTAAAATCTATTGATGAATTATCCAAATAGAAGATGATAATAATAAACATGCAAACTGATGGTGTTCATATAAACCGTTTCATTCTTTTCTCTTGATTTCTCTTCCAAAATAGCCTTAACTGATATTGCTTGTACAACACAAGAGCCTTGTCTGGCTGAACCTAAAGTAGAGCTTCAATCACCAGTTAAAGGCAAATCGAAACAGAAGAAAAAATTTGTAAGTGTCAGTGTCGTATTTTACGGCCATTTCAAAATTACAAATATTTCATTTATATATATATATATGGTATGGTTCAAACAAACATCCACTTCTGTCTAGTCGAAACAAGACAATATTCGTATTCAGCCATCACTTAAAAACGCTTTGCATCTGATTTATCGAAATCCTGTCAAGATGCGTTGCTTACAAGTGATAATAGTTTGACAGAGAATATATATGCTCATATTGGGGTCACTCAATCAGTAATAAGCATAGGTTCAGGAAGAAACAATCACAATAAACGCTAGAGCATTAGATATTCTAAAGGTATCAGTGTTAGTAGAAATGATTGAAGGAAGACAATAAGAGTGAGTTCGTGATACAGAAAAGTATGCCAAAATTTTGAAACCCAAGAACTAAGTTAAGATAAAGAAAGATTTCATCTACACTATTGCTGATTCCAAATCATGATAGCTATCTCTCCAACCACTGTCTATGATAATTACACTTAGCCAGGTAGTCTACAAATATCAACATGGCTTATTTTGACAGCCAGTGGCTTCATATACCGCTGACACGTTTCAGTCAGGCAGTCCTTAGTTTACTTATCGTCTACTCCTACACTACAATCACTGTTAGTCGTGCTGAGCAGTGGTCGCGGATACTTAGTATATATCTCACACATTTCAGTCGACAAAATTTCGACATCTCATCAATCGACCTAATATTTAAACTTATCGACCTGCTCACTCAATGGTTCAAGCATACTATACTACATCCATGATCATTACTAATAACCTACGAATATCCTCTATTTTTAAAAGTTACAATTCAAAGCTATGAAATAAAACACAAAGATACTGAACAGTTTACTCATCGTTCATTGAAAAGACGGGTATCTCACCTTCGAAAAAAGTATTGATCAATATAGTTGATGAGAAAGAAATTTCTATTTTAATTTCTTAAAATCTCACTTATGTAAACTAGTTCTGAAAAATCAAAGTTTCAACAAATATATTATTGTAACAATAATTGCATGCTCATAAGTAAATAGGTTTGAGAAGAAATACCGAAATTCAATTGAGTAGTCCTGACTGGTGGAGTTCAACCATATCTGTTCGTTATCATCCAGCTATATTCCAAATTGTCTAAAAGTCAGTATATGTGAACTAGTTGAATCCTGTTCAGCTGTTTGTGCTTAGTTACACTCTTCCTAGATCTGTTACTTGGTTGTGAATGCACATTCATGAGAATAGAAAAAACGAGCTGGAAGTCATTGATATAAATTTCGTGCTAGTTGGCGCTCTTCGATAAAATTCTAAATACACCTTGACGATAGGTCCCAACTAACATTAAATGCAGGCAGATAGGCCCTTGCCTTTTATTCACCTAACATTAAAAGCATAGTGCATCATCAGTGAAATTTGATCCATCGCTGAGAAATACACAGTATATTATGGACTATTATTAAGCATCACTGAAAAGTGGCTTTCACGGTAATAAACCCCAATAAAAAAAATAAGTGTATGACATTCATATTTTCAGTCAGTTATCTACCAAATTCGTAGCTGATAAACCCCAGGATACCTTTATGGTTAAATCTATTTACACTAGATGCTTCTGTATAAAACGTGGACCAAGTAAATATTTTAGTTTGTAAGGATTTACAGTCTCCTGTTGCTGATATTCAACATCACAATTGATTGTCTCCTATCGCATATGCTCATCCAAAATTTAACCATTTATATTGCCTTTAAGTTGCAAGTACAATTGGATTAGGATTACATATTATGATCAATAGACGTGTTTCACCTTAATCACTGCTCGTCAGCTGGAATAACCTGTATCGTACTTGATTTTATGGTTTTCCTTAATTCGATAGTTTTTATCTGCAAGGACTGAAAAATTACTCGAAACGTGAAGCTTTTGACTAGTTCTCGTCCGGTGCTGATGGTCAGAATTGCTAAGGAATTTCAAACTAGACTAATAAACTGCTGAATGCTCCCTCAATATTAAATATTTCCCAGTTGACATCAATCCAAGATGGAATGAGAAATAGAAGAATTTAAAACTTGATCAAGTATCAATGCAGATAGATTTAGTTCACTTCTAGTAGAGTTTACTCGTTAATAACCACATGAAATATACATATGGTTGTTTGTCTTTAAAAAAGTTCAACACAAATTTTTTGTACCTAGACAACTGAGGATTTATCGCATCCAAAGAGAGTCAAAGTTGTAACCGGTATTGTTGCTGAACAGAAGCCTAGAAAAAAGTGGAAATTTCTAAAATCCAAGAAGGTCCAGTCCTTAGAAATCCAGGTGCTTGTCAATCTTTGCGAAAAAACAACTTGTTACCTTTTTATTGCATTTCTGTCCGTTGTTTACTGGTCACTTGCAAAAAAGTGATTTTGGGTTTCGGTCTAATTTTTACTCTGTTTACTTGCACTTTTGAAATTGTTAAGCACCTAAGTACCTCAGTGTACTTGAAAAATGACAATAAAAACTGGGTTTAAGGTTTATTGTCAGTTGTTTTGTACTTTTTAAAAAAAATATTTATTTCAATTTTCAGAGCAGTGAGATGTCATGTATTTCCCGAAATGTGACAGTTGATAGTTTAGTTAGTTTTTTTCTTTATTTTATACAACTGCTATTTCAGTCCTGTTTGTTGTGTCATTTTTTCTATCACACATACCTATGAGTACATCCTTGTTTGTATCTTCTGGTATATGATACACGTCAATTCACTGATGATTTCCCTTTTTATATCATGTCTAATTGCACTTTTATGTATTTTATGTCAAAGTACTTGACATTCGGTTTCTTCAGACAAACACTTCATAATGATATGTTTAGTCCTCTAAAACAAAAGAATTGTTCCTTAAATACATGTTTTCAGTAAGGTTGCTCTATATAAAAGAGAAAATGAACAAATAGTTAAGTGAACAAGAACACGATTGGGGTCAACTGATCGTACTTGAACACAAAATTACAAAATATCTCACTAAAATCTGAGAAGCATACAGGAAATACTTAATTTGTAAAATATCAAACGATTGTCTCAAACTTGACTGTTTCTTTTGCAAATATCAGTCCATCGTCCTGCATTTTCATACAAATTGCTTTCCATTCCCGTTGTTTCCTTCTCGATCTTCCACTGAAATACATATAATTCCTGACTATCGTTATATATATATAGAGCTCACCCGACAATAAGATTTACATCAGATACATTATGGAATAATTGTAGAAATTTCATTTTCAGTAAACTATGAATACAATTTTTCTAATCTACTACTTTTTAGCTATTAATAAATCTTTTAACTTTTCAATTATTTTTGGTGTTGGTGTATTAATCAATTTCAATAATATGCTATGTTATGCATTGATTCTAAGTCATTATGAAGTAATATTATTTAAGATTGATAATTGGATGTTGTATATTGTTAGGATCTTTATTTGTTATACAGAGATATTGACAACTGTTAGTTTTGTTTAATCTTTGAAACAGATAGAAAAGTAACGTCTAAAAATATCTTGAATACACGATTGAATATTGTTGTTATATATATATATATATAGTAAATTACTCAACCATCTATTTTATTCTTTCTACACTAGATAGTTTGAACCAGGTATGATAGTGAACTGATTTTGGTGGTCAAAACATTTGGTTTTCAACCGGTAGATTAATCACTTCAGTGCTGTGTCGCCTATCTCTGTTTTAAACAGTTGTGAAGGGTAGTGGTAGATCTCAAGTACACAAACCTTCACTCGAAACATTCGTACCATGATATGATGATAACGATAGGATTGAAAGTAGATTATGGGATAAGGAAGGGATTTATTCCATTAAAATATAAACTGCACAATTCTAGGTAGCCCTTCTGAAACAAATGTTTATGTACATATGTGTACACATAAACTTTCTTCTCGAAAATATTATCACTGTTAATATTTCTAAAACATGACCATTGTTCTTTATTTAGATGGATCTTAAACAAATTGATGATAAAATAGATTGGTGGTCGAAATTCTATGCATCGATTGGTGAATGGGATAAATGTTTAAAATATAAAGAGTTTGGTTATGATACAATTTGTGTAAGTTGTCTATTGATCAATTATTATTAGTTCTATTTATTGTGGATTAATAAATTCTTGGATAAATTACTTCCTTTTTTAACAAACTGGAAATTTACTTATTAAATAACATTAAGATAGTCTATGAACATGTCAATTTGTCATTTATTTTCATAAGTTTAACATGTGACACAATGGTATGAACACTTCAAATATTTAGATATAGAGTGATCAATTCAAATGTTTTAGAACCAACTTTACTATTACTCTTTTGATAATGTGTTGAATTTTAGACGTTAAACAAAACGCAAAGATCATTATATATATAGTCCATTACCTATGAATGAGTTTTCTTCAGTAATTAGTCCTACTTGATTTCATGAAATATGAAAACAGCTAATTTAAACGATGAACTAATACAAACTACCGTGTATTTGAATAGTAAGTAATCCAAAATCTTTGGTCGAGTTTTAACAGTCAGCTTATGGGTTACTTACATAAACGTGATATTTCCAGAGATGATTGTTGTCCTTTTATCGATTATTTTACAAACGAAAGAGGTACAGACAGTTTTCTTGAAACTTGGCAGGAAATCATTGCTTAGATAGAGGATTAGGTTTTCCTGTTGTTGATTCTAAGGCCTGCATTCGATCAGCCCCTGTTAACATAATGTAACCCGAGAGGCTTGTCTCATTATTGATTTTAGTTACTAGTGCGGTTGGAATGTGACTAAAAATAGAAACCATGATTTCCGATTTGTTATAACTTGTGCCCTGTTGGTAAATCACGCGATACGATCGCCATTTAACGTTACTGACTTGTTGACTGAACCAATGACACATAAACCAGTACGAGCAGCCTTGAGTTCCTATTGGTTTTCGAGATAACAGCTACTCGTCTAACCCATTTGATTCAGTCAGAACGCAAATATCAGTCTCCGTTGTATTGAATCATGTTTGAAACATACTTGATTTATACACAAGCAAAATTAAACCACATTTCATCCTAAAATAGAAAGTAACATTTGTAAAAGACCAAGCCCAAAAGTTGGCTGTGACTGTGAGAAACTGTGACTAATATATTCGGAATACCTTGTGAATAGTAAATCATATAACAGCACCCAATATGTCAAATAACAGTTTGTATTAAGAGGAATATTAAATATATATAGTTAAGTTTCTTAACTGTTATACAATAAGAAGATATGTATAGAATTAGTTCATAGATAGTTTCTAGCGATTACGATTCATTTATTCTCATCAGGGTATAACACGATTCTGGTTGTTTGGGTTTCGGCAGGTAGATATAAATATTTCCCCGTGCTGATGTCCAGGCTGAGATATCAACGCAGCACCTATTGCTCCAAGCACTAATGATTTAATTATTGAGTTCAGATAGCTACCAGTTAGTTCGATGGGTATAATAATTTATGTTATCGTGCTGTCGACATTCAGTACTTAATTGTGATCTCTAGCTTCGTAAATAACCCATCAGCGATTGAAGTGATGAGCACAGGATATACGTTCCAGAAAATAATACGTTTCTTTGGACTAATAAATGAAGCATTCACTTAGTGATTAAAAGATTCAACTTTCAAGTCCAATCTTTGATTCATCTATTTCTGTTTGTCATATGACTCGACAAGACACACTTGTATATATATATATATTTACTTTTTTTCTTCTAAGCAAATGGTTGTGCTTGATATACTGACCAAATTTCATGGACTAACTGACATTTTATAAGTCCAGTGTAGATTTCATAAGAAACAGTGAAAGAACTAAGTCAGAATCATTTGTTGGCTGATTTTCACCAATATGGGACACTAGTCAAAAACTTGAAAAGTACTCAGTATTGAGCAGTATTTCCCACCCAGTTTCATACTCCTCAAGAGTGTACACCCTAAATCCTTAACAGTCCGTTGAATATAATACCTTCTTGTTTTGTGGTGAGTACAAATTCAATAGCCAATCTGTAGCTAAATGAGTTTACAACAAATCTTCAAAATTCATTCAAGCAAAGTTTATTTTCAATTCATTTTCACAAATTGAGCATCTACTTTTTTTCTTATGTTTCAGGTTTATCCTCATCCATTGGAAGAAGTGGAAGGATTTAATGGATTTACGGATTTCTGTAATACATTCACGTTATCAAGAGGTAAAAATGTTGATGAAGATGAAGATAATTATGCCGGTGAATTTAAAGGGACATTTCGTATTTATCCATTACCAGAAGATCCAAAAGAACAATTACCTGTACGTTATTTTGAGAAATTAAGTGTATCTTCCGATCCGGAAGAATGTATGTTACGTGTTTACATTATACGCGCGATTGATTTACAACCATCAGATTCATCAGGTTTGGTAAGTGAATAGTTCCAATACACTTGTTCTTGTCATAGCTTATTGTCTAATTTCGTTACTTGATCCACAGTTTTGAAGCCTAACTAATCCAACTAGACAGGGAGAGAAACTGAGGGACTGCTTAGGGAGTTGGATTTACATGTAGCTAAATAAAATAGCTCATAATTAAAGAGTATTTATAAATAGCTTATGTGATTTCGTTTACGTGAAAAGCCAACTTAATTATTGGTACTCACACATATTTGAACCTAATTTAGCAACCTATCCTCATATTATCGTCTAATCTGATTTGAAGCATTATTATCTGTAGATTATCGAGAATTGTTTTGACACACTTCTTCATTAACGAAACACTTAATATTTAACTATTGACCTTAAAGCATATACGAACTCACCAGAGATCGAACCAATAAACTACAACTTAAGTACACCTTCAATTCAACAACGTTTCGGGTTAAACTCAAAACATTCTTCTTTTGAATTGATATTTGAAGCTAAATAGGCAAATATTCAACGACTAGTACAGTTGTTGTTTGTTTGACTTAAATAGCTCATTGCAAGTTTTGGTGCCTTCAGACCTACCATAAGTATACCATGTGTAGTTTCTGTTTAACCAAGGAATTTTGGGCATTTCATCCATCTGATGATAACAGTTTCAAGTGAAAACAAAATATGATGTTACTTTGTTTAGGGTCAGTTACATATTATGCTATATTCCGGATAAGCTGAAGTCGAATAATCTACCATTTGTATTCGATGGCGACCCAACGGCCGATTCCTACCATTTTCTTAGAATAAACTAAAATTTCTAGGCTCAAACTCATATGAAGTCAGTGTGTATACTTTCAAGAGATCTTAACATTAAATGAAATAGCTTCTCCGAGTTCTGAAATTAGTCTGACTTTATGATAAATTCGTAATGGTGTTGAATATGCAAGTCCCTTCAATATGCTCGGTTTTACCTCGTCAAAAATAATTTTAGATAACCAACATAAATCGCTGAAGTTTGGTATAATATCTACATTAACTAATCCCTGGATGGACTCAGTGTCCTTTCATTCAATCCGTCCTGTTGACTGAATTTTGTTTAGTCAACATGAAACTTTTGTAAAGATTTCATTTTGACTATCTTCTCTTACTCAGTAAAAATCTGTTTGTAAGCTTGAAAACTCCAATAATTTTATCATTTGATTTGCTCATTGAGCATAATGAATGTCACCATCGTTAGATACTTTGAAGTAGTCAACTGAACGACCTAGGCTCAGGTTGTTCTACATGACACTCATGAGTAAAGCGTAATCTTGAAGGGACCAATGATGGTGAAGACGTAAATTAGATCAGCGCTTAGAACTAGATAATATGAGATTGATCGATACTTAATTACCAATTAGTGTAAATAGTTCAGTCTTATGGGAATTAATCATATTTCGAATTGATTAGCGAGAATTTCTTTGATTACTATATCAGGTGATATGGTGCCGTGGATTTTTTTCGAGACAATTCCCAAGGCTTCATATGTCACTTGTCCTTGTTATTAGATAACTCTCCCGACGGTGCATAAACTTCAGAAGACAATTTCGAAGCGTTAACTGTAACCATAAACACACCAAGTGAATTTCAGAAGAAACGATAATATAAGAGAGATAGCGAGTAAAGAGGTGTATTGAGAGTCGAATGGATTGATAAGAAATTTACTGTTCAAATGACACTGAAAAATAAGTTAATTAAAGGGCTTAACAAAATTAAACGTAAATATAAATGGAACATAATAGTGAGCTCGAATCCATTTGGTCAGAAATTTTAAGATACTTTGATTTGACATGAGCTAACGGATACGGAAATTAGATTTAAGACATTATTGATTATTTTTAACTAGTGTACACACTGCAGCTTTGTCAATAGAGTTCAATCGTTCATAATAAATCGACAATACGACATTAATTGTTACGTAGAGACTTTATTATGACACATATATTCTTAACAGTAGAAACAGTATTCTCTATTCGTTTAAATCAGCAGCTCATTTTCATAATAACCTTATTTTTATTATTTTATCCCAAACGTTTTAGGCTGATCCTTATGTGGAAATCATTGTAGGTCAGCATAAAGTTAATTCGAAAGATAAATATCTTCCAAATACTTTAAATCCAGAATTCGGAAAGTGAGTTTCCATTGAGAATAATATTTCTTACGATTTTATAGTATTAATATATAGAGGGAACTACAATGCAGAAGAGTGTTAGTCGTAAATACCTTTCTAGTATGAAGTAAATGGTTTTTTGCTAAGCCATATTTTCAGTAAATGAAGTTCATAAAATAAAATTCAAACCAAGTCCTCCATTCAAAAGTTTTATATTGTTAGTTCTATTAAACACAAGATGCAAATGGACTGTTGACCAAACAATCATTACAAGCATATTAACACATGGTTTGTAACTAGGGTTTGTTGCAATTTTAATGTTTAAGTCACTTGACTCGCGGGGTGTGGGATCGTGGATGCGCACTGCTGAGGAGTCCCATACTAGGACGGAACGGTCGTCCAGTGCTTCCAGGTTCTCCATGGTGGTCTAGCTTCAGTTGACTCATGATTTCAGTCAGTGGGACTTGACATTCCATCCAAGATCATAAATAGGATTAAAACCAGAACTACTATGCCTTCGAATAACGAGGCGGAATCCACTGCTTTCTATTTTGAATCCTCATCAGCGATATTCTGTAAAATGGTTGTTCTGGACATCACCTAATATACATTTTTACGTGTGTATTTTTGGATTATAGCGAAACAACTGTCTAGTGTTTCTTATTTTTCAGAGATTTGTCAAATTATCCTAGTCTATAAAGAATATTAATCTCAGATTAAACAATTTCCCCACCTATAGTCATACATAAAACTTTCGAATCTATGGTTCACTGTGTTTTCCAGTCGGAAAGACCAATTTTTTATCATAAGTTCTATCTTATGATATAGCGGTTCATTTCAACGCTTACTATACCTGAAGTTGATTACGTTCAAGTACTGGTTATCAGTTAATGGTATATCAGTCAGTCAGTAACAACGTAGAACTTCGTACGTACGTACACCGGTTCGAGTTGCCATACCACATTAGCACAGAGATGCAGTTGTCGATTCAAGTCCTGTAGTGGTAGAGGTAGCAACAGTATAAGCAGTAATCGAGAAGATTAGAGTTTGGAGATGTTATTTAAAGAGTATAATCCAGTGAAATAAATTTAGGAAGACAAAAAGAGAAAAGGAGGAGTCAGGAGATTTAAAATTTGGGAGAACACAAAGAGTGGATGCACCTGCGCCATTGCAAACGATTTTGAGCAATGTCATTCAGGGTCTCTAACCATCGGTTACTATCATCTCGCGGTTCACAACCAGGTAGTCTACACCTACCAACATGACTCAGTCCACTTGTCAGTGACTTCATGGACTTGTGCCATGTTTTGGTCTGGCCGCCTCTAGCTTTCTTCCAACCTACTCCTATACCACTGAACATAGCACGTCGAGGTAGTCGGTCGTTGGGCATACGTAACACGTGTCCCAGCCATCTCAACTGATGAAGTTTCACTACTTCATCAATTGATTTGCCATCCTTACTTAGTACCCGTTTCCTAACAACTGTGTTACTTACTCGATGTTCCCAGGATATACGAGCAATGCTTCGAAGACACCTATGATCGAATACTAGTAACCCATGAATATCCTCTACTCATACCGGCCATATTTCACTGCCATAAAGTAGGACGGGACGAATTGCTGCACAGTAAACCCGTCCTTTGGTTGATAGACGGATATCTCGCCTACGCCATAAATGTCGCAAGTTGGCAAAAGCTAGTCGAGCCTTCTGTATCCGTGCTGAGATTTCGTCACACACCAGACCACAAGGGCTGATGAGACTTCCAAGATGAGTGAAGCGGTCGACACGCCCAACTACTTCACTCCCTGTCATTAGTTTGGGTGTTAATGCAAGCCAATCCTGAAGCAACATTTTGCATTTCGAGGGGGAGAATCGCATCTCAAACATTCTGGGATTTTTGCTTAGAGTGGTCAAAAGACTGCATTTTTTCCATTGCAAATGATATTTAATTGCGTAGATCACAATCACTTGAATGACAATGAGTAACGTAGACGACTGATTATTGTTGACATAAAATTGTATTGTCAGCTCAAAATCTATCCCTCTTCAATGAATGAGTATCAAAGGACAGGGCAATAGAAACTGTCCATTTTAAACAGAAAACTACATATTTGTTTACCGATTGCATAGCAACGAAAACAGACGTGGCATTTTAAAGCGTAGATGAATCCAGGATATTAGTTTTGTGAGCTGTCCACTATAAAATTAGGATCCACTTATCAAGATTAATTTCTATCCCCCATATTAGTAACTGGTCAAAATTATCTCATCCACTAAGAGCACGAAAGCGGTGAAATGTTATATCAGCTAATTTCTCTGTTTACCGAAGTGAAGTTGGTATTTTATCGAAATTGACCTCATATCATTTCATTACGTTTATAAATTGTTTTAGAATGTTCCAAATGAAGTGTATTTTACCCATTGAAAAAGAACTACATGTTATAGTGAAAGATTATGATGCAGTTGGTGCAGATGATGTAATAGGTCAAACAGATATTGATTTAGAAAACAGACGTTTAACAAAATATCGAGCTACATGTGGCCTACCACAATCTTACTGTGTTTCTGGACCAAATCAATGGAGAGATTCAAAATTACCAAGTGAAATATTACTAGCTGTATGTGATAGTTACTCATTACCAGCGCCACAGTACGGAGAAACAACAGACATTAAACCAAATCCAAGTTGCCGTGTTGGTCAACGCGTATTTGTATTGGAAGATTTTGAACGTGGTATGGTACCAAATCCACATTTAGGACCACCGAAAGAACGTTTGGCCTTACATATTTTAAATAAACTTCCATTGGTAAAAGAACATGTTGAAACGAGGTTGTTGTATAGTCCATTACAGCCTAATATCGAACAGGTTAGTTAAGCGATTATAGATACTGTTTTTTCATTTCCATTTATACTAATAATTGGTATTGGATAATGTATTATCTGACGGGAATAGTTAACCTAATGTTAGTGTTATGTAAATCTAACCTGATTGTTGTGATGTAAACGTTTCTACTTTTATGAAAAAATAATATCGCTCAAGAAATTCAATAGAGACGTTTCTTGTGTCATATCAGCACATATAAAGAAATCCATCAAATTGACAAAAACAATTTTAATTCGATTTCTTTGAAGAATCTTTGTTACATCATTAATGAGCTTAAGAAAATAAACAGTCATATATGACTTAGTTTTGACCATAGTAACGTGTTATTTAGCGAAAAACTATATTAACCCTTCTTAGAATAGCAAGATAATAGATCATTTATTTGACTTCAGAAGATTAAGAAATAAAGTGAACAATCAAGTGAATGACTAGGTCGATGAGAAACACATCATTCAATCAAATTATCAAAATGTCTAGACTTTAAGATATCATCCAAATTATCATAAGACTTTAATTATTTAACCGCATCAGATATCTTTGACTTTTAAAGTAAATGATCATTCGACACATTCACTAAATTTATCAACGCTATCCGACTTGAAAGTGATTGCCTTGTACACGGAGAATATTCTGAACATATACTGAAGAGCATACCATTTTGTTTGAAGATATATAGACTTATCTAGCGGCCAACAGAAGTGTTTTAACAAAAATTTTGATGTATTGAATAAAGCCATTTTCATTCAAAATTGGTCTATAAGTCCAGGTATTCGTCAGCTTAATTCAGATCAAATAACCAAGTATTATTGATAATCCGTACAAGAAGAGCGGAAATCAAAGCTGCGTTCATAAATGCGTACTGGGTAAATAAATGAAAAAGACATTTAATGTTTAGATTTTCTGAATAACTGAGTAACCTCTAAATTTTGAACAATGGAAAAAAAACAATTTACGCAGCACCCATTTTGATTATAAGGGTTCGTATTAATCTGTTGTTGATTTGGACTTGAATCAGACTTTGTTGATTTATTGACAGGATGTTTTTGTTACAAGTTTTTAGTAAGTAGGGATTAGGGCTAGCAATAGATTCTAGAATAAGTAATTCGTCCTATTAGATGGATGTGACTGAACTTTAATCTTGATGTTTATTATAATGCCTGAAAACAGTACCTATCATTTTAGACTACAGTACACTATTTTTTAAGCTACTGAGTCCAGATATTCAATAACATGTTCATACGGTAAGATGCTTCTTCATATATATTTGTATTATCCTATGACTTACACTGAAAACTAAACTTTAATAAGTCTTTGCTGACATGTGTATGTATCTTTTTTCTCACAATATCTATTTCAGGGTAAATTGCAAATGTGGGTTGATATATTTCCAACATCCTTAGGTGAACCTGGACCACCATTCGATATTTCACCAAGAGAACCAAATGAATATATATTGCGTTTAGTTGTATGGAATACATTTGATGTTGTATTAGACGAAAAATCAATAACTGGTGAACAGATGTCTGATATTTATGTTAAAGTAAGCAAGAAATAACTTAGTTTAGACTCATATAAGTAAATAATAACACCTTTCATCAGTTTTCACACTCCTTATTACTTGACAGTAAGTGGTTTGTTTGTGAAATAAAAAATTCTGAACTCTTGAGTAAATTGTATAGTTTGATTTGTATATAGATTCCCATAGAATGATTGCTTTTCAGAGTATGTCTTAATAACATAACCCATGTTTGCGTACCGGAGTTCCATATATCCTTTATGTATAGAAGCTAAACGATACTAGTCAGGCACGCAAATCAACGCGGATGGCAGGAACATATTGAAAAAGTAAACATAATAAGTCAATCTTTTATTCACGCTAAACAACGAGTAAATGCGTCAGAGTAAACATGACAAGGAAATATTCCTTCAAAAAACATACTCATAATAATACGTTAAGTCCGCTGATATGAATCCTCTCATTGTCACAGACCAGTTAATTTTTGAAATATATATTTTGAAACATGTTCAAAAATGTTTTTATTAAATACTAAATTCTTTTCCTCCTTATTTTTAGGGGTGGTTATCTGGTTTAGACGATCGTCAAAAAACTGATGTTCATTATAGATCATTAAACGGTGAAGGGAATTTCAACTGGCGTTTCGTATTTCCATTTTTTTACTTACCAGCTGAAAATAACATAGTTGTTAAACGTAAGGAACACTTTTGGTCTATGGATGTTACCGAACAACGTGTTCGTCCACAATTAGTAATGCAAGTTTGGGATAATGATTTATTTTCACCGGATGATTTTATTGGGACATTAGAATTAAATTTATCTAATATGCCTAGTCCATCAAAAACACGTAGTAAATGTTCACTGAACATGTTGCAATCCGTTGGCAATGAAACGAAATTGGTTAACCTATTTGAATGTCGACGACTGAACGGATTTTGGCCATTTGTTAATGAAGAAAGTGGAACTCCACTTTTAACTGTACGTTTACATGGAAAAAAAGAAAGAATACCTAAATCTAAGTGATTATTCTTTTCTTATTTAATGAAGCTCCCTTTTCAGTTTTGCTTACGATTACCAATAGTAACTAGTTTCAGGATATAACTGTGGATCCCTCGTAATATTAACATGATCATCAATAAATTTTTATTGATTATTTTATAATCTAACATAAATACGGGGATTTCATAGTTTCTAACAAACGAAGTTGATTTTTTAAAATATGAAGCTTAAGGCCAACGAATCACTTTTCTTATCTTACAGATTTCTAATTAAAAGTGATTCCAAATGAAACAAGATCATTCATTCTTTGCATATACACCTGACGAGTGTAAGTAGAGAAAAGTTGTAATAGCAAATCAAGTCTAATAAGATCTGCAGTATAATATATAATGGCTAGTCCTTTAAACTATTCAAATTAAAGCCCATCTACGAGGAAACTAGACCTCAATCCATCATGATGTATAGCTCAGGATAAGTTATTTTTAGTGATCTCTATCATCCAGTTTGTTGCTTTCATTCTGTTCAAGTACTATTTGCTCAGTATTTGAATTCTTGAAGGAAATCACAGTGAAACATTTCAAAAGATGAAACGATACTATACTTACTAAGCGAATACAGATAATTAAAATGTTACACTACTAAACGTATTCATTCGAGCTAAAGCGTTTTACAAATATTTCAATATAATCTGCTTCCAAAATGCTTGAAATCTTACGCTAATAAAGCATTGAAAGGATTATATTTTGGCATAGTTTTCATCACAGAGACTTCAGCTGATCAAAAAATGGGGCGTTGGGTAGTTGACTTTTTCTAGCAGAGAACTTCTTAAATGAGCGCTCATATCATTACCAGGGCTCAAATCCCTAGATCTCGTGGCGAACTCGTTATCTACAAACTAGTAAGGCGGAATAAAGTGGTCAGCATTGTCCACTTCAGTGGTTTTAAAGTAATGAGTTCGATCGTAGGCACACACTTCAGTGCGGATTTATGTAGAATCTCGGACTACGATGAGTACTACATAGTTCTTAGCAGTAGACCAGCTGAAGTAATCTCATGACGAACTGATTCATGCTCTTCAACTAATCAAATAACATTTTTTTCACTAAAGGGTAAAATCGAAATGGAAATGGAATTGGTAACAAAAGCAGAAGCCGATCTTCGACCAGCTGGTAAAGCACGTGAGGATCCAAATGAAAATCCTCACTTAGAACAACCAAAGTAAGTTGAGTGAACAAACTATTTATCGTATTCAAAATCAATCACTATTTTTTATAATAGACTAAACAAATAATAAGTAATACGGCATTCCATATAGACTTGTGTATAGTTTGACGACTATTTTTGTAAAAAACGGTCACCAACTGGACAAGCACTGAGAGCCATGAAACAATGAATAGCATGTAACCATCAGGATGTACTACTGCTGAGCCTTAGGTCAGGACGAAATACCAATGTAGTTCTCCTTGACTTCCAATGGTTATCCAAGTGTTCATGTTTGGTAATGAATATTATCTCCGAGAGAAAAATTATAAACTCCAATTTGCAATTGATGGGGGCTGGGTGGATCTGTAGTTCAACAAGGTACTCCGTGATTAAAGCAATAAGAATAAAAAAGTAAACTAAGTGTACATTTTAACCGCCTATTAGTCTACAATTTTCAAGGGTTCTTCATTCGAGTCTTCGGACTTCTGTAATGTTCAAAACTGAAGATATTTAAACTATACCTGCTAAATGTTTGGCTGAATCTGTAATAAAAAATTGATGTAAAAATCTGTTTATTTAAAACTTCAGTGTTTTCCAGTTGAGATGATGAAGAAAATGAGGATGATAAAAGTAGATAACTTGACTATACAGCATCCAGACTGTAGTAGAGTATAAATCTCAATGGAAAGCTGATATGAGTCGTGATCTCCGAATAATTATTCAAAATCTAATCACTGGATGCAAACAGATGAAGTATAGTAAATTGGATAAATGAGCACATCAGTTAACTGACTGTAATAAACATTTGTTTCACATAAGTGATTTATTTGGAAACATTTATCCTACAATGATACTTGATCTCTTATTAAACTTCACAAATTTCGAACTGAATATGAACAGATAAGTTAAAACTATTCTACAATTCTCTTATACAAATCCATAAATAGATAAGAAGGTACCTGCGATGAAAAAGTTGTACCTTTTGTATTTTTTTCCAATTTCAGACGTCCAGAAACGTCATTTTTATGGTTTACATCACCGTGGAAAACATTCAAATTCATTATATGGAAAAAAATGAAATGGGTGATTATCGCGTTATTGATCATTCTCATCATTGGCTTATTAATAGTATTATTTGTATATGCTATACCGGTGAGTCTATGATCACTATGTGTATGATATGATAATTTTGTTGAATCAATTTATTATTTTTTTTTAATAATCTTAAGGCAACTGTGATCTGACACTAAATGGGAGACAACTGAATACCTGAAAGTAGTGAATACTATGTCGTTCTAATTTGTGATCATAGTAATACATAAAGGCCCGAGATTACAGTGTTGCGACTCGAATGACATCCTCAAAATAATTAAGTTGGAAATTTAATGACCCACAATGTTTGTTTAAGTTGATTGATTTACATTTAATGTAACTATTAGTTTAGTGAACATTATGTAGCTGGTTAACTCAATTATATACTGTGTATTAAATTTTTTGCACAGTTCAAGGATTGATTTCTATCATGAATTGATATGGGATGGGATAAACCAGCGAATACCTGTCTCATCTTTATTTATTGATTCTACAAATTTGTATCTTCAAACCGACACGAAACCAAACTCAACTCTTCTCATATGACTGGAAGATAGTTGAATGATATAAGCGCACATTTTATACTCATGAGAATGAGTATTTATGGGTATGAGGGATTGTCCAATGACTTAGATTCCATGATGTCAAGGTATAATTCTGTAGTGGACTAATGACACATTGAAAATGAATCTCAGTTCACTACAAAGGCCGATACCTAACTACTAGTTATTAGCATAGTCAGATATTTATTTGGTTAATAAGTTGATGCTTACAATAGTGATTATTTCACTGATTGTTTACGTTTATCACAACCTGAAATCAGTTGATAAATGAAGGAGCATTGAAAAGTAATAAAAATCATAGTTATAGATAATACAGTTCGCATTAATGATGTGCTTTGAAGAATAAGGTTAATGCATTTTGTACGAAATCGAGCATTGATATGACTGAAGGAAAACTCATACAGTTGGAGAGAATGAAAAAGATAAACATTAATGATGGGTGAAGGTTGATCCAACAATCAAAAGTACTAGATTTTCTTTTTAAAATAATATCTCAACACAGATTTACTTTGGATGACTAGTTATTATTTAGGTAACTATGAAACGAATGCCATAACTGAACTAGTAGGAATAAAAGCATATCAAACTGAATCAATACATAACCGTACACTTGATTCTATTGAATGAGACAATACTCCTTAAAATTAAGAAAACGAGAAGAGTTTTACATAGAATCTTGGTTCATTCATTGGTTTAACTGGATTTGCGATTGTTCAACCACATCAATATCAAACTCATTATTTTCAGAGATTGTACGAAGAACACATCGTTAAATCATCAACTGTGAAAGCATTACGATCACCTTATTATTCCTTTAGCTTATCACATCATGACTCACGATTTCCAAACACCACTCTAAACGACTGATTGGTGATCAGAAACCAGTGTCAGATTGATTGAACCCCTAATACTAACCGAATATCATCGATTAGATTCTAATGTGGTTATTAGATTGAGCGACTCAGTATCACATTCACTGTTTTCGGTTGGAAGTAAATCGACAGAATGTTTCGACTAGATATAGTTTGTGTAAGCTTGTAGTTGTCAGTAGGACATATCTGCGACTTTAAAGGAAACGATATTCCATATGTGGCACGAACTCATTTCACCTATCAATTCAGTGTCGCCACTTTTAGTGTGAGTAATAGGATAACAATAGATGATAAGATACTTTTAAAAGACTAACCATAAAGTAAGTAACGTTGTATTTGTACTTCATTTGTTTTCTTGTTAAAACATTTAACGATACTGATTGTTCTTTCTTTTTTTATTTTAATAAAATTTCAGCCACTTTTGGCGAGGAAAATGGTTGGAGTTTAAATGGTCGTTACGAGACCCTTGATTAATATTTTTTAAAATTCACTCTTAATTGCTATTTTACTTCAAGCTTATTATATTTAAAATAAAACTGACAATAATTTGTTAAAATTTCATGAACAGTCATTTATTCTTCCGAATAAGAAAGAACCTGTTTTAAACGAGAATTTTGCAACCGGGAAAATCCACTTTATTCTCTGTTTGTTTTTATCCAAAAATAAAATAGGTTTTATGATCTGAATGATATGCATAAAGGACACAATCAAATTTACTTTATCATGTGTGTGTTCTCTTTTGGAAATTGTGATATCTGGTTTTAACCCAGTTATATCAACACTTCCACTCAGAGTGGAATTTTTGAAAACTCTTATTTATTTTAAAAAGAGGAAAAAAACCTACAGAAATCTTCTAGTAATTTGATTGAAAGATCTTAATGAAGTCACTTTTGTTTTTCTTTTGATCTTTCATCAATTCTTATCTAACATGTAATACAGAGTTTCGAAAAAAATATAATTACATACCACCATAGGTGATGGTAAAGTTCAACTGGGAATGGTTGATTTCCCCTCCTATAATCAATCCACTTACTCGTATCTTATTTAAGTAGTTCAACGAAATGATACCAAAATTGGTTCACGTCTTCCAATTAAATTGGCTACTAAGTAGGAAATAACCCATCTTCATTTCTTCCTCGACAAATAATAATAATATTTCTTCAGTTTTGGCCTTTTTTTAGTATGCAAACGAGAATATTCCAATTTCTTATTTTTGAAAACACTATACACTTTCATTATGGTTAAAATTTATGTTTCAATTTATTTTTATGCAATGATCACGTACTGTTTTTAAAGTCAATTTAGCTAAATAAAAATTCTGGACGCAAAAAATTATCATAAAAGGCTATTTCTTATTTGAGTGTGGCCATTAGGCAGACAAGAGACGAGGAAATAGAATTCTAGGAACATATCTACATGGTTAGCTTCGATGGTAATGTCCAAAACCAAATCACCAATTTATGGGACACAATACTACCAAAATTCATAAAACCACAAAATTCCGTGGAAACATTCCCTCGTCTAATTTATTGCAGAGCGATTAAGTCACGTAAACATGAAATAATGTGGGGAAATGTAAATAAACATGATGGTGATGCAGTAAGGTTACATGGTCTGAGTGTTAAAAACACAACTTTGTGAAACGTTGACAGGATATGCGCAAATAAACAAGAGGTGTATAACACTTAATTATAATGTGCACAGGATACAATAATTAAAACGTCTTTGCAATAAATGTAATGATGTATGAAACAACTAAGTGCAAAACCAAAGAGCAAATAGAAAAATAATTTAGGAAAGGAAGACATTTTGAAATGCAAAATTGTACTACCGGGATATAAGATTTCTGTCCAATTCTGATTAGCTCGCTTTAGCTAATCGAAACGAGGTTATTCTTCAGTATATTTAAACATAAGTCAATAGGATTACTTTTCCTGTCTGAAATTTGTACGATATTTAAAAAAAGGCCTCAGTATTTTCTTGTGCAAAATGGTCTCAACAGACGCTGTACTTGTGGCCATTCCGCTTTCCTTCGTCTTCGTAAAGCGAGAAAGTTCTTACTATTCGAACAGCGGAATCTCTATATTTCTGCAGGCAAATTGTAAGAAGATAAGATGTCAGTGGTTTGGTACTTATTGGGGACGCTAGATCCCCAGAAATTAATTGGTACACATCCCGTTTTTGCAACTTCACTATGGAAATCTGAATCGCCCACTTTTGCCTGCAGTTTGAATTGATTTATTCGTCGCCACTTTTAGTACGTTATTTTGCGACATTATTGTGCTGTATGTATACGCAAAAGTTGTGTGCCTATTCGTTCGTCTTTCCTGGCTCATTGTAGAGTATACACTTTTCCCGACTGAATCTGGTTTCCTTCTTCTAGTAAGCAGGGCTGAGGTGCAGTGGAATAGCTTCACTTGTTGTGTCGCTAATTTTCGTTCTGTTGGCCGATCCTAGGTGATATCATAATCCCTTCAAACGTAGCATCAACAAATAATGGAGTCATGACAGTAGGACTAATAAACGTTAAGTGCTTGGAATGTCGTCATCTATTTGTTCGTGTGTCTGCAATGTTCTACAGGGAAGTAGGCTATTTAACGCATTATCCATAACTTCATAGAGCCTAGGGTGGATTTACAATCCAATAGTAGTTCAATCCTGTGTTTCAACCACGAAACCATCATTTAATACTATACAGATAGAGCAATATCGCAGATTTACTGATAATTTTATTTAACAAAAGCGACAAACGCGTTAGCTAAATGTATTTGTATCCCAGAGTAAATATGTGACTCACTGAGATTCAAAGGCAGTATTCACTTATTCACACACCAGAGCATTATCTATTCCGAATATCAAGGTCACGATAGCCATTATCTTGATAAACGAATACGACATTAGTATTAAAAGCACATATCTTCTAGTTTTTGATATTTAGAACTAGATTTCTTCACTTTTTACGTGGTATCATAGTGTTAGCGGGACATAGATTGGATTAAAGCATGCTCGTATCTGCTGGGATCACCGGGTAAGAAATAGTAGGGTTAGACGCAAGGTAGTAGGTGATGGTAGTAAATCAGTTGATGAGATTGTAAATCTTCATCGGCTGAGATGGTTGGGCAACGTGTTACGTACGCCCGAAGCCCGATTACCACGACGCGCAATGCTGACTAGTGTTGGAGACGGATGAAAGAAAGTTAGGCGCAGTCAGACCTAAACGTGGCATCAGTGCTTGAAGTCACTAACTTCTGGTCTGAGCCATGTTGGTAGATGCAGACTACTCGGTTGGGGTCCGCGTGACTATCGTAACCAATAGTTGGAGACTCTGGGTGACATGGCTCAGAATCGATCACAATGGCGTCGGTGTGTACACTCTTTGTCTTCCCTTAAACTGTGAGATTAAGATTGCTTTATATCTTTCTTTCTATCAACTAATTATTTCTTCCTGTATCATATCTTTATACACAATCTTTCTTCTATATATTACTACGATTGAAGCAACTACTATGAATTTGGTGTTCATCTTGTTGTGCTAATGAGGTGTGGCAACTTGGACCGATGCATATATGTGCTTGGTCCTACGTTGTAGCTGACTGAAAGCATGCTCAATGCACGATTTTACGTTGGTTGGCTGGTTGGCTAATTCTCATCAAATCAGCACTAGTCGATACTTGAAGAAGACTCTAGGATCTTCTCATATAAAAAACTAAATATACTAACGTTTTTCCTATTGTGCTTCTTACTTCCATCTGACCTTGTTATTTGGAATATAATCTTTCCTGTTCAAACGTGTACTGAATTGGGGACTTGTCGAGTGAAATGGTGTCCAAGAATACTAAATAATAGGAATAGCTGGGTTGTAATAAGAGAGAATTATAACACATGGACTCAAAATAAGTTTCTAAACGAGAATTTTGAGAAAAAGATATACATTCATAAAACCACCTCCTCATTAAATAAATTCAGAAAACGCAAGTTCATTTAAAAAACAAACGTATTTGGCTTTTTTTTCTGTCTAATCAAATTTTATTTTACCATTTTCTGTTATCTGTTGTGAATGCGATGCAATTGGTTCGGGCCACTCTAAAATACTCAGATTATCAATCGATTTTGTGGCGGTCTTTAATAATTGTTCTATAGGGAAACATAAAAAGATTTTAAGTTAAATTAATGTAAAATTTGTCAATACTGATGTATATTGAACAATGGTAGTTTATTTTATAACATGACAATGGATATATTTCACTAGGCAATGAGCAATCTATTAGCTTAGCACCCTTTAAATATCAGTTAATTAAAGGTAAAACAGCAATCTTAGTTAAAATCACGCGAGGTCGACTGAAGCCAGAAGATTCTTTTGGCTTCTCAGAAATCTGTATATAAGGTATGTTTATATATAACTGAATGAATAGTTCAACAGTGAACAATAATTAGCTTACATTATAAACGTACATTCAAAGTAGTAGGCTCAGCAACAACAAGCGATACTTGGTAGAAACGAGGGCAGAAATAACCGGACAGACATAAAGTATATCAACGAACAACAAAGTAGTTATTTTAAAATTAGCCAATGAAATTTGAGAGGGACGTTGTTCAAGAAAAAAAAACTAGTAACACAAAATCTAAGAACCTCATGCTCTTAATACACCCAAGCGCACACTGTATGAAGGCATTTACATTTGTTAACAAATCATGAACGGAACTGAGAGGTACATGACAAATAAATGCTAAAAATCAGCAGGACCTGAGAAGCTACTACTACTACTGCTACTACTGCTACTACTGCTACTACTACTACTACTACTACTACTACTACTACTACTACTACTACCAAGTTGTTAATTTTTAAATAAGATACACATTAGGTATTTACTAACATTTTATTCTTCTTGGTGGGTATTTCATTATTACACTCAGTAAACAGCTATTTCTTTATATAATTGTTAATGTTGACAGCCATTAAATTTCGTATGGGTAAGAATTTTTATTTATTTATTTATTTATTTGAACACATAAATATTGGTACAAGAGAGCGCCAATATATATGTGGGTAAGAAACATTTGCGATCATGTATCAAAGTTCTGAGAGAGTTAGATCATTCTTATTCTTTAATTGAATTAGGGACCACCTTTTTGCACAATTGAATACAACCAGGTGACCAAATACATTGAAACAATACACAAGTCAAAAATCATGTTTTTAGACTAGTCTTCTCTGTAGATATTCCCGGGTTATAAGTAATTCTGATAATGTGAAGAATTCTCCTTATCCTGAAAATTATCTAATACTTGTATACTTATACTGCTCTGACTTTTGATATCGAATTACGAAAAGAAATTTCGGCAGTTAAAAACGGACTAAATAGACTCATACTATTTATTTAAAAATGGTTTATTTTGAAGAATGATATTTGCTAATAAACATTATTGACTAAATCACCATTGGACAACTGAGTAGTGTTATTAGTCCTTATCTGGCACAAACATTGTATTCTTATGCAAGCACATAAGCTTCTATAAGGTAAATGAGTTACTTCAAGTACATGATATAGTTTATGTTGTCATGTTCTTCATCTCAAGGTAGAAGAGATTAGTGAGTAGAGATCGCTTTATTATTATGAGTCATTTTTCCCAATCTACATGTATAACCTGATTCCTACTTGTAGGTATCATTAACAAGATTTGACTTGATAATTCCGAATAAATTGAACATTGAGTAGATTGTGATAAATAAATTAATACATTTGTAGATATCTCAATGAGTAGAAAAATTAAATTTTCTGACGTTTCATGAATCAATGTAAGTCATTTCTTCAGAAAATAAATAAAAAAATCCCTACTTGGTTTCCCCCTTTTACTAATTCAGCGTTTCTCAATTATTCCTCTAGTTATTTTCTAATGTCTCTGAACTAGATATCAGGCAGCTTAGTCAGTTAACTATGAAGTGAATTAATGAATTTCAGAGTGGTCAGAGCACAAGAATTTAAGCACAATACTGAGTAATACCTAACAGCATTGTTATCCTTACATCAATAGCTTAAAACACATTGTTCTTAAAATGAACCGATATCGTGATGTCAATCAAGAAAAATTCTGCAATAATTGGGACTGAAAATAAGAAACATCACTAAAAGAACAACGATATATAGGTAAAACAAACCTCTTGATGTATCATCCAAATCAGTATGCGTGAATAGTGATGGGTAATCTCCGTAATTAAGAATTCGTAATAGTACTTGAGCTGTACAACATATTTCATCCTTGTATTAGGAACGAAGAGAGATGAAATAGAAATATCAATAATACACATAATACGTTATGCTTTTAAGAGGCAATTATAAATATTTAATAACGTTTTATACAAACAAATACATTTTGAATGCTATTAGCCTTACATATGTATGTAAGGGTTTGAGTTTACCCGTTTTTTGATATTTAAAACTGTAATTGATCAGTTCTGATGGGTACATGTTTATTCTGAGTGGAGTTTCCCGATAATTTGGATTGTGGCTATCAGTGGAATTCAGAAGGCCCGTCTTATCTTATTTGGGTTTCGGTATACCAGTATTGACTTCCTAGCCTAATGGATAACGGGCTGGAGGTGTGAAGCAAAAGATATTCAATTCGAGTCTCAATGTAAACATCAACACTGAGATCCATATACATCTATTTGATAAGTGGCTAATAAAATGTGTAATAGCGAGAATATAAATGAAATCGAACTAGTAATCCTGGTTTCGTGCATAAAATGACCAGTCAGTCATTAAATCACGATGTGGCATCTTGAACGGATGTATATTATTTACTTAAGTATCCACAATTCTTAACAGCGTGGAGTGACAATTTTTTAAGAAACCATACAGATCATCTTCTGAGATCCATTTTGTGGTGCCTGAATGCGGTTGTTGTTGTTGTTGTTGGTACATACTTTTAAGGTTGCTACAAAATAGAAATAAATAGTAATGCACTGCTCTCTCTCTTTCTTCAATTTCTTTAATAATTTTTTTTCCAGCTTATTTCAATGATTTTAACTTTTATAAGATAATAGTAGAATAAGAGAGTAAAACTCTTACATGCACACATACAAACACGTATACTAACCTGTTCAACAAGAGACATTAACGAGTGAAGACGTAAATTCCCTTGTTCACAAGGATCAATTAAACCTGTACTACTAGGAAGAAGGAAACCGCTGGCCAATAGGTGGAATACACGTCTAATAAACAATATATTTAAGAATAAACAACACGTATATATTTTTCTTCAATAAATAAATAAAATGCTGATTATTGTGTGGCGGTTGTACTGATAATCAAGTGTTCAGGTTTGAAACAATAGGAAGCAAGTTTAATAATAATAATAATAATAATAATAATAATAATAATAATAATAATAATAATAATAATAAAAGACAGAAAACAAATTTTTTATAATATTTTACTTCACAATAGAGATATCATGAGAAGACAAAGATTTCAACGTGAAATGGGATCGAATTTGCGCTTCAAAGAGATAAATTAAAGATAACTGCCATTTGGAGGAATCATTTTGATACTTTCTAATATAACAGATGGTTTAAAATATTTTTTTCTCTCGTTCAGGGATACTAAGATAATACGTTAATACCATAATAAGACTAGTCACGTTATATCAGACCCAGGATTCACGACCCAGAATAGAGAATCAGAGTATAGACAATACAATCACGAGCAATCACACTCAGTGAGTGCGAAGTAGAAATCAATGGGAGGAAAGGAAATCACATATTTGATAGTCAGTAAGCTAAGTGCCACGCTAAACGACCAATCATATTTTACTTTTAATATTATTTATCACTTCCACATAATAGGATATTATTGGCAGTCTACCTTGGGTACTAATACAGTCAGAGACAATTAGACTTCAACTTAAGTTTGGACCATTAAGTTGTAGGTTCGGATCCCAGTCTACCTACTTTGATTTGGACAATCAAGTATTATAACTAGACCTCATATTTACAGTGTGGCTCCAAGATAATTCTACGAATCTGTAACTAGTAAATTATTCAAAATAACTTGCATAAATATAAGTATTATTTAGCATGTAATATCATAGATAGAAAGATCATCAAAATTACCTGAACGCATGATTAAGTGGCAAGGGTTGACGTGATGGATTATTCATTACAACATAATGAGCCTTGAAAACAAATGAAAACATGTGTTATGCAAAAGATTATTCAACTTACTAACAAGTCTATCAACCAGGAATTCATATAACTAAAACCCCGAAAACGTCGCCGAAAATCTTTCAAGATACGGATTAAAACCTTCACGCTAAGAAAAAAAAACAATTTAGTAATGTACGGTCAGAAGTTAAATGATAATTAGGTACGTAGTATGTGTTGCATTTTCTTCTGCCCATCTTAAATGACGAATTGAAGCCAAAGCAATCTTTTGTGCAGCTAAACTAACTGAAAGAAGAAGAAATGTTGAATAACATAATAAGAAACGACAGAAGTATTAATTTAATGTGTATAGTTTGGTGCATTGATGAACTAAAAACTGGAAGAGTGTTTTGATTTAAAAGAACTTGGTAATCAATACATATATTTAATCTGTTTAATAACTAAACTAAAGATCCTTAAATTTTGTAGAAATTGATTTACTATTGAGGAACTACGTTATAATTAAATATCCAACATCGATTTGTCTAAGTGAATTAGTAACACGAAACAATCAAAAGTTGTTATATCCCGATAAGAATAATGAATGGTAATTTTTTGGAATCCATTTATGGACCAATACTATGAGTATATTTTCATCGTGTAATTGTTATGTAACTAAACTGTTCATATTCATATCGCTCTTATTATGAGCTTTATTTTGACCTATGAACTATTATTATACGATTTACCATTCTTGAATTATTCCGTCTGTTAATCAGACCTCCCTCATTCACAGTCACTTGGCCAAATATTGTACAAATGCTATTTTCTATTTTGTGGTACGTTGTGGTCTGTTTGATTGGTATATAAACCCAGTATGTTTGAAATATAAGGATTAATATTGCAGAGGCTGAGACTGGTGTTCTGGACTTAACTGGCTGGGCTAGGCAGAAAGCAGGACCAATCAGGACCCTAGGCTGCTCGCACGTGTTTTATGCGTCACTGGTTCGATCGGTAATTTCGCTGCTCTCTGATTGGCGGTATCGTTGCGTTATCCAATATGCAGGGCACACAGATTCACAAATTATAACAAAAGTAAATAAAAATAATCTATTTCTAATATCCCAATGAGTAGAAAATCTAATTTTTCTACTCCAGACCACATGATTGAAGTGTAGATCTGACAAACCAAGACGCAAAATTATCTTCAAAAACTGATATTACGAAATTATGTGAAATATGTAACAAACTTCAAATGGCGAGGTGTCTCTGGTAAATACTGTCGATGTGTAATCATAGGAGGATGCCTCCTAAGGGGAATATATAAAAGTTATTTACTATAAAATACGATAAGCTATGTGATAGCTAGAAGCTGTGACAAAACGCGAAGGGAAGACAATAATCGAAAATGGAAACGAAGAACACTAAATTGGATGCTGGTGAAATAAAACAAAAGTTTATTGGGTACATTAGAATCGAAACCAACTGTTACAAATGGTATTAAATACAATTATAATAATCAACAAATCGAAAGTTACACGTATGTATAAGTGCTTAGCAACGTCATATACAATTGATATGCGTGACACACTATACGCTCAAAGTTATTGGCATTGCATTGTTTACTGAATATTGGGTAAGTAGTATAAGAAAACCGGATATAAAGAGAATAAGCGTAAAGAATACGACAAAGATTTAACAGTTATTATCAATGTGGGGGATAAAAACATTCGGATTTTTATTAACAGGTTGCCATAAAGTAGGACGGGACGAACTGCTGCGCAGTAAACCCGTCCTTTGGTTGATAGACGGATATCTCGCCTACGCCATAAATGTCGCAAGTTGGCAAAAGCTAGTCGAGCCTTCTGTATCCGTGCTGAGATTTCGTCACACACCAGACCACAAGGGCTGATGAGACTTCCAAGATAAGTGAAGCGGTCGACACACTCAACTACTTCACTCCCTATCACTAGTTCGGGTGTCGATGTAACCCAATCCTGAAGCAACATTTTGCATTTCGAGGGAGAGAATCGCATCCCGAACATGCTTGCATTGTTGCTTAGAGTGGTCAGAAGACTGCATTTTGTCAGCGTCTTCGCCAAATAAAACTATGTCAACAGCATATTCTAAGTCAACAAGGGAACCTCCCGGTAGAAGTTCAACCCCTGGAAATTTAGATGAGGAGAGTGTTATCTCTAAAAGTACGTCAATGACAAAGTTGAACAAGAATGGGGAGAGTGGATAGCCCTGACGAACACCAATTGAGGTAATCAATTCTGATGACAGTTCGCCATAAGCTCTCACTCTACCAGTTGTGTTCGAGTAGAGAGCCTTTATAAGGTTATTGTACTTCTTTGGTACTCCTTTCAGTGACAAACACTGCCATAGAACCTCACGATCTACAGAGTCGAATGCCGCCTTAAGGTCGAGAAATACTACCATTGTGGGGCATCTGAATGTGTGTCTCTGTCCTAGAACCTGACGTAGTGTGAATATCTGATCTATGCAACCACGTCCAGGTCGAAAACCGGCCTGGTTATCTCTAATCTGCTCTTCACGAGCTTTGATTAGGCGTCGAAGTATTATTGAAGCTAATATTTTAGACACCATATTAGTCAAACTGATTCCTCTGTGATTGTCAAAAGAGGACTTTTGTCCTTTCTTATAGACTGGCACAATCAGTGATTGAGACCAGTCAGATGGCATTACGTCCAGTTCCCAAATTCTACCTAAGACCTCGGTTAATCTCATTGCTAATACTGGACCACCATCCTTAAAAATCTCAGGAGTAAACCTGTCAGGGCCTGCTGGTCTCCCTCGTTTACACAGTTGTCCTTACAAAGTTGAGTAAACAAACCTTTACTCGATAAGCGAGTGACAATATAAAGCCGATGTACTACGACTGAGAACGAATATCCATCGGTCCAAGTTGTCACATATTACATCAGATTGTCTGATAAAATTCTATCAGAAATAACGACTAAACACTATGATATCGGCCACAACCATGTAGTATCAGATGAATGTGGTCAGAATGCTACAGAATGTTAATTGGGGCTTACATTGCTCACCGGTTAATTCTCATGAAGTTTTCATTTACACAACTGCATACAGGAGACACAGAGACTTTTAACAGTTGTCATCAAGTATCAAAGAAAGGACGAATAATCGACACTTACTATGTATATCAGGACTTGTTCGATTTAAATTCATTGGAGTAGTAGTGATTAATACTTGTACAATACAGTCTCCTGAGGCAACAGAAAATCCATAGCTTTCTAATTCAACTTTACAATTAACATGTTCAGATGGTGAATTATTGCTTGTCAACTGGCGACGAACAAAACTTGCTAAATTTTGTACAGCTTCAAGAGTTGGGAGTGTTCGAAAAACACAGGCCAAGTCAGATATACATGAACCATTCAACCACGTATTCAATTTGAAAGATCCAACTGAACGAACATGATCTAATTGCTGAATTAGATAAGTTGAAGTTTTAAAAAAAAATTTACATAGAGAAAATTATAAGGCATTTACTGTTCATATAATCACATGGAAGTAACTAATGAGTACTAGACAAATACAATCGAGACGATAAAGGGTAGTAAAGAAATGGAGGTATTACCATCAGTAAACACCTGATTCTCTTTCAGGATATTTTGGATGAAAACAGATATATTAAATTCGATTGTTCGTTATCGAGTTCACCGTGAAGAATATGGTTGAGGAGCTTGGTAATAACACTATCTGACAAAAAAGTTCACGAACCTATGCTTGGTTGGATAACTACATTAAACTGTACAAAATAAACCTGAAGGAGGAGATTCTATGAGAACAAACAACGGGAGTTATTTTTGGGGACATTATTTCGCTTGATTCAAAGTTTGCAGAATATTAACATTTAGTTTTGTCCCCAGGTCATTCTATAAATGTATTGCTTAAATATATCACAGTTTTGATGGGCTTTAATGAACGTCCTCTGTCAGTCAGTTACAACGTAGGACCAAGCACATATATGCATCGGTCCAAGTTGCCACACCTCATTAGCACAACAAGATGAACACCAAATTCATAGTAGTTGCTTCAATCGTAGTAATATATAGAAGAAAGATTGTGTATAAAGATATGATACAGGAAGAAATAATTAGTTGATAGAAAGAAAGATATAAAGCAATCTTAATCTCACAGTTTAAGGGAAGACAAAGAGTGTACACACCGACGCCATTGTGATCGATTCTGAGCCATGTCACCCAGAGTCTCCAACTATTGGTTACGATAGTCACGCGGACCCCAACCGAGTAGTCTGCATCTACCAACATGGCTCAGACCAGAAGTTAGTGACTTCAAGCACTGATGCCACGTTTAGGTCTGACTGCGCCTAACTTTCTTTCATCCGTCTCCAACACTAGTCAGCATTGCGCGTCGTGGTAATCGGGCTTCGGGCGTACGTAACACGTTGCCCAACCATCTCAGCCGATGAAGATTTACAATCTCATCAACTGATTTACTACCATCACCTACTACCCTGCGTCTAACCCTACTATTTCTTACCCGGTGATCCCAGCAGATACCAGCAATATTTCTAAGACATCTGCGATCAAATATTAGTAACTTACGAGTATCCCCTATTCTTAATGGTCACGTTTCGTGACCGTAAAATAAAACAGAACGGACTGCCGCGCAGTATACTCGTCCCTTAATTAATAGACATATCTCGCCTTCGCCATAGGTGACGTAAGTTGACAAAAGCCAAACGTGCAGAGATTTCGTCGGACACCAACGTATTAGGGCTGATCTGACTTCCAAGGTAGGTGCAGTTGTCGACCCGTTCGACTACTTTACTCCCTATCCTTAATTTAAGTGTTGACGCAGGACAGTGCTGAAGCAACAATTTGCATTTAGAGGGAGAGAAACGCATCCCAAACATCCTGACATTGTTGCTCAGTGCTACCAAAAGACTCTGCATTTTATCATCTTCGCCAAACAGGACCATATCACCGGCGTATTCAATAAGTGGACCTCCTGGTAGATCAATCCCCGGAAACTCAGTCGAAGTTTAGTGGTCAAATAGGAGTACAGAACTGACAAACATCCACATCCTCTACTAAGGAACACTTTATTGCGACAGGTTGTAGGGTTCAAATCCGCTTTTTAGTGTTATATAAGTGTTTATGGGGGGTTAACAGGGCTTACTGGAGCTTTGGATATACGAAAAGTCAAGCCCCTTTGACGCAGACCAGTCCTGAAGCAACAACTTGCATTTAGGGGGAGAGAAGCGCATTCCAAACATTCTGGCATTGTTGCTTAGTGCTACCAAAAGACTGCATTTTATCAGTGTCTTCACCAAACAGGACTATGTTGTCTGCGTACTCCAAGTCGACAAGTGGACCTCCTGGAAGGAGATCAATACCCGAGAATTCAGTCGACGTGAATGTTATTTCCATCAGTAGGTCTGTGATGAAGTTAAACAAAACTGGAGAAAGTGGACAGCATTGACGGACGCAAAAGCAGATGACAAGTCGCCATCAGCTCTGACTCGACTAGTGGTGTTCGAGTAAAGAGCTCTCACAAGGTTTACGTACTTCTGAGGTACGCCTTTCAATGACAGACACTGCCACAGAGTCTCGCGGTCTACCGAGTCAAATGCTGCTTTTAAGTCAAGAAATACCACCATTGTCGGACGTCGATAAGTACGCCTGTGTTCTAGAACCTGACGAATGGTGAATATGTGGTCGATGCAGCCACGACCAGGTCTGAAGCCAGCTTGAGTCTCTCGTGTTTGCAGTTCACGAGTCTTAGTTAGGCGTCTGATAATTATCGAGGCTAGTATTTTAGGTACTATATTAGTTAAACTAATCCCTCTGTGGTTGTCACAGGATGATTTTGACCCTTTCTAATATATTGGGACGATAAGTGATTGCGATCAGTCAGATGGAATAACGTCTAACTCCCAGATTTTAGCTAAAATATTAGTCAACCTAATCGCTAAAATTGGACCACCATCCTTAAAGACCTCTGGAGCCAATCCATCTGGACCAGCTGCCCTTCCTCGTTTCAGATTAACTATAGCCTTTTGAACTTCAGCAAGAGTTGGGGGACCTACTTCAATGTTCCATTCACATTGTCTGGGAATGGAGGGTAGTTGTAGAGTAGCTGAACGCCAGCTGAACTGTTTCACAAAGTGTTCCGCCCATCGTTCTAAACGTCTGGACTGGGAGCAGATGAGAGCATCGTCTTGCAAGAATCCATCAGTGTGATAGACTTTGAAATCCACTGGTTCTTTGTAACTCTGTGGTTTAAGTCACTAATAGATGTCACTGCTGTTTCCACAGCTGTTTGTATATCTTTCCAAGCAACATCTGGGTCAGCCTCGTTTTCAAAACTACCTAATCGTGACCTTAGTTGTTCCTGGAACCTACTTTTGGTTTCCTCCCTACTCAGTTCGGTTCTAATGGGTCATTTTACTGTGGCTTTTTTGAGTCCAGTGAGGCGCAAGCAGATGCGTGCCCGTATTAGGGCGTGGTCGGAGTCCAAGCAGGTACTCCAGAATGAGCGACAATCTTCCACGGACCCTCTCCAACGATGACTGATGTCAATATAGTCTATTTGAGTCCATCGTTGGTTTGGTGTAGGGGGTCGCCATGTTAGACGATGTCTCTCCTTATGCTTAAAATTTGTGTTTGCTAAAAATAAGCGATTGTCTGAGCATAGTTGCAGCAGACGATCACCATTATCTGTTCGCTGTGCCGGAATGCTAAAATATCCACCTAAATGCCTTTCTGTTTGGTTTAAGCTACCTATCTGAGCATTAAAGTCACCCCCTATGAGTACTATGTCTGAGCGTTTAGCTATCTGAAGAAGTTCAGAAAGCTTTCTGTAAAATTCATCTTTCACATCATCTGAGCTTCAGTCAGTGGGAGCGTAGGCAGAAACGACGAAAAGGCAACGACGTGTATCCCTATCCTTCCGAGTTCTTACGGAGCCGTTTACCCGAACAGCACATAGACGACTGTTGACGGGGATCCACTCTAACAGTGCGTGTTCCGCCCTCATGCTTAGTGCTATCCCTACTCCTGCCAGTCCACGAGAGCTGGCCATCGGGTGCCCAGATACACGTAGGGTGTATCTCGTTGGCTCTCCGATTTGCCGAGGTGAGGTCAAGTGAATGACCACACTGGGATCCTGTATGCGTGTTTCGGAGACACAGCATACATCAATGGAAAGAGACTCTAGGGTTTTAGCCAAGGAAGCCTGCTGACCGATTTGACATAGGGTGCGTACATTGAAGGCTCCAATGTGTAGTTTGGAGCGAGGTTTCAGTAGACCTGGGACAGAGTTTTGAGCACTAGAATCGTTGTCTATGGTGACACTTGAGGAGGAAGCCGAAGGAGGAAGTTTAGAGTTGAAAGTCGATGTAGGAGGAACAATAGGAATTGAAGAGGAAGGTTGAATATGAATACAGTGGTCTCGAGTGCTGTTAAAGGTATGAGAGCGGTTATCACTTCCCGGCTGCCCACACCAAGGAAGGGTTCTTCTGGAGGTACCTGAAAAGGAAATTGTATTAGAGGTGGTCTCAGTGACCTGAGAGCGTGACCGCAGTGCCCAAGGGACAACTGCTTGAGGCCGGTCGCGCACGGCCTTTTCGTCGGAGGTTTTTTGACGTGTTAGCTCCGTTCTTCAAAGAGCCTTACCGCCGGAGACGGAAATCCGTGAGGTAAGGTGAGGTGTGCATTTTTAGGGTCGACCTTTTCTAACCCCACACCTCCTTGTGGGAAGGCAGCATCGCTGCAGATGCTGGTTGTCCGAGGGAAACACCCTACTGCTGTCACACCCATCTACAGTTAGCAGTACGACTTCGCCCTCAGACCTTGAGTTGCTGCTTTTAGTCTTACCGTTCTCCAATCGACCTGTCTGACATGGTAGGACCTTGAGGAACGGTTGTTCCAGCCAGTATAGCTCGGTTGCTTCATCACGATAGGCAAGCCCGACCACAACGTCAAGGTAGCAACAACGGTCGGGTTAAAAAGAAGAATATATTTGTAAAATCTCAGCGAATGAATTTTAAGTAAATCCAACGTTTCGCCTGGCAATCTGGTCCAAGCTTTTTCAAGGAAAATATAATCAAACAACAAAATTATCCTTTTTTTAATGTAGGGCTTCGGCTGTTAGTCGTTTTTTGTAAGAATTAAGTCCTTTTTGAATGATTCTCGTGCCATTGAAATCAACTGTATGACCCGATTCAATCGAGTGTAATGCTATCGCTGATCTGTTCTCAAGCTTTTTTACATCAATTGAGGATTTAGGAATGTGCTTTAAGCACAGTTTGTGTTCCTTCACCCTCACATTCAGTTGCCTTGATGTTTCACCTACATACGTTGCATTACAGTCAGTACATTTGATTTCATAAACACAATTCTGTTGATCATCCTTGTGTATTGGATCTTTGATTCTTACTAGTTTTGATCTTAGATTATTGTTTGTTCGAAAGAATACTCTTATATTTCGACGAGTTAAAATCCTTCTGATGTCTTCTGAGATACCTTTACGATATGGGATCACTACTGTGTTCATCCAATCTTGCTTAACTCATGTTTTAAAATATCATTCCGTTCTTCATCCTTAATTATTCTTTTAATAAAACCTTTCGGATAATTATTCATCAATAGAGTGGATACAATTAAATTCATTTCCATGCTTATATCATTTGGATAATTTTGTTGTTTGATTATATTTTCCTTGAAAAAGCTTGGACCAGATTGCCAGGCGAAACGTTGGATTTACTTAAAATTCATTCGCTGAGATTTTACAAATATATTCTTCTTTTTAGATGATAGAATCGTTTTGTCTCTCTGCCCAAGGCCGTTAGCTTCGATTTGAATCTCTAGCCTCAAGGTTAAAACGGTTAGCCTATCGTGTCAGGCCTTAACCTAGATCTGTTACATATTATTGGGTAAACAGATCAAAGATGTAACACTCACCTTCCGATCTGTCCAGTTGACCTTTAATTTTTGCACAAATAAATGTTACTAACAAGTATGTGTGTGATCAGACTGTTCACATAGTTCAGATAGTATTCGTCTTCCCAATGAATTATCCAAATTTATGAAAGGGATTAACTGATATAAAGATCTAATTTGTTTTAGACATACCATCCCAGTCTAAGAGAAGCTTAAAAGTAGCATGTAGTCTACAGAAGGTTTTGAGCTCTCTTATAAATCGCTGTTAGAAAACAACAAATTCGAGGTGACAAGAGAAAGTTTAAGACTGAAAAGGTATAACTTAGAGAAATATTTTCGGTAGCAAGAAGTGAGATATTTCGGGATTCACTAATTGCCCAACTGTTTAAGGTACGTATTCGTAGAATATAACAGGACTTCCGAAGGCGCAAGAGAAAGATTATGGAACAACAATAATGACAACGTACCCCAGATTCGAATATAGACGGATTTACAATAATATTATCCAAAATTTCACAAATTCTATTGTTTAAATTCGACAGAGCGTGTTGAGAATCAGGAGATGGTGTTAATTTCCCATGATGATCTAATAAACATTGTAATAGTTTTTGGTCATCAGCAGGAATGATCAGATTCGGTTCTAACATAACAATATCCAAGGGGAATTGTGGAATAAAGGGACCGGTCTGTGAGCTGATAGTAAGAATAGATAAAGTGGGAGATTACTAAAATTTATCCAAACCAAGTTTGTTCAAAATCACGTACAAAAAAGTAACCATGGCTGAGTACTAAAACACATTGGTCGAACCACATCTACTGCATAGGGGTAAATGACAATAGATCACCAATTACTAAGATATACGACCAAAGTATGAACATCTAACAGAGCTGTTTGGTGGCTTTAACACTTATGTTTTGTCGCGTTGTCATGCTGTAAATTGATATAATTTTCTCTTATTACGACCCGGCTATTCCTATTGCTTAGTATTATTGGGCACCGATTCACTCGACAAGTCTCCAAATCAGAACACGGTTGAACAGGGACGAAATCATAACCCAAATAACAAGGGTATATGAAAGTAAGAAGCACAATAAGAGAAATCTTAGTATATCTATAGTTTTTACATGAGATTCCAGAGTCTTCTCCAAGAATCGACTAGCGCTGATTGGATAAGGAATAGCCAATCAACGTACATCAAGACAATCGTGCACGGAACGTGCTTTCATCCGATCTATGTCCCGCTAACATAAATTATACTTGTTGGAGGGTTCGAAATACAGACGATGGTGGATACTGCTAATACAAGACCAGATCTAATCTAACCTGACAGGTCAAACTATTATACAAAGACACCTCAACGATGACAGCATGCAAATGAGCGAAGACCGGATTTTGAAAGGGCGCTCTTGTTTCAAAAAACAACTTCATGAGTAAACAGGACAGTGTACCCAGCATTTTACAAGATAAAACAAAACAATAGGAATCGCTGCTAACTGTGCTAACATCACTTTACAAAAGTCACAATGATAGTTATTGTTGTAACCCAAAAAATTTAATTTGCTTTGAACAGTCAGAAACTGTCTTTACACATTACTGTGATTCACAGCCTAGTTCACGATCACTTTATTTCAGCAACTTTACACTTATGCAAAGCAATTATAAAAACTTTAAAAACCAAACACTTCTCGTTCACGATTTCAAAAATGATATATTTCCTTCAAATCCAATAGACCGAAAGTAAATTTACAAAACGAGTCATTGATAAGTTCCCCGGTTTATAAAACCGAATTATCACTCAGATAAATAAGTTATCAATGCTACTGCTTCGACACAGGCACACAGATTTAGATGCAATTTCACGAATCTAACGATAAGAATGTCACTATAGATATTTAGAGGTTATATATAGTACAATAGCTAGTCTTCGAGGCATATTTTATTTCGTAAGAAATAGGCCAGGAACTCCGCCCGTAACACTTCTAGGGTTACTGCTGACCCCAAGTAAAGGAAGAGTAAAGGAAGAGGGTTGGGCATGGGATCAGCAAACCTATCTCATAGAAAACAACCTTGCCAAAAAATGCCAGCCAGAATAAACAAATTAAACCATTTAAACTCTGTCCTCCGAATTGGACGAAGAATTATGACACATGGTAAAAGCCGATATTCTTAGGAAATCACCAGGTCGATGCCCCTTCTAACAACCAGAGCAACAATTAATATCTTACGGGTATGAGGGCTGATATCACTTCCCGGCTGCCCACACCAAGGAAGGGTTCTTCTGGAGGTACCTGGAAAGGAAATTGGATTAGTGTTGGTCTTAACGACCTGGGAGCGCGACCGCAGTGCCCAAGGGACAACTGCTTGAGGCCGGTCGCGCACGGCCTTTTCGTCGGAGGTTTTTGACGTGTTAGCTCCGTTCTTCAAAGGGCCTTACCGCCGGAGACGAAAATCCGTGAGGTAAGGTGAGGTGTGCATTTTTAGGGTCGACCTTTTCTAACCCCACACCTCCTTGTGGGAAGGCAGCATCGCTGCAGATGCTGGTTGTCCGAGGGAAACACCCTACTGCTGTCACACCCATCTACAGTTAGCAGTACGACTTCGCCCTCAGACCTTGAGTTGCTGCTTTTAGTCTTACCGTTCTCCAATCGACCTGCCTGGCGTGGTAGAACCAACAGGAACATATGTTCCAGCCAATATAGCTCGGTTGGGTCATTACGATAGGCAAGCCCGACCACCGCGTCAAGGTAGCAGCTTCGGTCGGGAACAATTAATACAGGCACATGAAACATTCGGACAATATGGGAGACTGGAAGAACCAACCAAATAGCTGTAGAAATCAGGAGATACAACTTGGAAGTGAAACCCATCAGACCTTAGCAGGGCAGAATGGATAGATTCGGGAGAGATGCCGCTGTACTCGGGTCACGAAGGAAATTCCCTGCACATTCAGGGAGTTGTTGTGATGCTGTCCAAATAAGTACGTGAAGCACTTATAGGATGGGAAATTCATGGACCCAGGATCATCAAAGCATCATTCACAACAAAGGAGGGGATCACAATGAATGTTATCAAATGTTATGCACCCACCAATAGTAGCAACGACGAGATAAAGATCAGCTTTACGAGAGGATGCAATCAATCATAGCGAGATGCTCAGGAAAGGATCTATTCATCCTGATGGGAGACCTAAACGCCAAAGTAGGAATGGACAACGCCGAGTATGAACATATCATAGGACGATATGAACTGGAAGAAAGGAAGGAGATTTGCAAACTTATGCGCGTTCAACAAAATGGTTATACGCGGCATATTTTACCACAAACGCAGCCTAATCTAGAATCCTTAGGTTTTAATACAAATGAAGCTTTATCAAACTAATAAACCAACTGATCTATTTTCTCCAACTTCAATTATTTAGATCAGTTATGTATTTATCGTAAAATCTCCGTATTATAGGAAATAACCTACTTCATTATAGGATAGTTTAGCCTTCAGAAAATATACGGGTCAATAAGGAACTTAGAATTACTAATTATTCTGAAGTTTATGAAAATTTTGTTTTAACTAGATATCTCATATTTGCTGAAAGCAGCTATGGAAATAAATATTCAAGTAGATAGTAAAAAGTTATGATCTATGAAACAGATTTAACTCCATGGAGCTCGCCCCTAGGATTGTTGTTAGACCAAAGCCCAGATAAAAGAAGTTTGGGAATAGAGTCAGAAACCTCATCCTATAGAATACAAACTTGCTAAAAAACGGTAACAGAAATAAACGAATTAATCCATTTAAACTCTGCCTTGTGAATTGAAGGTCCTTCATTTGGAACCGTTATGACGCCTCGTATTAAAAGTCGAGGTTCTTCGGACGTCACCAGGCTGTTGCTCCTTCCAACAATTAGAACAACGATACAATAGGTAAATGGGATGTTTGCACAATGTGCGTAACCGTGAGGACCAACCAAATAGCTGTGGAAATGAGACAATACAACTTGGTTGTTCTCTGAATCAATGAAACTCAATGAACCCAAACTGGACATAAAAGGTTAGCTTTGGCAGAGGTGGTGTTGTATTTTGGACAACAAAACTGCTGTCGGTGGCACCACGTTTCCCCACCAATACATACACAGTTCATATGGGTTTCACCGCATAATACTACAACGGACCAGACCTATCACATTTGCATCAATAAAAAATTCAGATTCATTGAAGAGATAAGAACAAAGAGAGGAGTTGATATAGCTTTGGATCCTCTTTTGATGGTGGTAAATATGAAGCTGAAGCCAAATAAGCGCTGTACAGCAGGAAAAACATCATGCCAGAAGTTCAGTACAAACTTTGCTTGAGAATCTGACAAACTCAACGAGTTCGAGACAGCTCGTATCAACGGGTTTCAAGCCATACATTATCTACTAAAAGAAGGAGAAACTGCTATGGAGATCAACTAGAAAGAGATTAACTAAGCATCAGCATAAAAATGTAATCTGTTTTTGGTGGAATTTCGTTATATGAGCTGTATGGTTTGGTCGTGAACTGTTCTTGAGAACAACAATGTGAGCTTCACGAATGAACCATCCAGCTCAAAGAACCGAACCAGTAAAATCCTCCATCATCCCTACCATCTCAGAGTAAATCTGTGTCGGAACCCTGGGCAGTATACAGCAATTACCAACAACCGAACAAGAACAGAGAAAGTCAATACACAAGCTGAATACACAGAAGCAAAAACGGAGGTGAACAGCATCAGAGCTGACAAGCAGAAATACATGGAAGACCTAGCAACGACGGCAGAAAAAGCTGCAAGAAAAGGAAATATCAAACAACTATATGGCACAACGAAGAAACTGGCAGTGACACATCATAAACTAGAGAGATCGGTCAAGGACAAAGAAGGCAAACCAATCACTGAGACACAAGAACAGAGGAACAGGTGGGTAGAACACTTTGAGTAACCCGTTAATAAGCCAACCTTACTGAATCAACCGGACATCGAAACAACACCTACAGACCTTCCTGTAGATGTCACTCCACCAACGACGAAAGAAACCAGACAAATCAAGAGTGGGAAGGTAGTAAGACCAGACAGTATACCAGCTGAAACACTGAAGTCAGACATAGAGATAACATTGAAGATGCTCCACATTCTATCCAGAAAGATATGGAAGTAAGTACAAGAACCAACAGGCTGGATTCTGTAAGGATCGACCATGCACAAACAAATTGCGATACTACGGATCGTCGTTGAACAGTCAATTGAATGGGATTCGTCGCTATACATCAACTTCCTTGACTGTGAGGCGTTCAACGACGTGGATAGGAGAACCTTATGGAATATTCTTCCACACTACGGTTTACCTGAGAAAATCGCTAACATCCGGAATCCATACAACTGACTACACTGCAAAGTCGTGCATAGAGGACAGATAGCAGACGCATTCCAAGTGAGGGCCGGAGTCAGACAAGAGTGCTTATTCTCCCCCCTTTCTCTTTCTTCTGGTGGTTGACTGGATTATCGAAACCACATCTCAAAAGAAGTATAGAATACAATGGATAGTTTGGATGCAACTAGACGATTTGGACTTCGTGTATGACCAAGCCCTTCCATCCCATACTCACGAACAAATAAAGGTCAAGGCAAACAGTTTAGCAGAGGCCTCTGCATCAGCAGACCTCAATATGCAAGGGAAAAAGCAAGATCCTCTAATACAACACGGAGAACAACCCAGTCACACTTTGTGGTGAAACTCCGGAAGAGGTGGAAACGTCCACGTACCTGGTCAGCATCATCGATGAACAAGAAGGACCTGATGCAGATATGAAGGCAAGGACTGGCAAAGTTAGGACAGCATTACTACAGTTGAAGAACATATGGAACTCAAAACAACTGTCAGTCAACATCAAAGTCAGAATATTCAGTACGAACGTCAAGATAGTTTTACTATACGGAGCTGAGACTTGGAGAACCACAACCATCATCAAAGAGGTACAAGTATTTATAAACTGTCTACTCAAAATATTCAATGTCCGTTGACCAGATATCATCAGCGACAACCTAATGTGGGAGAGAACAGACTAGCTTCCAACTGGAGAGGAAATTAGGGAAAGACGCTGGAAGTGGATAGGAAATACATTACGGAAATCACCAAACTAAATCACCAGGCAAGTGCTTACCTGGAATCCTGAAGGGGAACGGAAAAGGGGAAGTATACATCAAAACGATGAATAGCAACTGGAGAAAACTAGAAAGGATTGTATTCAAGTGTATCATATGTCAAAAAAGAAATGTATTTTGCCGACCATCAGTGTCACCTTTTGATAGTCTACCTAAAAAATTAAGTAAACACCTGAACTAGTCATAGGTCTATTTTAGCTTGGGTCATCCCGAGTCATACAGAAATACACGAAATTCCTGATTTCAATTCGAAAACTAACATGTAATCTGTGGTTAGTTTATTACCAGAAAATTATATACCCCTCAAACTTTTGGCAAATGAACGGGAACATTAAAGTGAAGTGTTAAAATAACTTTATGCATTCAGTACCACACATCCAAAAAAAATTAGGGTTACTTGACAATGGAAAGAATGTTAAACGATACCTACAAATCTTTTGTATAGAAATAAGTGACACTAATCGATTGTCACAATCTTTCTTTCCCCATGGTTGTTATATGATATACTTGCTGTCCGCTAGGAAACCCAATAGTTTGAAAAAGATCTAGATTTTAATAATAAACTGTACATAATTTGGATGTTTGCGTTTTGATAGAACTACGCATATGTCAGCCTTGAAGAAATTGAAGGGGAATACATTTTTGTGATTGTCATTAAACATAATGCTAAAAATGCCATTTCAAGAGTATACAGAGAGAAATACAGCATGTTCATATCATTCACTCACATTTATACAACAGTACTCAAATATACCATGACTAACTCAAGATATATGACAGCACGAAACTAAAATCTTGGCTAGATCGATATGGCTTTAGCTTTTGAAATAGTTCCAGAAATTGCGGTTGTCTCAACCACGAGTTAACGTGTAACCGCTATTCGACTATAATCAAGATTTCAGATCGTTTGTCAAATGTTTGTACACTTCCCTCTAGATGTCATTACAAATAAGAGAACTTTCGTAAAGGCACGAACTACTGAACCCATAATACAAAGAGACGAAGTTAAGAATCTGATGCTTAATTGGATGGAATGTAAGCAGTGAACATGGTTTGTATCCTAGTTTTTAGTTGTTGGTTTATAAAAGCAATCACTCAGAGAAAATGATTAAAATAGATATCCTATGCTAATCGGTCTTGAGTGGACCAGGTTATCGACAGGAGACTAGACACCTGACAAAAAACAGTGGCAACGTGCCCATGAATTTCCTTATAGAGGCGAAATGTCTCGAAATTAACACCACGACCTCTGCTTAAATTAGTCAAGTGATCTACTTTTTCACTAAACCTCAGTCTGAGGAAGTAAGGAAAATTAGGCTTCTTAATACCCATACAGAACTTCCCTTGATTTGTGTTGGGACTACAGCTTGTGGTTGACATGTTAATGTAGATTTTGAAGTTGTCTACCTACTATGGTCAAACAATGGTCGTAGATTAGTGTGCGAATTCGAACTGGGATTGAAGGTTAGGTGTTGGGGTTAGGAATTAAAGTTATGATCCCCGTCACGAAACGGTATCAGATATAATTCCAAAATGGGCGAGACTATAAGTAATGGACGAACCAACAAGGTATAAGATAATAGGCCTCGGATATTGGCGCGAAATTCTTTCATCCAGTTTGGTTAAATAGTTTTGGCATCATAGCTTATGCCAGTTCGTGATGAAAACCCGAAATTTGATTCCTGACGTTGATCATCAACTTTAAAACATAGTTCTAAATCCTCACACAAGTTTAGAACCCTCATTTGGTCATGGATATTAGGTGGACACTCTCAAGGTCAGTCTAGCTTAGCTTAAATGTCGTCCATAATTTATAGCCTCACCTCGAAATGTTACTAAGCATTATGCACAAACAGACTTTGATCCAAATTCCAAGACTTGCCATCTTTGTTTCCAACACTTAATCCGTTCATTACAGTCCCACTATTTCTAATTCTCTTTTAATATTTGCGTGGGAAGTAGCTCATGTGGTAAGAATACGAACTTGACATCAGCCTGTGAGGCATTCACAATTTTTATTTTACACGCTATGAGTTTACGGATTCATTTAGACTAGACCAATATAGAGTCGCACAAGATAAATAAAAAACAACAAAAACAAAATATGAGGGACATGTAGTTAGGATGGTTGTAACGGATCCTTAATTTGATGAGCCTGACGATATGACTGATATCTAGTCGCTTGAGTATTAAAACGCTACCTACGGGTTACTGCGACGATAGGACGGCCTTTGCTGTGCGCGAACCGCCATTCTGACGGAATTTCTAATCACGCGGTCGTTTCCCGATCATTACTTTTAACATGAAGTACCTTCGTGAAGGACTCACGTAAACGGTTCGTTCCTTTAGGCTCAGTTTCTTATGTTATTCCAGTGTTCCGAGCTCTTGGCACTTCTCAGTGTAGATAGTCTAGTCATACGTTTTTACTAATTATAATGAATTTTTCTGACCAATCGAGAAAATGGCGTGAAGAATAAAAAATGGTTGATGTGACAAGGTATAATGTGAACACAAATGTATTTATGACAACAACGATAATAATAGAAATAGAAATAGGAATAGGAATAGCAGTGGTTGTGAGGTTAAGTTTCGAGAAGCGCGTCAGGCACATTTGTGGAGTGTGCTACTTATATCTACATAAGCAGTATAAAACGCTAGTCAGAAATAGAATGTTTAGCAGCAGAAGGTTGAGATGATCGAGGAGGAAAGAACAGTGACAGAAAGCAATTGGTATGGAAATGCAGGAACAGTGAAGTCTGAGACGATTAATTGACATTTAGCAAGTGAAGAGTTTACAGTATGGTTCTCAGATTTTATTAAGATGTTCTGAAATTTTGTATTCAAATACATTTGGTTGTCCCAACTGGTGTTTTCGTCCACTACACGGTTATTTCAGGCAGGACATGCCAAATTATAATTGTAAAGGCTGATTTCGACCTCCCTCCACTGAGAAGGCTACGGTCACGTCGTATTGAATACCGTTCAGGTATGGCCAAGCCATAGTGAAAAATAAGGTCATATAACCTGGGCGTTAGTTCTACGTACAATTCCTGGTGGGTTGGCTCATGAAGTGCAGTGTAGAGATCTGGGTGGGATGGTTTTATTCTGGTAGTCCGAAGTGCTTTATAGGTTGCATAACATTACCAGGTAGTCTTTCTTTCCCACGTAATTTAGCGATAATAATCCTGAGTGGCATTATCGGTCTTTGGAAAACCTATTACTTATTTTTATCACATACTTCGCGTCACACTTCTTCATTTTTCCCAAGAGATTTCTGTCGATTTCGTAGGGTGCAGTTGAGTATTGTCGGAAAGAGCCTAGGAGTATGCCTAGCTAACTGCGGATAAAATGAAGAGCAGTACAAGCTTTGACTGAATTTACCTAATAGTCATCATTTGAGTCAAGGTCTTCTATCAGCAATAGATATTCATCGATGATTTGGAGTGGTAGTGATCACAAACGTGCTAGTCACTCTGAGCATTCTCTGTTGCTCATAAAGATTTAAGCAGATCAGGTGTTAAACTATACATCTACAAGGACAAACCTCATAGTTCAACATCTTGCAGCCATAAAAAGTGAGATTTACTTATAGGTCATTGATGAATATTAGGAACAATAGGGTGCTCAGTGTGGCGCTTTATGCACCCTAAGACAATGACACTTCACAGTCCGGTCTCATTTTGTTCAGGACGTTGGGATTTTAAGAGTAATTTAGTATCTCACCTTGAGTTCCCGTAATGATGAAGACTCTGATTTGTATTTTTGGGGACATGAAACGGCACAGATGCCTTAACATATATCGTAGTTTCACAGACAGATTTATTTGATCAAATCTCCTATCTTTCTTTCGTCCAGTAAGATCCTCCATCTGTCACAAATATTCATTTTTAAATTAGGTAGTGTGACAAAGCACCGTTTTATCCAGAACTTTCATTTACCACAACTGAGCAGCACCTGTAAAACATTTTTTGAGGAGGCTTTGAGGTGTTACACTGTTCATTATCTGAAATTTTCGCCCATTCTTTGGGCCAGAAGTCGTGTTCATAGATCTTCCTGGTGGCTGAGAGCTTATCTGTTTGTTGTAAAGGCGTGAATTTATCAATATCACAGTAGTATTATGTTCACAATCATTATAGGATCCAAACCACGTTTGGACTGCTGGACAGCTGCTTGGATAAGTTGGATACGCGCCCTTGCCCGTTTGAAATCAGAACAAGGTAATTGGGTAAGATAGCGGTTCTAAACAAATATAACCACACAGCTATCCAACCAATAATTGTTTAATTGATCAAATCTAAACAATCACCACAAATAAATGTTATTCTATCCTGACTGGATAGATCACGTACAGATTCGTTCAAAAGGTAATAATTGGTCGCTCTATAACACAGAGTGTTTTCAATTCTGGAAGAGTGCTTCAATTCACAACCAAAATGCACAATTCCAGTCAACACAGGTCAAGCAATCAAAAGCAGGGATAAACCAAAATGACTGCCGCCCAGACTTAGTATGAAGTAAAACAAACATAAGTGCAGTTCAGGAAGAAACATGGGGAATTGGTGAAGGTGTAGTAAAAACGAAAACTATAATAAAATACAAATATTAACAATTCAAATGTAGTCAAAAAGTTAACAATGTACAACTAAAAGAATCAATAGGAACAAAGTGTAAGTATATACATGGAGGGATTTTCACCAACACACAACACATTCAAAATGGATCTTACACCGGCCCCCAAAATCCCTCCATACCACACAAGCTACCTTGACGCCTACGGTCATGGTTCATTATATAACATATCACACCATAGGAACGAGTAGGACTTACAACAGTACGCCTACTCGACCTAACTACATTAATAACAACAAAGACTAATCCAAAGCTTCAAGGAGACCTGCTTCACCTGTTCTCTGGTGATCAACAATAACAGTCGTGATATAGACCTAATCACTCCTCCCCAAACTCCACCCATGCTGTTGGATGAGGGCCTCGCTGACAATTCAATGATTATCTTCTGATTCGACTGCTGCACAAACTTCCTTAACTCAGAAACTGTCCCCATGAAGCTTGACGCACTGACACTGTAAATCTCGGGAGGTTTCCTTCTTCTTCCAATAAAACGTAATAGAGCCATTAAAAATGAATCAGTAATCAAACTACACACCATTTCAATATGTACTGCCCATGTTTGCAAACAAGTAAACACATATCCATACCCTTTTTCTAATGATCTTCCTATGTGTCCTTGTTCTTTATGACAATGTCTAACTATCATTTCCGTCACTAAGTGTCGACTGGGTAAAATTACTGGATGTTTAAAAGCATTTGGGAAATCTGAGTATCTTAGTCGACCTCCAACGCAGAGTAACCCATCGAGCATCATCAACGATAAACCTTTCAGATCATCATGGCTTACTACTTTACTGCTGTTCTTAAATTCTCCATACACCTCTCTCTGAACCATCAATAAAATCTTACGCTTGGCAATCTCAAGCTCTTTGACCTTTAAACATCCTAGATGAACGGATCCTTCACAACTCGGTAAACGAAGTACCATCACGAATTCGATGAACCTTCTAAACCAGGTTACAGCTCTGACTAATTTCAACCACTCGGAATTGTAAGAGAGAACAGGTGTCTTGTTGTACTTTACACTACTCAAGTTAACCACAGCAGTTTTTCTAAACTCAATATCGTCAAGAGTAGGTTCCGTACAGTCAGTGATTGTTATATAAAATTCTCCATGCAATAAAATAGGACATTCGAACCAAGATTCACGATCGGTCATTTTTTGTATACTTCCTCTACATAATAATTCACTTATATGCTTAACGAAACTCTTTGCTTGATCCCAAGTGGGAATAGATATCAAGCAATCATCAACATAGAAATTATTCTTGACATCATCTACAACATAACCATCATAACCGTCAGAGAATATTTGGGCCGTCTTATTCAGGGCAAGGTTCGCGCAAAATGGCGATGAT